GATGTATGGCCCCAGTAGCTGTGATGTCCAAAAACGCCCCCAATCCATGAAACCCGGTTTTTTGACAGCTCATGTGGTCGAAACCCATCTCGGTACATCGAACCCATCCCCCAACAGAAGCTGTCGAAAAAAAAAACCTTAGATGCGCATACAGATGCTCAGCGGCAATTCTCTCAGAAAACCGGTTATTGCATTGCAAGGGAAAACTGTTTGTCTGTGTTTTCTTTCAGCTGTGGCTGGGAAAAGGGGAAAAGTGTGTGAATATATGCAAGACATGTAAGCACATTGGTGTCGTCTTCTTTGGTTATTAGACTTTTCCAAAACAAGAGAAAAAGAAGACTGGGGTAAGCTTTTTCTCCAAGGGGGTATGTGAATGATATGGTGCGTGTGAGATGGAAGGGAACAATATACGGGAAGATCGTCAGGTGAAAGATGAGTTGTCTAGGCCTGGCTGGAAGTCCTTTGGATTGTATACAAGGAACATTGTGAGGAGAGTGTGAAATCTGAAGTTTATTCATTGGTATCTAGGCAGCAGCCGAAGCTGCGCGGAAAATTGTGAGGTAAGAAATCGAACAAGGCCGTAAAAGTTTCTTTGGAGCAACAACATCAAGGTGTGTTTACTCATCATCAGCAAGCCATCCTCGGCACATGTTGACTGCTCTCTCCCAGCGCTTGACCATCTTGGTGCTGTCCTTGGGATCCATCTTGGCTTCGAAGACGGTTTGCCCGGATGTATTGATCTCCTTCAACTCATCAAAGTTCTTCCAGACACCAGCGGCAAAGCCGGCGGCGATGGCAGCTCCCAAAGCGGTGGTCTCACGCATCTTGGGTCTGACGATGGGGATCTTGTTCTCGGCTAGGATGTCTGCTTGGATCTGCATGCACAGTTCGCTGTTTGACATGCCACCATCGACTTTGAGCTCTTGGAGGGGGTGACCACTGTCCTTCTCCATGGCGTCTAGTACAGCCTTTGTTTGGTAGCAGACGGCTTCGAGGGTAGCACGAGCAATGTGTCCTCTTTGTGTGTGTTGGGTGATACCGAAGATGGTACCCTGAGTGTCGGTGATCCAGTATGGTGCAAACAGACCGCTGAATGCTGTGACGAATACCAACCCGCCATTGTTCTCGACTGTGCCTGCGAGCTCAGTGATCTTTGACGAATCGAAGCTGAAACCCAAGTTGTTCATCAGGAACTTGACACCAGAGCCTGCAACTGCGATAGATCCCTCGAGAGCGTAGCTCGGTGTTCCGTCGAAGTCGTATGCGACGGTGGTAAGGAGGCCGTGGGTGGAGATGACGGGCTTGCTGCCAGTGTTGTACAGGATGAAGGAACCGGTGCCGTATCTGTCGTCCGTTAGTGTGTTACTCTTGTGAAACACACCATAAGCTCGACTTACGTGTTCTTTGCGCTGCCTGCATCGAATCCTTTTTGGCCGACCAGGGCAGCAGACTGGTCACCCAAACAACCGGCGAGTTTGAAGCCGGACAGAACTCCCGAAGCGATCGTACCGTAAGCCTTCTCGCATGAGGACTTGACAATCTCAGGCATGTGGATGTTGGAGAGATCGAACTCGTCATCGCCGAAGAAGGCAATAAGCTCGGGGTTGTACTTGAGTGTGTGAATGTCCATGAACATGGTGCGCGAGGCATTGGTGGGATCGGAGACGAAGACTCTCTTCTCGTGACCGTTCAACTTGTAGACGAGCCATGCATCAATAGTTCCGAATGCAAGAGTACCCTTCTTGTATGCTTCCTTGACCTTGGGCTCGTTCTTGAGCAGCCATAGGAGCTTGGTGACACTGGGGTATGTGGAGAGAGGCAGACCACACTTTTGCATCAACTCATCGGCACCCTTGCGCGACTTCAACTCCTTTACGATAGCTTGAGAACGAGTATCTGTCCACACGATAGCGTTGTAGAGCGCCTCTCCTGACTCGATATCCCAAACAACAGTGGTTTCGCGCTCTTCACAAGGGTCAGTGATGCGCCTTTGAGCTCAGCGAAAGTAGTCCTCTTACGGTTTGTGATGCCAATAGCCTTGATGCTGTCGATTGAGTTTCCATCTTTCTTGAAGGTCTCGATTGCGCCCTCAATGCAGTTGTGTACTGAGGAGACAATCTCCTCAGGGTCGTGCTCGTGCCATCCAGGTTGAGGGTAGATTTGAGAGAATTCCTGTCAAAGATCAATCTCATGACTCCACGCTAGACAGACAGTTACCAAACACATACCTCTTGATGAGATGCGACCGGCTCTCCTGCCTTGTTGAAGATCAGGAACCTCGAGCTGGTGGTTCCCTGATCGATGCTACCAATGAATTCGGCCATGATGCGTTGTTTGTGAAGAAGATGAGCGCGCGAGGAAAAGAATAGGCTCTGACTTTGGAATGACAGCTTTGAAGATCTTGGGCAGGTGCGAGTATATTTAAGTACCGACACGTAGCTTTCACGTGCCTGCCAACACGGAAAATCTCGAGGCCGTGTCTTTAGCCTCCACATTTCCTATCGCGAGGTCCGAGGGGGGACTGGACCTCGAAAGCAGAACTACCTGCCGTGAATACCTTGAGCGTGCCCCGCCCAAGCTCTCGTGATGCCTGCACGTCTCAGCAGAATCCTTCTCAAAATCTTTCCAAGACATGCCCATCCGTGCGCGCAGGAGTGAGGAGACCCCACATTGATCTCCCTGAGCTTCGGTTGACGAACGGTGCCAATACTTCGAGACTTCCATGCTACGATGCTAGCCTACAGTTCATGTACACACTGACCTTGTACTTTTAGCGCCGTGGGTCGTATGGCTCGATTGGGACTCAATTGCGACAATCACATGCTCCCCAGCCTCTAGCGCCACGGACATCGTGGAGTTCAGCTGTCACGGCATTCTTTCCGTCCAGATTATTGAGATTATTAAGATTATTGAGCCTACCCCAGCCGGTCCCCCCACGATTCGGACCCTGCCGCATGGCCGATCATTTCGCCTGGCTCGACCGACTAGAGTCTGCAGCTTTTGCCTGGGCTCAAGACTCTAGGCGTTGTATCCAAGCCCAAGGATATTCTGATGATCGCGATAGCACCCGTGAAATGTCGCAAGGCATGTCGCTGTGGGGTGTCTCTGTGAGATGATTGAGGAGGCCCCCTTTCTGGCTGACGACCCCGGCATCTCCATGGTCACAAGCTGCCGGCAAACTATAATTCTGCTTTGCAACAAGGCAGTTAGCAAACGAAATTTTGCACATGTGGATATAGAGTATTAAGCTCGACAAAGGCAGCCGACATTCAGGCCGGCGCCATTTCTTCGTGAGTCGTACACGCCATAAACGTTCGTGAAGCGCGATGATACCTAATTGAGTCGGCGTTGCCGCGTTGTATTGAGCCTGTGGCGCCTGCCGCCACGAAAGTATACGTACCTTTTACCTACCCGGTATAGACTAGGCGCTCAGCGGACGTAATCCGCTCTAACCAATACTCGCAAACAATCCGCAGCAGTGGCCGCTGTCGTATATACGTGTTCATGTCTGACACGCGTGGGGGTCGAAAGGAGGCAAGCGAAGCCTCGCAGAGTCCCAAAGGATGCAAGTCCAAGCGTCTACCCTTGAGCACTGGACTCGGCCGGTATGCTATGTTGCGGTTTGCTGAGGTTAGGCCCATGTCCATCTTTCGATGTGTCCGTCACGGATAGGCCGGAGTCACGAACTGGGAACTATTGACGATGCTCGAGCTTTCGACAAGCGAGTCGCTCCTTTGCGAGCAATGTCTTGTAGTAGGGCTCCTGACTCCGGCTTTTTGCTTCCTCGGCATGGCTGGTAGAGTTCATGGAGGCGAAATTGTACAAACTCTTGACTCTTGACACCCGTAAAGAGTGGTACTGATCGCGCCCTACCTGCTCTTACAGCGGGGTAGTAACGTTGGGAGAGGTACAGGAGTCCTTAGCCGCTTCTTCCACCTGGAACCTGTCGGCACAGTGAACACTCTGGAGTCCTGCAGGAAAGTAGCTAAGCGGTGGCTTGCTTCGAAGGATGTAAGCCGCGGGCAAGGTACAGTACCTGCTGCCATCTAAGCAACGGCGTGCTCGTAACGGCACCATGGCACGCTTGCAGCTGAGTGGTTGAGTTGGTTAGATCTGTGATGATAGCGTGACTTGTGCTCTCATGTCCGACTACCGAACGACCAAGGGTTCTGCTTGGGATCGGATCCAAGACAAGGAGGCGGGATGTGATGGGATCAGAAAGCAAAAAAGCAGTCGTAGTCAGACCATTAAATAAGGCTGTCCCCAGAGCACAAGGATACTTTGAACATCTCATCGAGCATCTTTCTCTTCCTCAATCGACACTCTTCATCACAGATCCATCATGTCTGATGTCAAGCACCATCCTGATGTGTTCTCGGACAAACTTTCTGATCTGGAGATCAGCCATATCGAACACAACCGCGCCGACTCAGATGATTCGGTAGCATCACAACCCAAGTTCGTCGAGACTGGTGTGCCACTCAACAGATCACCCACTGCGGCTCAGTTGGATAAAACGGATCCCAAGTTCCTTTGGCCCAGAATTCGATTGATGTGCCAAGATGCCTTCTCTGAATTCATCGGGACGTTTATCATTCTCATGTTCGGTGATGGTGTCGTTGCCCAAGTCGTCCTGAGCAATGGTAAGAAGGGTGACTACCAGTCCATCAGTTGGGGTTGGGGTATTGGTGTGATGTTGGGTGTGTACGCCGGCGGCAAGAGTGGTGCTCATCTCAACCCTGCCGTCACCTTCTCGAGTTGTGTATTCCGAAAATTCCCGTGGAAGAAGTTCCCAATCTACATGTTGGCTCAGACCCTCGGAGCATTGTAAGTTCATCCATGGTGTGTTCCAGTATTGTTGTTCTATACTGACGAGCTTTCTCAGCTGCGCTGCCGGTGTTGTCTACGCAAACTACAAATCGGCCATCGACACCTTCGAGGGAGGTGCCGGTATCAGAACAGTGACCGGAGCCAATTCAACAGCTGGTATCTTCTGCACATATCCCGCCGAGTTCATGACACGGACGGGTATGTTCTTCTCGGAATTTATCGCCAGTGCTCTTCTTATGTTTGTAAGTACTCTTTCTGAGCATTGCCACTATTTCCAACATATACTAACACATGTCGGCGTAGTTGATTTTTGCCTTGAAAGACGACTCGAACCTTGGCTCAGGCAACCTCACACCGCTCGGACTTTTCTTCATCATCTTCGGTATCGGAGCATGCTGGGGCTGGGAGACAGGCTATGCTATCAACTTCGCCAGAGATTTCGGTCCTCGTCTTATGTCGTATTTCCTTGGATATGGCAATGAGGTCTGGTCGGCAGGAGGTTACTACTTCTGGTATGTCCACAAAGCCTTGGCAGCTTGACGTTTGCTAACATATTCCAGGATTCCGATGGTGTCGCCGTTCTTTGGTTGCGTCTTTGGTGGCTTTTTGTATGATCTTCTTATGTTCACCGGCGAGAGCCCCATTAACGAGGAGTGGATGGGTATTCCTGGAGCATACTACCGCATGACTTCGTTCGCAAGGTCCAAGAAAGAGAAGACAGACTCCATTGTTTAAATGTCAGAATCAGAAAGGTACGGAGAATATTAATTCCGGTAGAACAAAAAGCAAGCCCTCGAGGAGCAGACTCTTTTTCCAGAAAATTTCCGTGTATTATGATGGCAAGTGGAGCGATTGTTTGTCGCGTTTCGAGAGAGAGAGAAATGTGCAAACGTAGAAGGTTGAAAAGCGGTATGACTTCATAGTCAAGAGGTTGAGGCTCAACATGGACGATGCAGGAGCGGCGGTGTGGCTGCAGGAGTCGGTGCTTGATCTACGACTTTATGCAATCGCAACGTGGGCGTGGAATATCGAGACCAAACACTTATCCGTTGATCCATCCAGTTGTTCCAGCGCAGAGAAAGCAAAGAAGTTTGTTGTGTTGTTTCGTGGTGAGCGGTGAACGACAGCCAAAGCTTCGGGAAGCGTCGGACCCTGAATCGAGTATGCGGCCTGAATTTGTTCGTCTCAATTTCCTCGTCACGCCAGGTCATGTTTTCTCTCTGCTCTGTATATATTCTTCCTTGAATTGAGTTGTTGCGTCTGTTAGATTCTGCGCCTTAGCGATCGTTATGGTTTTTGCTCGTTCCGAGCTCCGCATCTGTACACATTAATTCGGCAGACTCAAACGTCATGTCATCACCACCCATCGATGCCGCCAATGGGTCGCCGGTAGTCCCTGCTGCTCTCACTGGGGACGTAGAACGTATCAAGGAGCTCGTCCGCCTATCTTCGGGCTCCAACATCAGCCACCAGGTCTTCCGAAGGTCTTTCCACACAAACATCACCCAAGGACACATCCTCAAAGAGCTCGAGACTCTGCAGAAGAGGTTACGCAAATCACAACATCCCAGTCCGACCGCCAGTCCCGACTCCGATGACGAATTCCTTTCCGATGCTGATCTTGAGCGAGCACAAGACCAGCATCTCCGAGAGCTTGCTCAAGTTCGTGAGGAACTAGAAAGAGTCAAGCGCAACCGAGAAGAATGGCTAGAGGATGCCGAAAGTCGCATCGATGTTCTGATCGAGGAGAAGGAAACTGTTGCTGCTCAGCTTCACAAGATTGTGCAAGAGTTGGAAGAGAGTCAGGCACAACGAGATCGAATCAAGCAATCTCTCGACGCGCTTGTATCGAAGAACAATGCATTGACCTCAGAGAACGAGGAGAACCAAAGTCAATTGTCACAACTACGTGAGGATAGCGACAAGTATCACAAGCTGTATGAAGAGGCCAATGCATCAGTTCGTGATCTCGAGAAGGCTTCAAAGGCTGCCGAACAAGACAAGGAGAATTTGAATATTTCTCTACTAGTCGCCAACAAGAAGATTCAAGAGCTGGAAAAGAAAATTGCAGAAGTCTCCGCTACTGCTGATGAAGCAAAGTCACAAATCAAGAGCTTGGCAGACCTTGAGGCATCGCTGCGCAAGTCTTTGGAAGAGAAGTCGCAAGAGGTTGCCTCCCTCCAAGAAGCCAACACTGAGGCCTCTGCGAAGCTTCAAAGATCCATCGAGGACAGCAATACCAAGCAAAACAAAGCCGAAGAGGCTTTGAGCAATCTCAAGTCATCCAAGGCCGATATCGACGCTGAGCTCGCAACCTTCAAGATCAAGGCTGCTGACTTCGGGAAGCAGCTGGCCGCAGCTACTCAGGCGCTGGAGACTGCAGCTTCTGAGCGCGAAACTGAGAGACGCAGAGCCGAAGAAGAGTTGCAATCGCTCAGAGGCGAGAAGGCCGCTGTTGCCGCAGAGCTCGATGATACGAAGACCCAGCTTTCTTCCACTCAGAAAGAGAAGGAAGATGCCGTTGACAGGCTTGAGAAAGCACTCGACCAACACACCGGAGCCCAGAAGACCATCGAGAACTCTCTTGCCAGCAAGACTAGAGAACTTGACGACATCCGTTCGAAGCTTTCGAAGGCGCAAGACGACCATGCATATCAACTCGATGTACACAACAAACATGCGCTAAAGGTCCATGACGAGCTCAAACAACAGCACGAAGCTGTGCTCAACGACCTGGCCAGCTTCCGTCAAAGCGCGGCGGAATCTGACAGTGGTTTGAAGACAAGGCTCGCAGAGGTGGCTGGAAAGCTTGTGAAAGCGATGAAAGAAGCCAAACAGAGAGAGGAGGACGACCAGCAAAGTCGGGCTAGAATCACTACCATTGAGTCGCAACTCGCCACTTCTCAAGCCCGTGCGTCCTCCCTTGCCCAACAACTTGATCAGCTCGGTCAGTCGAAGCACGAGATCGGACTTGAATTGGCTTCTCTAAAAGAGCAAACCGCATCTTCGCAGGAGGAACTCCAACTTCTTCGCGACACAAAGACGCAGATTGAACGACAACTCGAATTATCTAAGGAGCAAGCATCTTCGTCTGGTCAAGAACTTGAGTCATTGCGTCAGTTAAAAGCTGAGGCTGAGCAGAAGTTGGCCGTCTCTCTGGAACAGACCTCGTCGACATACTCAGAGCTTGAAAGCCTTCGCCAAGCCAAGGAGAAGGTCGAGCAACAGCTAAGCATTTCGCAAGCAGAGAAAGTCGCATCTAGTACAGAGCTCGAGCAACTCCATCGAGATTGGAACAACGTTGACCAACAATTGGCTGCTTCTGAGGAGAAGTCTGCTTCCCTGTCGAAGGATCTCGCTGATCTAGAGCAGTCCAAAGGAGAGGTCGAGAGACTGTTGGCCCTCTTTCGTAGCAAGGTGTCGTCACTGTCGGATGAAGTCAAGCAACTTCGCGATTCCAAAGATAAGACTCAGCAACTGCTCACTGCCTCCAAAGAGAAGGCATCTCAAGCCGCTCGCGAGCTCGAGCAACTTCGCGAATCTAAGCTTCAAGTTGAACAAGAGTTGAATGCTTCTCGTGAGCAAGCGTCTTCCGCATCGAAGGAGCGTGAGGCAATATGTCAGTCCAAGGACCAGGTGGAGAAGGAACTCTCACAACTTTCAAGCCATCTTGAAGACTCTCGCAAACGTCTGGATGAGCTACGGGTAGCCAAAGACAAGGAGTTGACAGATGTTTCCAAGGATTTGAAGAGGGCTATTGATCGACTCTCAGAGACTGAAAGGTCCAATGAAACCATTCGCACGCAGACCGAGCGCGACCATCAGAAAGCCTTGAACGACTTGCGACAAGAGCACGAGAACCTGCTGAAGAACTCCACAGCACAGTCAGCAACCGAGTTGGCTGATATCAAGCAGTCTCACGACACCGCAGTTTCTGAGCTCGAGCGCCATATCAATGAGCTGAAGTCAACTATGGCGACCCAAGAAACCGAGTCAAATCAAGTTGAGAAAGAAGCTGAGCGTAGATTCCAGGAGGTTCGCTCTGAACAAGAGAAGCGTGAAAAGAGACACGCTGAGGATCTCGAGTCTGCCAAGCAAGCCCATGAGTCGGCATATGCTGCACTGGAGAAGCGACTCAACACAGCAGCAGAAAATCACAAGTCCATGCTCACAGCTGTCAAGACTCGCTACGAGGAGAAAGGCGTTGAGGCCCGAATCAAATTTGAGGCAGAAGTGCAAGAAGAGCGTCGTCTTAGACAAGATAGGGAACAGGCTCTCGATGGTGCCCAGACTCGCGTAAGTGAACTGGAGGAGCGCTTGACCCAGATACAGAACGATCTAGCTGCACAGGTCCAAGAAGCAAAGACCAAGCGTGAGGTGATGAACAACGAACTCGCATCTACCAAGTCGAAGTACGATACTAATATTCAGAATCTGACTGACGCTCACGAGAAACGTCTCGCTTTGGAACAGCGAAAACTCCAAGCTGCACAGGACTCTGCCAAACAGCAATCAGCACACGAGCTTAAGAAGCTTGGCGATAAACACAAGATTCAGCTTGATGACACGGCCAAGGACTCTCTCGATGCACAGAATGCACTCAGGCAGCAACTGGAAGCTTTGAAGGCAGAGAACGAGAATAATCTGGAGAGCAACGAGAAGGAGGCATCCGCTGCTCAAGATAAATTGCACGAACGTCTGGAAGCCTTGAAGGATGAATACGAGGAAAAACTTCGTGTATCCAGAAAAGAGGCCGAGGCGGCTTGGGCTGATTTGCAAAAGAAGCTTGAGCGCCTGGAGGAGGAGCATCTATCAAAACACAACGCAGCATCTGAAAAGGCTAGACTCGCCGAAGAATCGCTGGCTCAAAGCAATGAATCTCACGCAAAGCACGTTCGCCAGGTCGAAGCTAAGCACGAGAAGCATTCCAAGGCGGCCGAAGAACAGCACAAGCAGAAGTTGGATGCCTTGCGCGCCGAGCTTCAGGAGAGCAGCGAGGATCGTGTTCGACAGCTCGAGGAGCACAACGCTTCTGCTCTCAAGGATGTCAAAGCCAACCATCTTAAGAATCTTGGCCTTCTCCGCAGCGAGTTTGATAAGCGCCACGAGGAGCGCCTCAGAAAGCTCGAGGAAGACCATCGCTTAAGGCTCGAGGACACCGAAGCAAAGTGCCGTGAGAAGCTCCAGCAGGCTCGGCAAGCTTCAGACAACACTTCTTCTGAGGCAGTGAAAATGCAACAGCAGCAGATTGAGGATCTAAAAGCCCAGCACGATGCTCAGCTTGCGGTTATGCGAAAGGCTTCTGAGGCTGACTCTTTCCAAGCTGCCCAGAAGTACAAACAGGATATTCAGGAACTGGAAGATAGGCATCGCGCCCAGCTCACCGAGGCTCAGGAAGCATCAGAGGCCGCGTCTTATGAGGCCGTTCAGAAACACCAGCAGAAGGTCGAAGAGTTGCATGTCGCCCACCGTAACAAGCTTGATGAGACCATCCAAATCCATGAGCAGCGCTCCACTGGAGCTCGCGAGGCTGTCGAAGAACAAGTCGAAGAGCTTAATGAGCAGCTAAGCAAGCTTCACCTCGATAACCAGGCTGAACTGTCCTCCTTGCGCAAGGAAGTTGAGAGCAAATCTGCTGAAAGTCAGAAATCTCGTGAGGAAGCCGAAACCGTTCGCCTAGAAGCCGCCACTATTCAGACCGACGCTCAAGAAAAGCACGCCGAGCTACAAGCCCAGATCGAGGAGCTCAGAAAGGATCACAAGAGTCAACAAGAGTCACATGCTCGCGAGTCTGAAGGAAAATTGGCCGAGCTCAAGCATTCTCATAAGACGCAACTGGCGAACATTCGCGAGGAAGCAGAGCGAGCCAGAACCAGCGATGTGCAAAAGTGGGGGGACGAACTGCGTCAACAGCACGAGAAGGATCTTAGCAGTCGTGCCATCGAAGCTGACGAGAGGTTGTCCGAGCTCAAGCGTACCCACGAGACTCAACTGGCTCATGTTCGTCAAGAGGTTGAGCAAGCCAAGGCAAGCGAGATGGAGACACAGCTGGAGAATACACGCCAACAGTACGAGAAAGCGCTCGCCGAGCACATCGCCGACAAGGACAACAAGATTGCCGAACTGAAGAACAACCACGAGCAGGCAGTTTCTGAGGCTCAGCAGGCTGCTGACGAAGCCCAAGCAAACTTACAGCTTCAATTGGACGCCCTTCGTGAACAACACGAGAAGGAACTCGGCAGTCACGCTACCGACAGAGATGCTAAGCTATCTGAGGTCGCCATCAATCATGAGCGAGAGCTCGCTGATGTGCAGCAAGTCGCTGCAAAGGCTCAAGCCGATCTGAAGTCTCGTATCGAGCAGTTGGAAGCCAGCCACCAGAAAGCTCTGGAGGCTCAAGCTAGTGACGCTGAGACCAAATTCACTGATATGGCTTCGAACCATTCGCAAGATTTAGAGAAGGCTCAACAACTGCTAACGACCAGCCAGGAAGAAGCAGAGATGACAATCTCGCAGCTGAAGCAGAGCCATGAAGAGAATATCATCTCCGTCCGTCAACAAGTCGAAGACCAAAAGACTGAGTCCGTCCAGTCGTACGAGCAACAGCTTGTAGAACTCGAGAAAGAAAGAAAAGAGAACCAATCATCGGCCGTGCGTGTGCAACAAATCCTACAAGAAGAGCTCAAGCAAGAGAAGCAAAGACTGACCGAAGTAGAAGCAAGAGCTCAAGAAAAAGCCCTCCAAGAAACGCAAGAACGGAGCCGCCAACTAGCCGAGGCTAAGGAGGAGCATGAATCTGCGGTGGGGGCGCTGAGAAAAGAGCTTATGGCTACCAGTCAGAAGCTGGAGCAGGCAGAGAAGGATACTCATAAACTCTCTGAGGAAAGGCGAGGTCTTTTGGTGGAGTTGGGCGCATTGAGAGTGGAGATGGAGAAGGAGAAAAAGCAGCGGATCGCGTCAGAAGAGGAGAGAGCTACGACACTGAATACAAGATTGATTGAGGAGAAGAAAGTGGAGACCAAGCTGGCCAATGTGGAAAATGAACGACAGAGAGCCGACCTTACCATTGCACAGTTAACATCCCAAAAGGACGACATCTCTAATGAGTTCGACGCGTTGATGTCACGGCTGGAAAACCTTACCATTGAGTTAGAACAAACTAAGCAAACTCTGGTCGACAATGGCACTGACTCAGACTCGAAGCTCAAGACCCTCGAGGCACAGCTCCAAGAGACGCTAGCAGAGAACGCAGCGTTGAGCAAACAAGGCCAATTCCTTAGACCCACCACCCCTGCGAACAAGTCTGCGCCGTACAGCAGGTCGGCTTCGATTGGAGATGTGAGTCAGAGATCAGGCGCCGAAGACTACTTTGCTCATTCGGGATCCAACCACTCTGAGATGGGCAGGGTTATCACTGCCAGCGAGGCTCTATTTACCCAGAAGTTAAAGGAGCATATCGACAGCTTGGAACGGGCCAGAAATCAGCTCAACCAGGCCTATAAGCAGAGATTCGATGCTATGGCTGATGATACGGCCCGACGTGAAGAGCAACTTGAGTCTCAGCATGAAACTGAACTTGAAGCTGCTCGCAACAAGCTGAGAGCAAGCTTTGCAGAGCATCTTGACCACGACGGTGTCAAGACTATGGCAACTGCACCATCTGAAGGAAATGTCGACGAATTCCAGATGCAAGACAGAAAGTTGGTTACTGAGCACGCAGAACGACTCGCGAACAGGAGATCTCAAGTCCAACACCACCATCATCTACAGTTCCAAGCACTGAGCGAAGAGTACGACAAGAAGATCGCCGAGCTGCTCGGCGAGAAGGACATGCTAGACTCTGATCTAAGCATCGGACCCGAACGCTTCGAGGAGATGTCCGAGCAGATTGACCGTCTACACAGTCCAGCCTCTGTGCGCCACAGACCTCTACGCTCAGTGACTTCGACCGACTATCTGCAAGGCAATCGTAACGCACACCAAGAACACCTCTGGCGCAACGTTGAGACCTACCACCCCACACGTGCAGAGTCTCCTGGCGTAGTATCACCCTTGCGACCCCAAAGCGCCGATACGCATGGCTCTCTCCGCCGCAAGACCAGCCATGGCCGTTTATCCTCCTTCATGGGCAAAATCTCCTCTCCATTCAGCTCGTCCCGCTCTTCTCGCTCTTCAATCTCTGGCTCCTCTGTGCGCCCTAGAACAGGCCAACGAGTCGTCTCTACACCTCCTCCCTCTTCTCGCCCTAATTACAACCACAATAGCATTTCCTCGGGCTCGGGCAGACTGAGTCGAAGTACAACTCGCCCCATGACAGCAGAAGCCCGCGAACACGCAGCCATGGACTTTTCAATCGCGCCTGCACAATTCGAAGCTCTGCAAGAAGGCCAGGAACTAAAAAGTGAGCAATTGATAAGGAGGCAGAGTGTGGTTAGTGTAGAGCAGCAGCAGTCACACAAGAGTCCGAAGATTCTGCGTCACATTTCGGGGTCGATTAGAAAGAAGATGTCAAACTAGGTATGCGGCTGTGGGATTTGTGGTGGTAGGAGTGAGGGAAGATGCAAGAGGTGTGAGATTGAGGAGGAAGCATTGTTGGGCATGGAGAATGCATTGCATGGTACAGCATAGCGGATTGTGTGAATATTGTGGCATTGTTTTGAGTTGCATTGTTTTGGTTCCATCGTTCCTGTCATATTGTAACACTACTGCTGTATGAGATAGTAATCTCTCGACACTCTTGTATCGTTCTGAAATACCAGAGGTACGCCAGCCACCAAATGCACGAAGGCTTGAGTTTGGGGCAGTCTCCAATATGCCGTAGCTTTCTGGGTTCGAAGACGCCACCAACAATCGTCCAGATATAGGTTACAAACGATTTGCTGAATTACGCGCCCAACCCTATCAGGACCAATCGTTCGACTTCTACAGACTGTGACTATTCGACCTGCATGCGAGCTGCAGAACATTTGGCGCCTGACGATCAATGGTGACGTGTCCATGCAGGACTTGGTCGAGGCCAAGGGCCAATCGAGCAGACGTCTCAGCAAGGGAGAATGGGTATTTGAACCAGCATGGCTGCTCATCGAGGCAACACACCAGCACTAGACCCTTTTCTAGAAAGACCACTAGAAATCTTGCAATGTGTTACTACGACGACCCAACTCCCGTCAAATTCGACATATGCAAGCACACAATTCTCGTCCCCAAAGAAGAAGTTGTCCAGAAGCTATATTATGAGGAAGCAACTGCACGGTGATCCAATCGACTAGCAAAGGATCCACCACCAACAGAAAATTCGAATGCCCGGACTGCAGAGCTGTAGGATTCATGCTCGACTCCACGATCTGAATCGAGCCACTAACAGAGCAATGCAGGCAAGGGCGCAGATAAGAAGACGGGTTTCTGAATGGTGTGGTCTCCGTCTCGTGGGATTGCTGGAGTGTGGGATGCTGCCGACATGATGGCGCGCTTGAGCTCGTCAAGACTTTTGAATTGGTGCGACCATGACTCTACAATAACCTGTCCGAGGGGCAGATCTGCAGTAGATGGTAGTGTCTCTGCGGCCGGCCATTCGTTAATGGCTACACAGTCGACCTGAAACTTCTTCCAACAGGCAATGGAGTAGATGACATTGGTGACATGTAAGATATCGACGTCTGCTGTGTAGCCTCTAGAATCCACAAGCTTTTCATCGCCGCTCAGTGGAAGCAACGAACCGTTTGCAAAGTCGATGGCTCTGATACTCAAATTGTCAGCAAGCATGAGATTGCGGAGCGCGATATCGAAAACAAGCACTCGGCGAGCATGACAGGCTCTGAAAAGCTCGACAAAGAGCTTTGGAATCTTCATCACTATGGACGCTCCTGGGTCTCGCACAATGTAGCCATCCAGGCCCGACCCCATGATTTTGTTCGAATCAACGTATGTCCCGTCGGCAAGAATCAAGCATGACATGCCTGTAGAGGTCATGGTGACTGATATAGAAGATAGGGTGCAGCGAAGAAGTCAAGTCTGATGTATCGCAGCGGTAAGAGCGCTTTGCTGGCGTGATCGTCCGTGCACCCTTGCAGGAGATGAAGCAGCGACATGACTGATTAACGCTGCCACTACCTTGTGCACGAATTTATCGACCTTAAGCGCTGTAGCTTTAGCAATTAGACGCACCGCTGCATTCCCACATGAATGAATATTTGGAGCAATCCTGCACCGTGCCAATACAGCCTATCATGTATCGAGTTGGCCGTGTCCACGGTATTTCTGTGCACACGTGCGCGGCCAACGCACTTGGCTATCACAAGGTGAGATGGTGAGCAGTTCCATTGACCGAGTAGGCGATTCGGGTGTGAAAACAACGATGGTGTTGACGACAGCGAAAAGAAGTCGTACCCGTGAGGTTGGGAGCGCATCGTGCTGAGTAAGCAACGCGCACCTCCTGGAAATTGAGACAAGCAGCTAGCTGTCAATTTTCATGTGTCACGATTCGAAGATATTCAGCCGAGATGAGATAGTATGATAGAAGATCACAATGCCGTTCTATCTAAGTGGGTATACATAATTTGATCTGGCGCGGAAAGCAAGAAGAGCTCGAAAGCACAGTATAAACAGCATGTACCGCGTAATAGACTTTTTTATCTCCTTCCTTCCTGTAAAAGCTCCAGGACACATATCGTTGGCCCTTCCCAACAACCTCAGAGAGAATGGCAACAAAAATGGTGAGAAAAGTGAAGAACAAGATAGACAAGAAACGGGTATCGACAAGAATGAAAAGAAGAAGGTGGATATCTTAGAAGAATGTAAGAAAGATATGGAATAAATCGAGGCGAAGGGAAATGAAAATCGTAAGTCGTCGTTAGAAGTTAGCAACGTATTGCTTTTTTAAGTCTCCTCGGCGAGGAGCTCGTCTCCAGTCTCGCGCCACTCGCGACTACGGTCGTTCAGACGTCTGGTACCAGGAACACGTGTGGCCCAGAGGCTCTCGGCCGGTGTGCGCATGGTGAAACCGCGTTGACTGCTGATAACACCAATGGCCTGCAATACAGCTTTGCGACTGTCGCGACCAAACACGGCGGGGTGGTTGATCCATTCCAGAGATGAGGCGAGCTCAGTATCGAGTGCTGACATGATATCAGCGTCGATACCGGCAGCAGGTGTGAAAGGGCTCATGGGCTCAAGACGAGGTGGTGTAGGTGTACGTCTTGGCTCCGTGGAAGGCGGTGCTCCCATGAACATGGGAGGTGGCGGTAGAGGACCAGCCGGCGGACCTGAAGGAAGGCCAGAAGCGGGACCATCGTTACCGTTACTGTGAATGCTTGCCGTAGGAGTTGGCGGCAGACGAGCAGTTGGGGGCGCCGAAGGTGGTGGAAGTGGAGGGAGGCCTCCCTTGCCAAGACCCTTCAAGATGCTTCGAGTCTCTGTAAGGAGATGCGAGGCTCTCTCATGCTGACCTCTTGACACCAACGTCAAAGCTCTGGTGAGCATGTCGGAAGTCAACAACTCCATGCGGCGCTGAACGACCGACGGATGAGGTGGGATTGCTGGAGTCAATGTGCGGCCCACTGAAGTCTTTTTCGAGACTGGAGGTAACATGGTGATTGCGAGAAGTGATGGACGAGGTAGCTGAGAAACATTGCCTTCGCGCAAAATGTCGCCCCACGCGAGGTCGGCTTGAATGAGCGGGACTTCTTCGACAGATACCGGGCGCATATCATCTTGATCAAGAGGTCCGCCCAATGCCTCGAGTCCAGAGACGATAGTCTCCCAAGGGTCTTGCAGATCCTGTTCGGGACTTGAGTTGTCGGGTGAGATGGCTAACTGTACAAGAATATCTATACCAGCATTAGCATGGGAAGTTTATGCGAGCCCGTGTGTTTAGCTTACCTCTCTTATCGCCAAATCGCAGATCACCTAATGATGCCTCAGCATCGCGACCGGTGGCACGCTTTGTGATTTGAAGGGCACCGCTAATCTTGACGAATTTAGCAGGCGAACCCTCCGGCAAGCGGAGTCTCAGTTTAGCGTTTTGGTGTGAAACACTTTGCAGAGATCCCAGACAGCCAGCCACGCACTCGCGGAGCATCATCCAATCTTTGACGTATGTGTATGTTGCCTTGGTACGAGTGGAGAGCTCGATCATCGTATCAGGTTTATGTGTAAGACCTAGACCGAAAGAGTGAATCGCGATCCTGTGAGTTGTTAGCTATTGTCGCCTATCATTGTCGCTTCCGGAATCAGAAGGCGCTTACTTTGCAGCCTCAGCGCGTGAGACGACGAAATCGACGCTCTCGATGTCGGATGTTGTGGAGTCACTAATGAGCATGACGCCAGAGATGGGGTTGGTCGCCTTTCTTTGCATCAAAAGATCCATGGCCACGTTCGCGCCATCGACAACGTCAGCGCGAAGGCTCTTCTGGCCGATGGGCTTGATGGCTTCGAAAACTCTTGACCAACCGTTCCATTTCTTGGAAGTCATGCCCACAACAGGCATGCTACCTCCACTAGATCCGTAGGTTACAAGACCCATACGATCCTGCTCACCGAGACTATTCACCAGGAAACGCAGGACGTCGCGTAGCAATGAAATCTTGAGACCTTGCATGGATGAAGAAATGGGGATGACAACCACAATGTCTAGGGGAACGTGGATTGTGACAGGAAGCCTGAATCCTTGTGTACCGCGGAAAGTAGGACTGGTGTACTCGGTGGGTGCAGTGTAGGCAGACTTGGGAGCACCATAAGATGACGGTATGGAGGACCGTCTACCACCTCTTGATGCGAGCTCGTCTTCATCTGTCCCCGAGGTCTCGAGATCTTCGTCGCTTTCAGATAACTCGAGACTGTTGATACTGATGAGGGCGCGTCTCCAGATATCCAATTGTGATCTATCGCGGAATTGAAGATGGAAGTGTGGTAGCTCGGCGACTGAGAGATTGAGAGTGAGAATATCGTGCTCAGGAACGAATTGAACCTGCTTGAGGTGTCTCTTGATCAAGATGGAGCCTTTGAGGGTACACTTTGTTCTCATCTTGGCAGACTCAGACGCTGTCTCCCACTGGTTCTGAGGCTTCTTCTCCTTGATGCATATGAGCATTTCAGTGAAAAGGTAGCACTCCAGATCTTGCCAAGATTGGCGGTCTTTGCCTACACGAATGGTGCCATGGAGAAGAAGTCTGCCGAATCTGTGATTGAAGATCAGTATGTGATCAGAGTGAAAGGTTGTTGAGCTCCCTACCTTGAAAAGTCCAGTCCGTGCCAATTGTCAACCTTTGTGTGCAAATCTTCAGTGACACGGTCCAAGACGTGCGAAGGGGTGTGCGGAAGGTCGAATTGGCGTTGAGCCTCAGGCGAGCGGGGCATTGACATGGTATCGATGTTGTCGGTAGCTGGAGAAACGATGTCTTCGGGATCAGGACGCCATTTTCCGTCAACTACCTCGACTGTGACCAAGCAAGTCAAGCTTTGCTGCTGACGACTTCGATTGAGAGTGGGAAACTCGGTGCGGACAGTGACAGTAGGGGCGGGTATGGGATTCTTGACGGTGTGACGTGGGCTGGGAATGTCAGCAGCGATGGACTGGAGGTCGTATTCGATCCTGCGATTGCGAGACTCGTCTGTCGCTTGACTGTTGTTTCTCTCATGCTGACGTGACTCGACCGATCTGGTTTGCACGCTGTTGTGAGTGTTGTGAGTGTTGATGCTGTTGTGATGGGTGTTGTGGGTGTTGACGCTGTTGTTGTGGTGATGAGAGCGAGTGAAGCTGGCCTGGGTGGGTGGACGCGGGCTTGGGTCGAGGATGGCGGTTTGCACCGAGCCATGGCTGTGGTGAGTTTGGCGAGGCGGGTCGTCCCACGGCGTGGGAGTGTTGTCCGAGTCCCGCGTACGGTCGCGCAAGTCGGGGCTGTTTGTGCTACGGTTGTTGACCAGGTTGTTGAGTTTTGCTGTGAGTGATTAGCTACCGACATTGTGGTTGACAGGACTTGTCGGTGTTACCAAAGTTTAGGTTTCCGCCGCGGCTGGTGTCGAGCCCCAATGGAGCGTTACACGAAGGGCATTCCTGCGACTCAAACTCCTTGATAAACTCGTAGAAACAAGCTTCGTGAGCGACATGGCCACACGACAGCTGCAGAATGCGCTCGCCGCGCAACGTGTGCTCCAGCGGCTCCTCACATGCTGCACACTCTGTGCCGATCAGCGTGCGCTCACGGCGTGACTTGGGCCCGGTGGCATCGATCATGTCGCCGAGTTCGTCTTGTTTCTGGAAGCGCACCGTCGACGCCGACGTCGAGGGCCGGGCAGGCGCCTGCTGCTGTTGCTGCTGCTGCTGCTTCTTCAGACGCGATGAGTTTGTGCGGTCATGCAGCCCTCTGAGCGAGGCGAAGCGTCTGCTTGTCTTGGGAGTCGTCGTGGCTGCGGTGTTCGGGGAAGGTGCGAACGGCGATGTGTTTACGTTGCTGCTTCTTGAACTGGGACGGAAAACAGACGCAAAATTGACAGGCGCCGAATGCTGAGGGCCGGCCATGTCCAAGTACCGCAGTCTGGCAATGACGAACAAGCAGCTGGTCTGAGGTGCCGGTAGTATTGAGCCATCATCCAAAAGACGCTCATAGCGCGCGTTCGCCTGAATCGATGAGCGAGCCGGGGCCATGCTAACGCTCAAACTCTCTGCCACGCTGCCAAACCAAGTCCAAGGGTCCGCAAATCCAATCTGACTCCCGTTTCCCCTGTCTTGGAGGAATTAACCTTCTCGGTCGTGCCTTCCTCGCCTATCCAGATTGTCGCCATCTATTTCGTCCTGCGCCTGCTTCCTCAATTCGCACATCTCGCATTATCTTGATGCCCGACGGACTTGTCTTGTCTTCCCAATATTGGTTTGTTCCATGAATTTTCCATCTATCCAACGGTTACCAGCCTGCCGGCGCCGCGATAACCAGTTGAGCGTTGGATTCAGAAACATGCTACCGGAACCATGCCAAGTTCCTCTTTTTGTCATTGCGAGTTCCACTCTTTCCTCTTCTCCGTTTTGTACCGCCCTCTCCGTGCGCTATGACTGCTGCAGTACAGCCCTGCGCAGATTGCCATAATCACTTACCCGTCCCTCGTCTTGTCCTAATCTGCCGCTTGTCTCACTCGAACAGCTGCCTTTCCTATCACGCGAACACTTTGTGAGCTTGATCACCCTATCTGCTATTATTGTCTGTCTATCATCGCAATAGAAACACGCTGCTGGCTCTTCGAATCCTTCACCATGAAGTCAACAAGCAGTCGTTCCAACAGCGGTACTCGGCTTACCTCTGAATCAGCTAGCTAACTATCTTTTGGTTGGTCTGAACTCTAAGCCTTCTCTTCCCCCAAACCCTGCGACAACCCACGCGATGATATGCTTCGCCATCGACTTTGCCCTGACAATCAAGCCCTTTGCACCCCGATGCTCCCCCTCTACGTGATTGGACGTCGTCATTCCATTCGCAAGAACCGGTTAACATCCGATCCCATATGAAAGCGCATGATCAAAGACGTATGATGTGCCGTGTGCTCACCGTCTGGCATCAACTATGTACACGACCCATCTCAATCCCACCAAGCATCAGCCCACTCGTCTTGTTTACCGCTTGCATTCCAGAAGTCTAGCAAACTTGATCGGCAGCTAATATGCTCTCGTATTCATCACTTCTTATCGCTTATCTGATCCTTACTCTCTGATCCTTCGAGGCATGAGGACTCACTTTAAGACCACGACCTCCGACAAGTCGTCTACAGAGTTTGCATCCTTCTTTCTGGAAGCCGTCAGTCTCCGCTTACAAGGTTTTCGGCATAGCTTTCCAAGGTTACAGAGCCACGAGGCACCGCGGCTTGTATCGCCCCAGCTTTTGGCGCGTGTGCTTGCGCTGCTTTACACCGTCTTGCATGATAGACAGTAAAGGACTTCAATTTCGACCTGAACTGGTGTTCCACGCTCAAGGGCCCACATGAGCTGATTATCTTCAGGTGTGGCTCCGAAGTTGTGATAAATCAGTGTGGACATAATATCATGGCTCTCTTACTACCTTTGACGCGCCACGGAACTTTGAACTCCTCAATGATGCATCTAGAAACCAGTTTGCCATACCGTATTCTGTCAGGGCTTTTACGGCCGGTGACCACTGCCACATTTTCTTGGTATCTCTGATCGTTAGTAAGCCACATCCCCCTCAATGCGGGTGTTGAAGTGCGAACGAGCACTCCGCATTCATCATCTAAGCTAGGTGTATGCAGTGATCAGTGATATCTTCAAGCGACGACAGATGGTCAGATCGAAGCACTACTTAAGTGACGCATCGGGCATCTGTTGTTACATGATTCAGAAGCGCATCGAACTCTCGTCAACCACAACCTAAAACTGTTAGAGTCCGAGCCCATAAGAAGGTACGCTAATAAGGTCCATCTTGCTAAACCTTTTACAAGAAGTTTTGTAGGTTAGGCGCAAAGTGGGCAACGACTTCCAACGGCCGGCGTGCATCTCCATTCTAGTGCGACCTGACTCACTGCCTCTAGGCTTAAACCGTTCCCTGGTCTTCGTTGTGCGATTATGCAAAAGCTCGCGGGCCTGTGTACATGCCGAGGTGGAGGAACTGTTCGACTGGAATTGTACGCATAGATAATGTGAAGATATCACAGTACAAGCTCTTTACAGAATCTCCATAGCGCTGCAGGCAGGGCTCCTCGCGGCTCCGTCGATCTCCCGCGTCGGCCCTCGACTCGTGCACATCACTGCATAACTTCTGCACAGATACTCCAAAGATAAATCTCCTTCTGCGCTTCCTTCTGTATCGGTACTTCCTCCGAGCTACTCACCGGCGCGTGCTCGGATCATCTTGACATGCACTCGGGACAAGGTTGGTAGCTCGTTGCTTCGGACGAGCACACGACGATCTGGACGACATAGCTGCAGCAGGATCTGCGTTCAACCTTGGTGGGCATGCATGTTTAAGTTACGTCCGAAGTGTCCTCGGAGCGTAGAAGTTCTCGGTCCCTGTTTCTGACATCGAAAGAAGCTGTCATGATCAGATAGGAGTACACCACTTTGTATCTAGAACGTACGTATATAGGCTTATGCTTTGAGATAGACACGGCTGTTAGTCGGTCCAGCAAGCCTCGAGCTTGGAAAAATTGGATGATCTCGTTCTCCGTGACTTGAGGCTCCGTGTCCACGAATAGGACACATATGATCTTGTAAGATACCGCTATGATCGTCAGCATCCTTGCATGCCTCCGAAGAACTAATGTACTCTTGTGATACGTAGTGTGATCGATTTGGGATGGTTCTATTGTCCAGTCAGGGTGATGAGCGCAGCAAAGACTGCCAAGAGCTGTGCGGACCAATCAAGATCAGCCATCTCAAAGTCCTGAAGCGCTGAATAAGCCCACCCTCATAAGTTCATACACGCAACAACAAACCAAATTGCCCGATAGGATGGAAAGAAGGAATGAGGCTTTTCAAAGAGTATGTGCTATCAGAGTGCTACTATTTTGATTTGATTCTCACTTTTTTGTAGCTCAAACCAATATGCATCGCTCTCAGTCAGTCAATTCTAGCGTTTGCGAGCAATCGTAGAAACGCCGACAGCATCATTCAAACTCTCGAAACGCTGTCGAAAACTCTAGAGGATATCACTTCTCGACCCGACGCATTCGATCACAAATTAGCCGATTATGTCTTCTTCCCGATATCACAAGTCCTCAAAGCCAGCCGGGATCTTCCAGTGCAGGCGATGGAAGCATGTTTGCGATGTCTTTGCATACTCATATCGAAGGGCTGGACCAAGTCAAATATTGATCAAGATCTGAGTGGTCAGCTGTTGATCTTCTTGACACTCACTTGCGATACCTCAGGCAAGACGGTGCCTACAGGACTCGCGACAGATGAGCTTCGCGCAGCTGGATTTCAATGTATGCAGGCGCTTTTCCAGTCTCTGAGGACCACTTCTGCAGGAAAGGCTTCTCTGGTCGGAACCACGAATGTGCCATCTTTGGGACATGCTGTCTCAGTAATCCTCGAGGGCGTTGTCAATGGTGAGTCTTTTCAAGTTCAACTGGCAGCCGCCGACGCTCTGCAGGCTTTGGTCGCTTGCATAGATGATCTGGAAGTACTGTCAAGCTTTTTGCCTGGTATAGTATCATCCTGGACCAAAGCTCTCACACCAAACACCAAAGGTCGTCGTCACTGGAGAGTTTTAGTGCCTGGCTTACGTGTCATCGAGTCACTACTGCGAGCACTCCTAAGCGACAAAGTGGTCAAACGGCTTTTACCCAAGACAGAAGACACAGCGGTTGAGAAAGTACCAGCGAAAGATCATATAATTACAAAACTTGACGAAAGTTGGGTCAAAGCAACGGCTGCGCAGTTGAAGGTCGCTATCTCGAACATCAACAGGCTTCGCAAACATGAGCGCCAGGATGTCCAAGAAGCTGTCCTAGACTTCAACTTGACACTTCTTACCGAGTGTAGCCATGCGCTTGCAGATTCTTGTGCGCTGGCAGCAGAGACAATTCTACTACTCATACAATCAGATACGAACGCCGCATACAGAGACAAGATCGCAATGTTGGCTCAGAACAATTCAGCGATATCAGATCTTCTGTCTACAGTGTTTCGAAACGAACAAATCTCGTTAGTGCGAATCATGCAGTCGAATGACGACCAGGCGAAAGAACGGTCGCTGGGGAAGCTGTTCGGCGCATACACGATCCTCGCTGGTACGGAAGTCGACATGTCCATGGTTTCGAGAATGCTAGGTACCGGCTTGAAGGATAGTGTAACCACAGTCCTGCAACAGTCTGTCGAGCGTAATACGAAGACGGCTCGAGTCACCCCTGTCACCATCTCCGACATGTCGCTTCAGACAAGTCAGAAGTCTTTGACCTTTACTTCACCACTCGCAGAGTACAAGTCTCAAGAGATCATACTGAATTTTGTGAGCAGAAAGCTCAAGAGTCTGAAGGGAGCACAATCATCTCTTCCACTAGCTTCCGATCTCATGCCAGCACTGAGGGCTTCAGACAAGACATCTCAAGTAGCGACCTTCTGGCTGATTCTCCAGGATCTCAGGAATAATCATGATGATGTCGACGGATTCATGAACGATATGCTTGTCGGCGATCTATACTCCAAGGATCAATCAGTGTCACTTCGAGAACAGCTTTACTCTTTCTCCCTAGACGTACTGGAAGACGATGACTCTGTCGACTGGAGACTAAAGAGCTTGGCACTCGAAGCAGTCGCCTTGCACGCACAGCGCCTCGGCGCCGAATTCAAAGATGAGCTTGTAGAAGCACTCTATCCTATCTTGCACCATTTGGGATCTGACTCTGGCTATGTGCGAAATCATGCAATGACCTGCTTGAACATCGTGGCAGACTCATGCGGTTACTCGGATGCGGGCGAGCTCATCGTGTCAAACGTCGATTATCTCGTCAATGCTGTGGCTTTGAAGCTGAATGCGTTTGATGTCTCACCACAAGGACCACAAGTTTTGCTTATGATGGTGCGGCTGGCTGGCCCATCACTACTACCATATCTGGAAGACACTCTCGAAAGCATTTTCGCTGCACTGGAAGACTACCATGGCTATACATCCTTGGTCGAGCTGTTGTTTGCAGTCCTCCGAACAATGGCGGAAGAGGGAGTCAAATCTCCCTTGCTCGCCATAACTGGTGACTCAGAAACGAGACAAAAAGACTCTACTCGATGGAAACCTTCAGATCTCACGCAGCTCATCGAGATCATCCAAGGACTTTCCAAAAAACCAGTAGATGACCTAGCCCCTCCAACCAGTCTCCTCGACCCAGAAGAAGAAGCTGCGACAAACGATCAAGTCGACAACCCCGAACCAACAGAAACCCAACCACCATCTCCCAAAACTTACTCCCTCCTTCTAAAAATCACCCAATTGACCCAACACTACCTAACCTCTTCCTCCCCATCCCTCCGCACATCCCTCTTTTCTCTCCTCCGCACCACAATCCCCACTCTCGCAAAACACGAAAACTCGTTCCTACCCCTCATAAACACATTATGGCCCGAAGTAACCTCTCGCCTTTTCGACGAGGAAGTCTTTGTAGTGTCAGGATCACTGGATATCATATCCATGATGTGTGAACATTCCGGCAGCTTTATGCGAACGAGGATTGATGCTCTATGGCCTGAATTACTATCTCTGCATAGAAGAGTCACTCGGGAGATCAAGTCTGGAACACAGAAGTCGCAGCAACACACATCTCTGGATCTCACGACAAGGAACCTAGAGGTGGGATATGTAGATCCATCAAGAAAGAGTTTGTGGAAAAGTCTAGAGAAACTCCTCATCTCCATTGTTGAGTATCTAGAAGTTGACGCAGAAAAATTCGACGATGTATTGAGGATATTGGGTCCAATTGATGAAAAATTAGGGGAAAGGACGAAAAAAGTGTTGGAGGGGTTTAATGCAGATGCTGTATGGTTGGCACAATACAGAGCTGCACCATGGAACTTGAAAGCGCCGCAAAAGGTATCGAGATTTGCTTTTGCACAGATTGTTTAGGGGGTCAGTCACATTCTGGGAATAGACTTGCTAAGATGCTTTTTCGGCTTTCGAAAGAGTTGAAAAAAATACACACGATGGTAGTCTAATAACCAGATTTAGTTCCAATGTGCACAAACACATGTCACCTTCCCCTTCACACCCTCGATATCCAAAAAAAAGCGACGATTGGGCTATACACAACACAGAAGGAAACGACTGCAACACTACATCCCTTCGCGTAATCAGCTCAACGAGACTATCAAACCAATCATGCCCTCCCGAACCAGTTCAGCTACAAAGAGAAATTGTGATGGCCATTTCGTGGATTATTGATTCAAATCGAACGCATGAAAAGTGATGAAGCGACACCGTGGACGTTTGCATGGACATGCATTTCTTCTCTATAATGATGTCGAGTCCAAAGAAGTAAAGTGAGCTCAGAAAAAAAAACCACACACAAAATGAGCTAGCTTCCTTTTCGTAAGCAAAAACATCGACTTACACGTCGCATAGCTTTGTCATGGAAACCAAGAAAAGGGAAATTATCTTGTGAGAAAAAGATCGTGACATCAGTGTCTTCGTGATTATGAGATTCACAGACGTCAACCTTCTTGTTGGATCGAGTTGACCCTCTCAAGAAGGTGGATGGATGGACCCACACACAGCTCTAGATCAGCGAGTGCAGGTACTCAGCGAACCCATGACCTTCTAGTCTGGCGAGTAGTTTTTCGGGAAACAGCAAAAGTTTTAACCATGTAGTCCGCACAGTTAAATCCAATTCCATGGTCTTGATCAGAGAAAAGTTTGACAAAAGGCTTGCGAATATATACATTTTCCCTTCTCAAATCTCCAAAGTTTTCAAAAAAAAAAAAAACAGCATCAAACAAGTCCCAAATGCCAATTCAAAAAGCCTCCTAGCAAAAAATCGATAGAGGAAAAATGGTGACGAGAGAACACGGAAAGTGTGGAAAAAGAAGGGTTATGTATATCATTTTTCTTTGGGTGATTGGAAATCAAAATCTGCCACATCTCCCCATTTGCTGTCGAATAAGAGAAATGCCCCATGCTTCGGAGAACGCTGAGTAATAACAAGAACAAGGAAGTTGAAAATTACACCAGGGAACGCCATATCTCTCTCGCTCTCTCTCTCTCTCTCTCTCTCTTTCTCTCTTTCTGCCAGCGAGAATTCGAATTCAAAACAAAGGTATAGATGATGAGACTCGCTCCAGTAGTGCGTGGATGCATGTTTTGTGACATCCTAGAAATTTCCCTTCCCACCCAATTCGCAAACCAAGAGAGTAGAAAAAGTAAGGAGAGACTGAAAAGTGGTCTATAACGTACAAGTAAAGAGATGGACATCTGTTGGAACGGCTGGCGTGTGTTACGGCCTGCTGTCTCGGAGTAGATGGCCAGAAGGTCAAGAATCGAGTAGCTTTCCTCGAATGGATGCGGACATCAGGATAGCCTAGATCTCGACCGTCTTCATCTCTTCATTGTCAACAGTCGAGACACCACCTTTTGTAGGCTCTTCGGTAGATGTGATGGCCGAATCGGCCTTTTCCTTCTCTTTCTCGTCCTTGCGATCTTGTTCGGCAAAGGTGTCGACGGTAGGAGGAAGCGGTGAGTCCATGCTAAGCAAGTTGTCGTTGCTCTTTGAGGTGTCGAGTACGGCGTCGAGATTGTCGGTTCTCAGAGGAGTGGGAGCAGCTTCTTCGGCAACGCGGGCAAGAGGACTGCTGACATGGCCTCGCGGGCTTTGGTTTGCGGGAGCCTTGCCGTTGCTGGAGAAGCGCTGAGGACTGCGGCCACGGTCGCTGCCGGTAGGAGAGGCGTACGGAGAGAAGCCATTGAGACTGCTGAATTCGTTCTTCACATTGCTGTTGATACGGAGAGGCTGCTGAGGGCGGGCGCCTTTGGGAGCACGACGGCCGTACTTTTGGTCTGTGCGCCAGCGCAGGATGTCCATGTACGAGGGGTCGACGTTTTGGTTCTTGAATTCGCGGAGGGTGAGCTCGCCGCTGTCTTCGTCGACAACGGCCTTGGGAGTGCTGAAGTCATCGGCGACGGCGGCCAAGAAGGCAGACCACGAACGAGCGACAACGTATTTGCAGTCGTAATCACGACCAGCCAAGATGACTTGACCCCACTTTCCTGCGGGACCAGGAGCGAGATCAATGCAGATGTTGTTACCGCCCCAATCTCTTGCGACGGGAATCCAGCCGGGGTGGACGTAAGCTTTTTGGACGGCGTTTGGTGGATGTGAGTCTTGTTTTGCCATGAGCTCGGAGCGCCAGCCAGCGCCCGAAGCAGATTGTGGAGCGGCCGAGGGCTGGGTAGAAGAGCCAGCGAAAGCCTTGTTGGGCACTTGCGGTGCAGCGTAAGGAGCAGACGAGGCACGGAGGTAGTCGTCACCAACGCGAGCCCATTGTTTCCACTCTTGGACAATCTCCTCGCAGTCGAGCAACATGCAGCCAAAGAGGATACCGGTGGGTCTACCGCCGCGCTCTTGGCCGTCGTGAATCATGAGCGACTCGCGCATCTCCATGGGCAGTGTGCAGTCAAGCTCGTGTTCGAGTTCGTTAACATCGTTCTGAGTGCAACCTTCACACAAGTTTTCAAAGAGCTCTTCGTGGTTGTTCTCGGCCCAGGAGTCGATGCGTCTCCACGAGTGGCCAACGGGCGGCGGAGGGGGGAGACCTTCGGAGAAACTCTGCATCTGGATCTCACCTTGGCCGACGCCTTCGAGGTTCCCTGAGCTGGACTGACGCTGCATTGTAGAGCGGAGGCCGGGCGAGTACGGGCCATTGGGCGACATGCGACCATCGGCAGGCATGAAATCATTGTCTTGGGCGTAAGGGTTGTCGAGGTCGGTGCGAGATTCGGCGGCGGTAGCGACCGAAGTCAATGGAGCGTGTCGACTTTGAGCGAGAGGAGTGTGAGCGCCGGTACGGTAGGGCATGTCGGGCGAGGCGTGTCGGTCGTTGGACGTCATGGTGTGCCAGAAAGAGCGCCATACTCCAGTGATGCTGCAGGCAATCGATTAGCTAACGTGCATGCGTGGAGAGCGACATGGCAAATACCCAGACGCCATGATGGGCGGAGCGGTGCGTGGTAGTTGCTGGTCTTGTCGTCGATGCGCGCTGTGGCAGCCGTCGTGTGTTGCAAACTTCGACAATGCGGCGTAGACGTCCGGTAGATGCAGTCGGTCGGACGGAGAGGGGCTAATGGGGAAGACGAGTGGATTATGGGTGGCGGAGTAGGTAGTTGGTTGTCGGAGTGCAGGTTGAATGTCGTCGTGGGCTACCAAGTGGAGCGAGATTGCGGTCAACAAGAAGCTCTTGCAAAAGGGGAAGCCCGACTGTCAACACAACTCAAAACGTCGCAGCCACGGTTCTTCTGGAAGCCTTCCTCCTGGATCAAAACGGCTATAACTGGCCTTTATTCCCTATCAATTGACTGCACAAGCTTTCTTGATCATTGACTATTACAGACTATGATGACAACAACAACAACGTTTCGAATGTTGATTGAAGGCTTTTACGAGGCAGCAAATGCCGGCTTTGCCCTCCCTCAAACCACTGACTCCCGGCCGACAGGGTCTTGTTGTTCTCGTCCGTAGGAGCCGCAAACACTCAAGCCGTCCACTTGCCATTATTGTCCACCTTATCATCCACCTGCAGTAGCCCATCCTTCCCGTTGCACCTTTTTCTGCATTCAAGTCGCCTCTCAGAACCGACCTATATGACGCGGCATGTTACTACGTACCAGTCTCCGCAGCACAATCATCCCAGGTTTTCTCCCACCTTGACGCCGTTCACGGCCGACTTCGAAAAGTCCAAATCAAAGCGGAGACCCGTTGCCGTCTCGCCGCAAAACTCAAACGTTCAGGTCCTGCAGCGCCTGCATAAGCCAAGCTGCTCTTGCGTGTTCCACTCTGCTGCCGGTGGCAACCCTGTGCTAAGAAAAGTACCACTTTCATCATATTCCCGCCATCACGCTGCACCTCTTGATGATGAATTCTATGCCTTGCCCTTATGCACCAGTTACAGGAAAAGACGCCCTAAGATATGTACTTGATGACCACGATAGTGACGACACAGCCTCCTTCATGCTATTTCATAATCGCTGCAAGAAAAAAGGCACTGCCGCTGCTCGGCCTAATTATCAAGCTGAAACACTTCCTTCACAGCCATGACGCTCTTCGTGCATGCAATGGCGCATGCCAGAAATGCCCCGATTCGCTTGCACAACCTTTTCGACGTGTGCGTCATCATCTCAGCGGGCACATCTCTGTACAAAAAAAACAGGCTGTAAACAGCAAAGATATCATTTTTCAGAGACTGGATTATTGGTCATAGAGTTTCTGTCCGCCAGGGGCGCGATTTTGAGATGTTGGCGACTCCAGCTGTGAGACATACTGCTGTTTTACCTGCGGTGGAAAGGTACAGTGATTTTCATGATCTCAAGATACGCTTCGTGGAGTAGCTGCCGCCATGAGCGGGATCTCGATATATTTGCGACTCCAGCCATCGATGTAGTTAGTGGTTTTTACCTGCTGCGGAAAGGCAGAATCATTTGTGGAATCAGGGAGATGATCACGTAGAGAGACATGCCAGGGGCAGGATGTGGAGATGTCATGCTTCTCCAGCAACAACGTACTGCTGTTAACCTACTGTAAAAAGGCACAATCAGTTCCGAAACCAGAGAGATGTCCACCAAGAGCAGACGACTTACAGTCTTCCAATGTACGACTTGCCGGAATATGAAAATCATCCTGCATTAAACCAAGTACAAATTTCTTGTTTACGTTGAAGCAAAGAAAAGATATATGCAAGGGATGCGATATGGACCTCGTATGCAAGACATGTTCCCCTTCTTGTATATATACCTATACCTGTACCATTCTGCCAATATCTTATGCTATCTCGATGAACCACGACGCCCCGGAAAGTAGCTGTCGAAATCCACAATGATTCCCAAGATTGGAGAGATGGTCCAAGAGAGCAAGCGATCCGTTTCCTCTCGATGAACAAGGTCTGTTGTACGAAACTTCTCCTGCATTAACTCAAGCATCTGTACTATAAGCATCGAAGCTTAGAAGAGAGACATATTGTTCGGTACCCGGCCTTCACTTATGTGTTTGCTACGTTCGTCGAGGTCTCTCTCCCTGAACTTAAGCATATGTCTAAGGGTGACAGCGACGAGGACAAGAGCGATGAGAAGGACGAGCCTGAAAGCGAGGCAGGGGATAAGAGCGACTAGAGGCAAGTCCAAGCACGAGACTGAGGCTGATGACAAGCAAAAAAGTCCCAGTATCCCAAGCAATCGGCTCTACGAAAGGAGATTTAACAATTCATCGTGCACGTACTCCGTGAAAAATGTCAATATAGAACGCATATATGCGGGAGCGAGATAAGTCGACGTTGACCTGGGCAAAACTTCGGGGGCACTTTTCCTTTGTTTCTAGCATCCTTTCCTATGTTTTGTTCGAAATTAAATCACATTTTCTCTACTTTGACCCTTTTGTTACTGTATCTCCTACGCGATGCAAGGGGTTCTGGAAATGACCCTGCCTTCTAGAGGCAAGTCACGGAGATACACTGGTAGCTGGGATGGGTAGAATCTCTTGACTTTCCCCATTTTGGCCCCCGGCCTACAGTATCTCCTACGTAATGTAAGGAAATCTTACGTTGATGACCCTGCATTTTTAGAAGCACAGTTCGGGCATGCAATGGTAGCTACTCCTTCCTTCTAGCAATACCACGACGATGGCCGCCTCCAAATGCATTTTTACGTCTTATTCTCCGCAGGGGAACCCATCGAGACGATTATAGGTTCTTTCTGTCCGCACACGCGGATAGTGTGGAGGAACCGGGGTCTCCACATTGCGGGGTAAGCGACTATAGTAACAAGCGAGAACTAACGTTCCAGCGTGATCTTCGTCTCTATAACGTATGAGGAACCGACTTAGGGCTCGGTGCATTCTCGAAAAGTTTTTAAATTTACTGGCTCGGTCATCGCTGACCCGAATAGGTAGACTGGAGTCAGTGACCCTCTTGACCATCGGCATGGGAAACCATATAAGATGGCATAGTCCTTTGGCCGAAATCGACCATCCGACACAGCACTTCATTCGCAAGTCACATCAGACATGCTTTCTTCTTCTATCGTCGCACTCGCTTTGAGCTTTGGGGTTGGTCTTTCCTCTGCCCTTCCAGCTGCAGCTCCACCTACCACCAACTACGTCAACTGGAAGACATTCAAAGCAAACGGTGTCAACCTCGGAGGCTGGCTCGTCCAAGAGTCGACTATCGATACCGCATTCTGGAGCCAGTACTCTGGCGGTGCTCCTGATGAATGGGGTCTCTGCGTCAATCTCGGGTCTCAATGCGGTCCTGTGCTAGAAAAGAGATATGCCTCCTGGATCTCCACATCGGATATCGACAAACTTGCGGCAGCCAACATGACCCTTTTGCGTATCCCGACCACATATGCCGCCTGGGTCAAAGTACCTGGCAGTCAGTTGTACTCTGGCAACCAGCTTTCTTTCCTCAAGACCATCTCGAGCTATGCAATCAACAAGTACAACATGCATGTCATCATCGATATCCACTCTCTTCCTGGCGGCGTGAACGGTATGGCTTTTGGAGAAAAGGAAGGCAATTATGGCTGGTTTAACAATGCCACTGCATTGAATTACTCCTATCAAGCTGTGGATGCCGCTATCAACTTTATCCAAAACTCAGGCTTCCCTTCACACTTTACCCTCGAGCCCATCAATGAACCCGTCGACAACAAGAACATTCAATTCTTTGGCACGCCGCTCGCACTCTCTGATAATGGTGCAGCATGGGTGACTTCATACATCAAAGGCGTCCTTTCCCGTGTCTCTGCCGTCAACTCCAAGATCCCCGTGATGCTTCAAGATGGCTTCAAGGGCGAAGCTTACTTCTCGCCTTCCTTCGGCGCGACGGCCAACCTAGTGTTTGATATCCACAACTACTATTTCGCCGGCAGAGGTGCCACTTCAGCTAATGAAGCCGGAATCATCTGTTCGGATGCTAAGACTTCTGCTGGTGATGGCAAATTCCCTACTTTTGTTGGTGAATGGAGCATTGTAAGTTTACCGTCCTTTCATACACCTTTACACCTTTTTACTCAATCAACTGACGCGACTCTTTTACACAGCAAGCGGAACTCAACAATACTTTTGCACTCCGGGAGAAGAACCTGCTTACTGGACTGTATGCGTTTGGAAAGTATACTTCTGGCTCCGCATACTGGACTGCTAAATTCTTGGGTACCGCTAAAGTCGATGGTGAGGGGACTCAGCAGGACTACTGGAACTACAGCACCTTTGTCGATCTTGGATACACGAAGAATGTTCAGAGAGGCTCTGCGTACTGCCCTTGATATCTTCTAGTGCTGGTGTATTGTCCTTAGGGTCTTATGTTACTGTGGTTGAGCTGAGGAGGGCAGAATTGGAGTTTTTCCATAGCTCAGAACTTGTCAAAAGTCTCCAAAAGCCGGCGAGGATGTGTTCTCAAGTGGATAGCATTGATAAGTTTTTTTTTCGGGTTGTGAAGGGCATGCTATGGGCGTCGAGGTTACTGCAATTGACAGATCCTCAAGAAACTTGAAAAAGAAGCAAGAGACCTGTTTTCTCCATGTCCAGGAAATATTTGATCTTTGGCGCAAAGCGTCTCGACTCTGAGCTTGCCATACTAGGTTTGCCGTCAGTCAGCTCCGTGACGATTGAGTATCCAAAACGACATGCTCACTGCGATATAGGTAAATCGGCATTCTTCATCAAAGATGCTCGAAGATTCAAGATAGACAAGTTAGAGTTTTGTTGCCCGAAAGATGTTGCTTCGTCTTCGCCCTCACACGCGTCTTGCTATCCTCGGCAAGGTTCTTGAATGTACAGCGTGGAAACAAGCATAAGGGTACCGGGCCTCATTCGAGTTTACACCTGATGGCGGAAAAGAGGAGCGATTGAATGTCGCTATCCACCGTGTGCAGAACCTGCCTCAGCATGACTTCTATATCAAATATGTAGTCGGCGCTCTGAGATGGCTGTTGAGTCGTCTTCGTTCGTGTCTTGACATGTTTGTCGCCGAACGAGACATTTCTAAAAATTCTAGCCCTCTGACACAATGAGCTCAGCGACATGCTCTCGAGACTTGAGTCCGATCTTGCGTCCTCGCAGCCATTTTCCACACAATACATCATGAGTGGAGTGCGACACCCATCTCTCCGTCCTCGATTGCATCCTTGAACTCATCCATATCCTGGCCTCGGTCATGAATAACTTGGTGCAAAGTCTGGACAAACGTCTCCCCGTTGTTGTCGAACCAGTCCCCTTTGCTTTTGATATAAGCCTCTACTTGACTCTTGTAGGGTGCGTTTTCTTTGAGATGGATCAATTGTTCGGGATCCAGCTTCAGCATGTCCTCGACAACGTAGTAGTGTAGGATATCATCGCCCCAGCCTTCTGCACCTGGCTCGTGACGAGCGGTGGGGGTGTATTTGTTATGCGATTTAGAGGCGGCGACTTCGGAGCAGTGGTATTCTCCATGCTGCGCGAAAGAAGACGGCGGTGGGAGGTTGAGATGAGTGTTGAAGAGGAGTTGATAGTTTGAGTGTGGGAAGCGTTTTTGAAACTTGCGGCTCACGGTGCCGTTGGAGGGGCAAATGTTGCTGCTGATTGTGTCGCGTAGCATGTTGTGGACATCTAGCATTTCAGCTAGCTCGACAGAGCTGAAGTTGTGAAGCAGCAGAGTTCGCTCGTGTTGAAGTGCGGGTAGACACCTCATCCAGCGGAGGATGGCTCCATCATGGAAGGCGCGGGAGAACAGCCAGAGACGGTATAGTGCTCTTCGCAGACGGAAGCGTTCGCCGTCGGTGATATCGCGTCTGTTCTCAAAGTCCGTCTTCCATTTCTTGAAGGGGTACATCTCTTCCCACTTCCTGGCGATGCGACCGACTTTTACGATGGAGTGAAGCAGAGCCTCGGACAGCGGTACCGAGCGGCGAAGATGTGCTGGCTGAGAGGAGTTGTGCGTGACGAGCTGGATGATGTCTTGCGTAGGGCCAAACTCATTCTCAGCTGCTTGCGACAGGATGCGAAGTCGTTTGGAAGACGCATAGACTTGACGAAAGTGGTGGCATGTTGATGACAGGGCGATGACGGATGAGATGGCAGGCAAGGCGAGGAAGATGTCCGTCACCAGTTCAGAGGGGAGGAGGTCGATATGCATGGCGGCGACTTGGTGATGATGTGATTTATCTGTCGCTGTCGCTCTTTCCTCTCAAGTCCTCCTCGACGACTATGAGGACTGACGCGTGTCGAGGGGTTATTAGTGCTAGGTATGATGACTTTGGTTGGACGTGTCTGGCAAGCTGATGGGGCACTTAGATCAGAAGAAGCCCTCTCTCGGGGCCGATCAAGAAGATGGCATGATGATACAAACAAAGGCCTGGCAGCTCGTAAGAGCTCAAACACGGGACGTTCATGTTTACCCACGAGGTATGATACAAGGGAAGGGGGACTCGATCAACAAGCCAAGCTCCATCTCCAGACGCTTGGCCTCGATATGGAACAATCGTCTCACTTTCCGAACGTTTGTGACGCCCGAGGAGGTCCATAACAAAGCTCAGGCGTCGGATAGCACTGCACCTCCGCATCTCGAATCGACACCCTGATGGCCGAGGGAATCAACTTGGCTATACCCGAGCATCATCCATCAACCGCACGCTCAACCGCGGAATGCTCTAGCAGCCAAAGACTTGCCATCTTACAACGCTTGTTCCTTAGCATCATCATGTCGGTCTTGACAGACACTGGCCATCACAATTGCCGCGACTACTACCTCCCACTTCCCCGTCCAGCAACAACTCACACCATCCCACCAGCCTTGTCCATGACCCAGACAGCAGCCCAAACCCTTCGTCTACATGCGACACAGAAGTCGCCACTAAATCAACGACCGAACAAAGTCACATTCCCCTTCCTCCGTCTGCCTTGCGAGCTGCGTCGAAAGATATACTCATACTTGCTACCTTATACCGAGACAAAATCCTCCTCAGGAAGTCTTATCCCGACTCCGAAGACCAGTGGCAATGCAGCGAGCACAGCACATAAGATTCATTTGGCCAGTCTTCCATCAGCCAAATATACAGCAAACACCACACTCTGGCATCGGGGCCAAACCTCTTTGCTAGCAGTGAACAAGCAACTCCATACCGAATGCGCAGAGCTTCTCTACGGAGAAAACAACTTTGTGCTTTGGCTTTCCTACGACGTGATACAATTTCGCTTTCGATGGGTTCTAGCTTCTGGATTGGCGCCGTCTTGTGCATACGACTTTTTGACTCTGTTGGGTAGCACGCCATATTTGGGACTGATCAGGAGAGTTGTGCTTACAGTGGATGTTGTGGATGAGTATACTGGCATGATCAAATTCAATGTTGGCGGTAGTGGATTGGTATATGGGTTAAAGTTACAAGTCAAGAAACTGGTCCGAGCGCTGAGGGAGGCGGATGGCGAGGCTATCAGAAAATTGACAGTCAGACTGCAGAACGGATCCGATGGCGTGGCGGACGGAGAGAAGAAGATAATCTCCAGAAGCAGAGACAACGCCATCAGAAATCTTGAAGATGTACAAGGCGTGCTGGCACCGCTGAGGGAGTTGAAGGGCGTGAGGGAAGTCACCATGTGTGGCGCTATCACCGATGCCTACAAGGAAGATCTGAAAAAGAGTATCATGGCAACACCTTGAGGCGGAAATATGGGAGCCAAAACTCATCCATCAATTGCGAGCAGTATACGAGCATGAATCAGGACCAACGCCCACCAGCGATCGACAGTCAGATCGACTCAATCCTCCCAGTCAAACTTCGGCAGAAAGCTCACTGGCCTCTCCATGTCAACCATATCTGCGCATGAGCAGCGCAAGTAACACTTGTCAGCATCTCCGCAGTTTCCATCACAACAACTCTTGCAATGGAGATCACTCGCCGAATCGAAGCTCATCCGTCGCTCTGTGAGAGCCTCTTCTTCGTACACTAGACGTTCGATGTTTTCCTGCTCAAGACAGTCGTCACACTCGTTTGAAGCTCCAAGTGACTCTTGGATCGAGCTATAAGAGTTGTCAGGCGTCGTATACTCCTGGGACCAGTTCCAGAGAGGCTGATATCTTTCTGAGAGTTCTGCCGCCTGTCGATGTGATTCGTCGCTCGATGCAAATTCGCTGTAGAGACTTGCCTCCCTCGTCGAACTTCGACCTTCGAGTTCACTCTCCTCACTCCCAATAGAACTCCCAAAAAGAGACCCACGGCTCGCGATTTCTCGGTCTCTCACCTACACTCGCAGAATCAGACAATTCATCGTCGCCCTTGGACTGGTACTCATAATCCCAGTATCCACCGAAGTCCTGCTCTTGCTCCTGGGTTTTGTATTGGCATCCGGTACCGAACCCATAGGTTCCATACCACCACCAAGCTTGCGTGTCTACCCAGATCAAAAATCCAAAGCCCCTGGGTGGAAGGTAGTCGTGCAGGAGCAGGCGAGTTAGACCGAGGGCAAGGAAGGCGTAGATTTTCTCCTTGCGCCAATTTCTTTCTGGGCTTTGGTTTGTGGTTTGCTTGTCAGCGGAGTAGCTTTTGTCTGTCATCGTTGCTCAGGTCTTGTGGAGAAGGGAGAGATGCTAATATGAGGGTACCTTATGAAGACAATTTGGTGAGATCGGATCGCCAGAACTTGTATCTTGTGGACGACGCTCGGGGACTTGCACTCGAGACATTGCTCTTTCTGCAGACAAAGAAGGTATTTGAGAGTCGAAAAGTTGGGTCAGACATTGTCGAGTTGCTTGCCTGGCGAGCTTGCTAACTCATTCAAGCCTGAGATTATCTGAGACATAGATGTCACAACTACTTTGATATGTCGTCGGCCTCAGCCCACGCAGCACCGCGACACAACCCTGGGTCACCACTTCCGCGAGCTAGCCTTGGGTGTGTTACGCACTCTCGCTGATCAAAACCGCACTGTCTTATACAGTCGCGCCCATATCATCCATGACTCTTTCCGCAAGTGCTCGCCGCCAATCCACAAGCTCGAGGTGTCCATGTGCCAGGACGAGGAGGTGCGCGTCGAGCTCGCCAGGGGGAGCTTCTAACTTGCTTGTCACCTGAGTGATGTTCATGTAGATCATAGCCAAGAGCTGTTTTGAGGAGCTTCAAGGAGGATCTGGAAGACATGCTCACCGACGGTGTCAAGGCCAACGGTACTGGTGGCCTCAGGATCGCTGACCTAATCGATGTCCTGGTTACGCTTGACCGCACCTCGGCCAGGCTACGAAACGCGCCTGTGAGTCTGATCAAGGCCAGGGAGGAGATGAGACGTTAGAAAACGGACATGGAAGTCAAGGCTAGATTGAGGCTCACCATTGATAAGCAAGAGGAGGAGGAAAAAAAGAAGCAGTGAAGGACAAACAAAGCTATGACGAGGTTTCAAGAGCTAGTCAACCGGCCTGCTATTCCGGAGCGATTTCGAGGCTGACATGGTCTTGCAGACACACGTCATGACCTCGACGCCTTGCAGCATCACATTCACACGTCCAACCTTTTGGAAAGCGGAATGGACAGCGGTGGAATTTCACCCTGAGCCCTTATCCCGACATTGTGTCATCTTGTCTCCCCAAAAAGTCACAGCGACGTATTAAAACGTCTTTGCAAAAATGAGCACTTGGGCCAAGGAAAGGGTCTACCTAACCCGCCCTTCCTTCTCCCGAAAGTCATACGCCATCGTGTTCCCTTTAAGTCCCTCTCGTTCGCCTCAAACACCATTTTCCTAGACCGCATGAGTGTCTCTCATCACAGGTAAACTTTCCTCGAATACAACGCAAAATACTGCGATGTCGTTAAATACCGTAAGCATCCCTAATGCCCAGCCACGTGAGCTGACGCATAATATGGCTGCTTTGAACAATTATCTTGTAGCTGCAATCCAAAGCGACATGATACATGGACTATTCGATGGCGGAATACCTCGAGATCAATCCGTACAAATGACAGTATTTAGTCTCATCAATGCTCCCGCTGATAGATGGCTAGAACAAGCTTCATCCAGCTGCGATCCCGAGTCAGGAGCAGGATGTGTCCTTTTTAGTTCCTTTCATACTGTGGCCAGCAAGCCTGGGACACTCTGAAACTGATCATTGAAGCCGACTTATAGATTCGGACATCGGTAGAGGATCAAGTCAGAAAGCGCTAGAATGACCTCTGGAAGATGCTCGGTATTCCCTCTCACTCATACCAGATATTGTACTTTTCCACCTTCTAATTATGATAGGTGCAGCAAGGCAAATAGAACAATCAGGGATCCTCTCTATCACTCAATCAGGAACTACAGCAGGACTGAGAAATGCAAAATCATATTCAAGATTAGCTGTTCAACCACTCAGAGATACGCTACAAACTCTCTCCGTCGCTTTTACACAACAAGCACAGATTGTGCGTGTGCTAATTTCTGTTCCAGCAAGACAGCAAGGCTCGGGATGGAGGTTGCGAGAGCGTCGCCGAGAGCAGCTTCGAGGTGCATCACGACGACATGATCCGGTCAACGACGCCATTGTTTTGACGCGATAACTGATCGGAGATTTCACTCTCACACGAGCTATGTCTGCTTTCCTCCTTGGCTTTTTTTCCTCTCCTCTTCACATCGCACACGACAACAACGACTCTGCGCTCATCAACCCCTTCTTACAATCATAATGACACGTCGAACTCCTCACAACATTATGAACTATGACAAGTTATCCAAGCAGATGGACGCCATCATCGCTGAAATGGCTAGTCTGAAGGCCAGTGTGGATCACAGCAATGACAGGCTCGCGATGCTCGAAAACATGATGCACAAGTACGACGATACCCCTGTTTATACCCCTCTTGATACCAGTCTGACTGATATGGCCAGTGCCGAGAGTTATGCTCGTATCCCTACCCGTGAGAAGCCTAGTTCATTCATGCCTGTTGACCGCAAGTCTTCGTCTGGCTCGCACAGCTCTCGCTGGTCGCTCCCACCGCTTGCCGATTCCCGTGCCTCGAATCCTGTCGACAGTGCTGGTATCGCTCGCCATGTTGCCAGCGCTACCCGTGGATAGCCTGGCTCGTCTACGTGTGTTGATCGCATGTCCTCGGCTAGTTTGAGCGACTCCCTTTCTACGCTCCCACCTCTCCTCGATTCTCGTACTTTGTCTCCATCCAAACATGCCAGACCTCGGGATGTGTGGTGTCGTTCTTCACTCTCAGCAGCCTGTTCAACTCTCTCGAAAAGATCAACAGACAATCGACGCGATGGTAGACGCTCACTCTGCCTCCGTGACCATTCGCAACCCTTTCGACTTGATAGCGTTCGACGTCGTCGCCCTCGCTCACTTCATCGTCGAAACCAGTAACCAGCCCAGGCAGTTTGCGTTTGATGTTCGTGACCCCCTTCCCGAGTTGGTCGACTCTCACGCATCGTCGCCAGTCTCGCACAACTCTCGTGCTTCCACTCCACCTCAGCTGTCTGGTCACAGCCACAATGTCGCCAGAAGTTATAATCCTCATTCCACTCTCGCTGGTGATATACCCTGGTTCTGTCCCGCATACATGCATCAGCAGCCCATCGACCCCCATATTTCAGCCTCAGCAGCCCATCGACCCCCATATTTCAGCCTCAGCAGCCCAGCTCTCGCTCTCCAGACCCCGATATGCACAATCCTCGTGCTTCCACTCCCTTCCCCCCCTCCTAGTCTCAGATATCAAACCTCCATGCATTTTCCCTCAGCAACCCATGAGCTTCACTGCAGATGACCCCGACGACACCAAGCTTTTACTTCTCCAAGTACCCCTTGCTATCCATCACACAGAAGTTCGAGACTGATGGATCTTCACGACTATGGATCTGGGCTACTGAATGAGTTTTTACGAGTTTTGAAGAAAGAAAAATGTGTGAGTATTTTTTATCTCATAGACAGACAGCATGTAGAAGTTTTGAAAACTGAGTGTGCATTTTCGACAGGTTTCAGCTCGATGCCGACGTTGATCTCGGGAGAAGAAGGGTAAGGATGAGCAGTGGTTTTGCAGACAACCAAAAAAAACACCCCGATACCTCACTACAGCATTGCATTCATCAAAAGGGGAGACACAAGTCTGGCAATGGGTTTCCTCTCTTTTCTGTAGCAAAAAAATTCTACATTAAGGGAGTGACTACGTGATTTACATACAAACTTCCTGAAAGGAGAACAAAAACAGAAAGAGCGACTGGGGTGAGAGAAAGAACAACTACAAAAGACCAAAACAAAATACAAGACTCGTCTTACCAAAATGTTGGTGCTTTTTCTTCACTGAAAATGTGATTAGATGTGGTAGGAGGATGATTTGCTGAGAACTAGAAGGAGGTGTACAATCGGATGTGATGCGATGATGTCTGAAGAAACAACCTCACATCCATATCTCGGTCATGCTGTCAAAGGCAAACCAAGATCGGCCAGCCTGCTTGTAGAAAGGTTTCTGTTCTTTCCCCTTGCCTGCAGCTTTCTCTTCCTTCTCGACCTTTTGCTTTTCATCTCTACGACGAAGGGTCACAAAGTTCGTGGGACTAGAGGAAGGTCTGATGGTAGTGACGTCGGACGTGATGGTGACGACGCTCGTTTGAGCTTCATCGCTAGTCGTGACCGTAGTCTTGTCGACTTCCATAACAATAGTGGAACCAGGTGCCGTGACAGTAGAAACGCCTGTGGTGACGGTCTTGTCGACTTCCATGATGACAGTGGAGCCAGGTGCTGTGACGGTGGATATTCCAGTTGGAACAAGAACATCAGAAGTCACTGTCACGACCTCAGCCGTTGTGGTCGGTTGAGCTACCGTTTGGGTGACTCTCAGGGTCGAACGAATTGTTGATATCACTACACCCGTCGGAGAAGACTCATCACTAACAGTAGTGGATGTTTCTGGTCTGACGGGTCGCATCGAGACGACGGTTCTAATACTCTGGACTGATGGCGACTCGCTTCTGACTGGCACCATGCGGACCTGAGTCCTGACTCGCATCTGAGTTGCGACTGGAGAAGCAGTTGTGGTCGTAGCTTGTGTCACGGTGGTTGATTGCGTAGTTGTTGTCGGCTGAGTGGTCGTCGTCGCTTGCGTTGTCGTGGTTGCTTGGGTCGTAGTCGTAGATTGCGTGATCGTTGTCGCTTGGGTCGTGGTTGTAGCTTGCGTAGTTGTTGTTGCCTGTGTTATGGTTGTGGCCTGAGTCGTTGTGGTTGCCTGTGTCGTAGTCGTAGCTTGCGTTATGGTCGTTTGTTGCGTTGTTGTAGTTGCCTGGGTAGTTGTGCTGGCCGGCGGCGTTGAGGTCACAACTTGGGTCATTGTGACGGGCGAAGACGAAGAGGAGCTCAAGCTTGTGGAAGAGACAAGAGAGTTCGTAGACAAAGACATGGACGAAGTACTAGACAGCGGGGTGCCCGAGCTGGCGCTCGAGCTACTCAAGGATAAAAAAGACGACGATGTGGTCGCTGCACTGACCGCAGCCCCTGTTGGCGTTTGACAGATTGTGGTCTTTGAAATTGAGTAGCCATCAGGAACAAAGTCGGAGGTTGATGAAGACGATGTGGTAGAGGTGGCAGATAAGGGAGAGCTTGATATCCTGCTCGAAGTGCTTGATGTGCTCGAGACCGTTGAGCTTGAGCTGGACGAAGTTTGTCTCTGAACCTTGTACGCATAGTCTCGACCAGCGATGGGCTGAGTTACGTTGCTAGAGCTTGACAAATAGCAGGTCCCATTAGAGCTTGTGTAGCTGTAGGAACTGCACTGCGAATTGCTGTCACAGTATGGAGCACAACCCTCAAAGCTGCCAGATTGTACGGTACCCAGATCGCCGTCAGCTCTGGGACTTAGGCCTCTTGCGAAGAGTAGCATATTGCCTTTGGCACAAATGACGGCGTACGTGACGTTGTTTCCATCGGTAAAAGTATTACCAGATGCCGCGATTTGGTTGCACGATCTGGTTCCGACGGAATTGGTTGGGGTGGCTGAAGTCGCTGATGTGGTGTTCGAGGCCATGCTACTGGTAGACATGGATGATGAACGAGTTGAGGTACCATTCATGCTTGTTGTCATAGGACGGCTTGAAGTGCTGTTCATGCTCACGGTCGTTGAACGACTCGATGTGCTGTTCATACTCATACTCATGGTAGTTGGTCGGCTTGATGTGCTGTTTGCGCTCATAGTCGTCGGGCGACTCGATGTGCTGTTCGCCGTCATCGACATGGAGAGACTTGAGGTACTGTTCATGGATCTGGTCCTAGACTGACTCGATGTGCTGTTGGTGTACATCCCGCTTGTCATCGACGAAGACACAGCAGTGCCGCTCACGGTGGACGACGAGGCGGTGGTAGTACCATTACCGCTACTGTTAGTGTTGCGGTTCTCGACATTCGCAAAGGTTATACCATCTTTTTGTTGCTCGGTGGTTCGATCAACTGAGCTGTAGTATGTACACATGCTCGAATTTCGGTCGTATGCAGTTCCAGAGCACATGGTACTGTTCGCACACTTGTCCATGCACGCGTCGATACCATCGCTAGCGGCACGTTTTCTATTGAAGCCGCGTTTCAGGATGTTGAGTAGAGTGCCTTGGTAGTTCGTATCTTGCTGGACTTTGAATGTCACGCCTCCAGTGGAATAAGTTGACGAGGGAGGCTGAGTCGAGGATGGACTAGGACCAGTACCAGTACCAGTGGTCAGTACCATCTTGTATACAGCGGGTGCTACCATGACTCTCGGAGTTATCACTGCGACCTGTGGCGATATGGCTCCTGGTTGCTCGGATCCATAGGCGGAAAGGGCTGATAGCTCATCGTGGGGCTGGCCATCGGGTTGTGGCCAACTCCATCCAGGCACAAACAGCTGCACAAAGCACGCTGTCGCGAACGAAGCATCAGCGAAACGCATCTTTGCGTATGAGATCTTTTGAGAAAAGCCGTCTTCCGTCTGACTTGATGTATAGATAGCAGAGCTGAATGTAGTGACTCAAAGAACGAGGGAAGAGAAGTGAGGAAAACTTCGCGAGCTCCAGCACGAAGTCTTCATTTTGAAGCACGGCATAGCTTTGAGAAGCTTTAATGGTAACACAACTGCTCTCCTTCTGGATATCAGGGCTCCGCTCTGCTGTAGACCAGTAGGACGTCGGCATTCTTGTGGGCAGGAAAGTATGTGCTTCTTCTGTCAAAGTCTCGTGGAGTGTAAAGTTGCGTTGTTTGTGCAAGAGGTCCAGGGTGTGCTGATACACGGATGGTATTAACGCTGAGGGCTGTAAGGTTAGAGCTTAGTCTGGGAGTGTTGTAAGGAGTATCGGCAGGTAGGCTGCATGGATTGTTCTGGTGGAGACAGAACACCAGAGCTGGAGTCAATTATGTTGGGAGGTATACTATGATGAGCTGTTGAGAGATAACTCGATGTGCGTCAGCAAATCGTAGGCTAGTGAATGGAAAAGTAGCCGCTTTGATGTGGAGAGCTGTGGGGACCCCGTCGAACCTTCCTCAAACTGTCTGGGGGTCGAACCACCTGAAGACGCTTTCCGGCATTTACACCTTGACTCTTCTGGACAGCATTATATTTTATTTTGTTCCATCTACTCCTGAATCTGCGGACGGGAATGAGATTTTAGAGCGCTTTTGATTGGCCCGAACTGTGAGCATATAGATTATCGAAATGTGGTTATTGTAGGCGCCCGCCCTTCGTAAACGAGAGCCTGGCCATGTGGTATACAGGAGAAAAGACCTATGAGTCTGGAGCATTCTCGTTGCCGGCTGCAGAGACTGTCTCGTCAACCATGGAGACATCCCCACCGTTGGCAGCTGGAGCCTCATCCTCGTCCTCATCTTCATCATCGTCGATCACACGAGCTGGCTTCTTTCTCCGCCTTTCAACAACGGCATCATCATCCTCTCCCTCAGCCATGGACTCGTCGGCCTCATCTGCTCGAGCCTCCTTCTGAGCGTCATCCTCATCGTTGATCTTTTCGGCAAGTCTTGTGTTTTCGTTCGCGGTAGCAACAGCGTCATCGTCGCTGTCGCTGTCAACAACAACCTCTGAGCTCTTGAACTTGCCCTTCGGTTCAGCGACCTTGCCCTTTCTTTCCAGCTTTCTGCGCTTCTTCTTTTTAGGCTTCTCGCCGTCCTCGTCGTCAGAAGCGGCTGAAGTGCTGCGTCGTTTTGACTTTTGTCGCTTTTCGCTGCCTCCGAAGTCACCATTGCCATCGGCGTCGGAACCCTCATCCTCGTCGTTGATGATGTCCGAGTCGCTGTCGCCACCCTTCTTCTTCCTTCTGGCGCCCTTGGGCTTCTTGTCTCTCTTCTTGCGCCCGCCAGTCTCTTCATCAGTGGTAAGTTCAGCGTCTTCGCGAGCCTTGCGTTCAGCTTCTTCCTCAATCTTCTGCTCCACAATCTCACGATCTTGCTCTTGCATGCGCTGTCTCTCCTCGACAATTTTTCTTCGGCGCTCTTCCTTTGCCTCCTCCAACTTTCGCTTTTCATCTTCACGCTTTTGAATCTCGGCTTCACGCTGTTGGCGAGCTGTTTCAAGTCTGGACGCGTTCTTCTCTTCAAAGTCGCGCTGACTCTGCAAAGCACGATCTAACTGCTTGCGCATGGTGTTTCTTCCCATGTTGGCACGCTGCTCAATGTCGTTCTTTGGGAAAGGTGGGTTCGGTGCGCGAGCGATGACCATAAGACTCTCAATAGCTTCATCAAGATCATGCGCGGCATTCTCGAGGTCAACGAGAGTCCTTGTGGCTTCAGGCAGCGTGTAGATGAGTTGAGCGATCTGGATCTGAACAAAGGCAACGTTGAACTTGAAGTGAACTTGATCAGGCGTCGATTCCAGAGCCCGGTTCGAGAATTCGAGTGCCGTCTTCATAGCCGGCATGTTCTTCTCTTGCTTACCCTTCATCAACCAGACGCGACCAAGACAAGCAAGAATGCTGGGGTCATGTGAGCGATCCTTGGCGAGTGCGGCCTCGTAACTCTCAATTGCGCGTGCGAATTGCTTGACCTCGACAAAGGCATGGCCCATGTTAATGAAGACACTGGCATCCTTCAGGGTTTCCCGAACTTTAGTAAAGATCTGGATCGCCGTGGCATAGTCCTTTTTGTCTTCGATGAGAGCAATAGCAATACCTTGGGCAGCATAAGCATTGCGGGGATCAAGCTGCAAAGCCTTGTCGAAGAACTCAATGGCTCTGACATAGGTCTTTGTACGCTTCTCCTTGTCTTGATCGGTATCTCTGCGCATCTCTCTGGCAGCCTGCAGAAAGAGATTGCCCATACCAGTCAAGGAGTATCTGTCGTGCTTGTCGTGGTGTTGGAGAGTGTGCTTGTAATGCCTTTGCTCTTGGTCTTCTGCAGGGTTCGTGGTGCGCTTCTTTGCCTTGTGAATGTAGTAGCCGTACAGAGCACGAATATCGAGATTACCTGCTTCTGACTCAAGCAACTTCTTGACTGCTTGACCACCTTCTGAGGGATTTTCGCGGAGTGCAATATACGCAAGTCTGATGCGGGCATCGGTGTAATCGGGATGACGCTCGAGCAGACCTTGGTAAACTTGGTTGGCCTCTTCCAGCATGTGCTCAGCTTCATAGGTTCTGGCCAAGTTGTAGCTGATGGAAGTAACAAGAGAGTCGGTATCCAGTTCGCTGTCCTTTGCACCAGCCTTGACACAAGCGTTGAGGGCATTTTGGAACAAATCTCTGGCCTGGCTGAAACGTTCTGCTTGGAAGTGGAAAGCGGCCATGTTGTTGAGCAGTTGTGGAGGAAGCATCTCGCGAAGGGCAGTCTTGAGTTCGGCTTCGTCCTTGGTGTCCGGACGGTCCTCTTCATCAATATCATCCATCTCCATCTGCTCGACTTGCTGAAGGCATTGAAGACTCCTCTCGGGGTTCTCAATCTCGTAGAGTCTGGCCAAGTTCAGGAGGACGTAGGAATCCGGGGTAGCCTTCTTCTTGGGATCCTTCCAAGTGTTGCGGACACCCTCCAAAAGACCAATAGCCTTTCTCGTCTCGGACGATTTGTCTTCCTTGGAGCTGGCGTCCTGGTTGGCGTAGACTTCCTCTGCGTAGAGAAGACCAAGTAGAGTCATGGCCTCAGGGCTCTTGCTAGACTGTACAATGCTCTCGAGACGGAACTTGGCACCACTCCAGTCTTTGGACAGGATCTTGAGCTGAGCAGCACCGAACTTGGCAGGCAAGTAGCCTTTGTCATCTCCACCTCTAGCTTGGTCGGCTCTGTTGTAGTAATCTGAAGCCTTGGCAACATTGCCCTCGGTGTGTTCCTTGCGGGCCATCAGATACCAACCGTCACTAGCGATTGCATTGACATCCGTGGCTTCGATTGCCTGACGAGCCAAGCGCTCGACGGTGGGCCAAGCCTTTCTCAGGATAAAGTAGTTTCCGAAGGTTGCGCAAGTCAGGGGGAACTTGTTGTCGAGCTTCCACGCGGTCTGGGTGTACTCGGTCATGGCCTTCTTGTAGTGTTGCTGGAACTCGGGATCGGTGGTGGGGAACTTTGCGCTTTGGTCGAGGTGGTACAGACCAAGCAGGATGTTTGCGATCTTCGAGGTTGGGTGTACCTCCAGAGCTCGCTGCCACGCGTCGTGGGCTTCATCCTTGTGACCAAGTTGCCAGAAACAGCAGCCAATTCCAATTCTCGGATCCGGATCCTGGAGTTGTGGAGCGCGCTCAAGAGCGGACTGGTAGTTGTGGAGAGCATCGGCGTATTTGCCAAGAGAGAAGAGGGCTCTTGCCTTGCCCATGACAGCCATCATGTTGCGGCCTTGAGAAGCGCGCAAAGAATCCTCGAAGCATTTTGCGGCTTGGCGAAGGGTATCGAGGCGTTCGGTTTCTTGGGCAGACGAGGAAGACTTGTTTGGCTGTAGCGAAGCGCGGAGGAGGTAGAGGACACCGCGAGCGAGGAAGAGAGGAGGGTAAGTCGGACTGATGCGCGAGGCCTCGTTCAGGGTACTGGTGGCCTGGTGGATGTAGTACTCCTTGTTGCGTGCTTCCGAAGCCAACTGCGTGTCTGCACGAATGATTAGCTTATTGCGACACCGGAAGAGAGTAGGACGATGATACCAGGCTTCAGACGAGGAGCCTCTCTGCATTGCCACAAGCGCAGCCAGCATAGACACGAGAGCAGCGACAGCTTGTCTTCGGGCTTTGCGTTACGCGACAGAGAGCTGAGGCCCCTTGTGACAATGTCAATGGCGTGGTCGACCTTTTGTTGCTTGGCATAGGCCAGCGCGATGGTCATCCAGTATCCACGAGCGACATTCTCGTTCTCGAGCAAGGTACACAGCTCGGTGGGATCGTCCATCAGATCTTCCAGGTTGACCTCGACGGCCTCCTCGGCGTCACCACTCGAGAGCGGTACATCGAGCGCCGCAGGAATGTGTGAGAATCGAACGAGAGCGGCCGGGGCGTCATCATCGTGGCCATCAAGACCATTTGTGTGACCGTTCTGAACAGCAGCCATGGCGGAAGAGTCGTTCGAGGGGTGTAGGAGTGAATGCGCCGAAAATCAATGGGCCATGAATTGGCGCGCTCGGGGGTGCGACAGTCCGTGCGAAGTCGAGATTCGCGCTTTCCAGTCGTCGACAATGGATTCAGAGGTGAGGAAGGAGCGATGGAGAAATTGCGATAGAAGGAAGGCGCACTTTTGGCGTGCTTGTCGATTGGTCAGTTGTTGGACAGCGCGAGCTTCACAGTCGCAACTTCCCCAAAGGACGAGTGAATCCAGGCCGGGGAAAGTTTGCCGAGACGCGTCACTCTCGATGCGGCAGCTGAGCCGATCTCCCTCGCTGTATACCATTGATTGTCGTTTGCAAAACTGCTTGCTACATATACCATCTTGTCGAGCTCAGAGCGCATCTCGTCGCCAGACCATTCTGACTCGCAATCGATGGGTTTGACATAGGCACAACATGTCGTATATGCGCCGTCCTTCGGCTACTGGAGACCGAGGACATGCCAACGGAGACGGCTACCAGTTCCCGCGTCGCTACGACCTGGACACGACCAGCAGAGACAATAGCGCCGATGAGAGGAGTCGATCAAGGGGCCCTGCTGCCGGAGGTGGCTACGGTGGACTAGGAAGAGCACAGGATGACCACATACCCCGAGTAGGGAGTCCGGCGCGACTCGACCGCAGCAAGAGAGCTAGCGGAGAGGGGAGAGCTTTCAGCAGAAGTCGGAGCAGAGCCGCTTCACAAATGCGCAATGCCGAAAACAGCAGGCAGGTCGAGGATATTCTGCGATACATCGACCGCCATTGGGGACAAATGGCCAACGAGTCTTGCGTTCCAGTAAAGGTCGCCTTACAGCTCATGGACCAGAGCTCGCTTGGTCTGGCAGATCAGTATAACAGCTTTCAAGACACGCATCAGCAATTGCAAAACGCTCTCAAGGCCATCGTCAATCAGCACCATCAGGGTTTCAACAGTTCCATCGGTACTTTCCATCAGATCCAATCCAGCATTCAGTCGTCCCAGCAAAGAGTCCGTACCTTGAAGCAGTCCCTCGTCCAAGCAAAGGGAAACCTGCGTACTACTCGTCCCGAGCTCAAAGCTTTTGCTCAGTCAAGTCAGAGTTATGATCAGATGCTGCAGACTTTGGCCTATATTGAACAATTGCAACTCATGCCAGAAAAGCTTGAGGCTCAAATCTCAGAAAAGCGTTTCCTCGGTGCTGTCGAAACACTTCAAGATGCCCTCAAAATCATGCATAAACCCGACATGGAAGACATTGGTGCTTTGAGTGACTTGCGTGTTTATTTCAGCAACCAGGAACACTCCATCACAGACATACTCGTCCAAGAATTACACAGCCATCTCTACCTCAAGAGCCCATATTGCGGAGAGCGCTGGAAGCAGTATGCTGATCGCTCTGCAACTACCGGTGCTGCCTCGTTTGAGATTGAGGGTCGTCAACTCTATCGTTTCCTTGAGTCTTTCGATCCCACTCAAATTTTGACTGAAGACACATCTCGTAACCCTGAGACCGACACTTTCTCCTACATCCAACTTCTCGTTGAAGCTCTCGATCGTATGTCACGGCTAGATCTCGCTATTGACCAGATTGAACAAAGACTGCCTGTCGAACTGTTCCGTGTCGTTGAGAGATCATACACTGAGGTCGAACAAAAGTATCCCGGCCTGATACGAGGCGCTGCAAAACAACAGCACTACCAGCTTGACAATATCAACGCTGAAGTCAATCAAGACAAGAAGATGATTCTTGAAGACATGTTGTCTACCTTGTATGCCAAATTCGAAGCCATTGCAGAGGGTCATCGCGTCCTCCATGAAGTCATTGGTGGTATATTATCCCGCCAAGGCAGTGATGAGCCAGCCTTACTTCGCAGCTTCAGTGAACTTTGGAAACTGTACCAGAGTGAGATTCGCAGTCTGTTGCATGACCACCTCGCTGCTAGTGGCAGTCCAGAAAACTCATCAAATTCCGAGCACAATCATGCTGCGAACATGTTTAAACCACATGCGAGAGACAAGATCAAGCGGTTGTTCAAACTGGCGGATACAGATAGCAAGTCTACTGAATTGGCTATCGAGAAGGAAGACCTTGATTTCATTCTCAAGTCTTCAGTGCCTGGACTGGCAGCTACCGGTACAACGCCTGCTGCGAAGGATGCGGAGAATGACAAGAATGAGGATCGCTCAGCGACAGGTCACAAGTTGCTGGTGGAGCCCAGTGTCTTCAACATGGGTATTCTGCTACCACCTTCATTATCCTTCTTGACCAGACTGAAGGACATTGTACCGCCAAGCTCAGAGATTGTGTTGAAGACTCTCACATCCTTCCTCGATGACTTCTTGATCAACGTCTTCCTGCCACAATTGGAAGAGGCATTGACAGACATGTGCATGGCTGCATCTGCAGAAAGTGATGCTTTCCAACAAGATCCTAAATGGCAAGTGCGAGCACAAAAACCCGTCTTCAAGGGCACTTCCAATTTCCTCGACCTGATCAAGGCATTCTGTATGCTTCTTGACAGCCTTCCTCATGACCAAGCATTCAGTCAGCTTGTCATGGCACAAATGCGCATCTACTACGACAAATGCTATAACTTCTACCGCGCTCTCGTCATGCTACCACAACAAGATTCTGGAGCAGAAAGGAAGCCGAAGCGCTCGGCTGCACTCGCAGAATATAACGCTGATATGCGGGATGCCGTTGGCACACTTCTCGCTCATGAAGCCGAAAACGCGGATGATGTCCAGCGATTGATGCAAGAACAAACCACCTCCCTCATCGCGAACGTCAAAGCCTCGTCGCTCTCAGATGCAGATCTCATTCTCGACAGAAAATGCTTGAGTGGACTTTGTGTGCTGTATAACAGTACGAGATGGTTTGTGGCTCATGCGACGCAGCTGAGATATATGTCCGCCTCAATGTCCAATTCCAACACCTCGCCCACGACATCTTCGAGACATCAAACGAGGAGATGGACAACTCTGATATCGCCAAATCCTCATGCTGCCATCTATCTCCCCCTCGACCTCCAATCCTCTCGCGATTTCGACGCCATAACGACGTCAATGACTGACCTCGGGTCTCTGATTCTACGAACACTACACCTAGAACTACGTCTACAAATCTTATCCGGAGTTTCTCGTGCGCTGAATACAACATATCTTCTCGGTCAACCCTACAACGACCCCGATCCAGCCATCCTTGCACTATCCCGTCAACTCCTAAATATCGACGAAGATCTCTCCACCAACCTTCCATCTTCACAACATAAACTCTTGCTCCTCCATCTCGCTCACCCTGCTTCTGTAGCTTTGACTTCCTTTACTGCAAGTATTCCAGCAATGGATACCTCTGGCATTGGCCGCATGCATCTGAATATCTTGGTGCTGCAACAAGTACTCAAAGACATTGAGCCGAGCAGCAGTCTACAACAAGCAGCAGATTTCTGGTCTTGGATGGAGGATTCTCCGAGAGAAATCGTGCAAGGAGTTGAAATAGGGGAGTTGGGAAGGGAGGAAGCGAGGGAACTTGTTAGACTTTGGGGTAGTGGGAGGGGTGATGCTGGGAGAGTTGGTGTTGAAGAGGGACTTCGAGGGTTGGAGTAGTCGTCTACCCTTTTCTCATGCTCTAGCTCCATCAATGTGTCATCGCGTATTCATTATCCCTCTGTAGGTGGGGCATTCACTTTCTTGAATAGCTATGAGTCCAAGCGATTATTGTCTACCTTTTTCTCTTCTTTCACATGCTTCTCATACCCATACAGTAAGGGTTTCCGCATCTGTATAATGTCAAGATTTACATCTTACGGCTCACAAAGTGCCTCTCCCTCTCTCTATCGCCCTTTCTGGATTTTCTGAATCCTTTCTCCCCCCTAACGCTTTCCACGCTTTTTCTCTTGTCCGTTGGACTCTTGCAAATTAAAAAAGCATGAGAAGCATGAGAAACATGAAACATGAAACATGAACTATACCTCGAAGCATAAAATACTGTGAAAATGTAAACCCCCCCAAGATGAGTGCGAACACAATCACAAAGAAAAAGGGAAAAAAAGTAAACCATCATAAAGCAATCTGGATTTGGACCAAGAGAGAGAGAGAGAGAGAGACACGGCGAGAGGCGAGAAGCAAGAGGCGGAAAGCAAAGAGGCATACCGTCGTCGAATATAGCAATAACAATGACGATGGTGACTTGATTTGAAAAAAGAGCACAAAACACCCACCAGACGAACGGCCGGCCAGCTTGGCCTTAGTAGGCATACCGCCTAAACATTGTCAAACCTTTGCAAAGAAAAGAAGAAACCGTCTTGCTTTTTTTGCTCTAAGATATTCAAGTAAAAGACAGCTAATAACCGCCGATGTCTATATCTTTGTGATGAAAAACCAAGGGCCAAGAGGACACAGAGATTGTTTGACTCTCTTTCGGTCTAATCTGATTAGCAGATCGAAAATAGACCAGCTTCCTTTTGCGAGTCCTTCAATACTTTTTTTTTCCACAGGGCAAAGTGTAGTCAATAGTTCGCATGCGTAACTTTAGCAATGGGGGCACACAGTTATCAGTCACGAGGTTTCTGTCTGTAGTCACAAAAAGGGGTTGAGAGAAGCAAAAGGATCGTGTCAAAAGTGTCAAGGCAGAGACAAGGAAGGCGCAGAGGAGAAAAAACAACAACAAGTGAAGAGATCACGTCCTGGTGCAAAGAAAAGCCGCACAGCAGCCATGCACAAGATCAAAAATCTCCCACTGCTTATTCTCTCTTCTTCTTCTTCCTCTCCTCTCTCTCTCTCTCTAGTAGTATTAATGAAATAAGGTCTGGTTCTTGTACAAAGCATCATCTCTCTTCGTCTTTCTTCCCTTTGTTTCTCCATCTTTTTGTTCTCCTCGGCTTTCCTCCTCTCTCTCTCTTCATCCTGTATGCTTCCCGTTCTGTAGTGGAGAAAAAAAAAGATAGGAAAACAAAATCAAAAACTAGCAAAAATTGTACGCTCTGGTTAAGAGCTCATGCGAAACAAACAAAAACAATGACAGCGAAACGCAACAAAGCGCGACATGTGACAACGCGCAAAAGGCAAGAGCGAAAAATAGATGATGGCCGACAATGACGCCTTCCTGCAAAGAGTACAGGATGATGCGCCTGTTCCCCGAAATAGTTTCCCTGTCCCTGTATGCCCAGATTGGAAAAGATAGAGAAAGAAGGACAAAGTAACCGCCATTAACAAAAGAGACGCGTGAAAAGGGTATGCGTGTCGTTTCTGGATTTGTGGTTTCTCTTCATTGGTACTCGGCGCCTGTAGAGACAATGCCTTGAGGCATGGAATGCTGCATGTGGTGAGGCTCCATATGATGATGGTCCATGTGATGAGGGTCCATATGGTCGCGCGAGATTTGGCTCATGTGCATATGCGATGGAGGAGGGCCCATGTCGGAATGCATGCCAGGCATGGAAATATACGAGTCGTTGACATCACCTTCAGAGAGGTCAAGACCTTCTTCGGGCTCTTCCAGGTCTTCTTCGGGGAAGACTGTGCCGTCGGGGTTTGCATCGTGAGTGCGACGGTGTTGAGCGAGGTTGTCGGAGCGGGAGAAAGCCTTGTTGCAAAGAGGGCAGACGTAGGGACGCTCGGAAGTGTGTGTACGGACGTGTCTGTTTCAGATCAGCATGGAAGTTTTTGGATGTCTCAGCTCTGCAAGACTCACCGTTTCAAGTGTTCTAACCTCTTGAAAACTCTGCCGCACATGGGGATGGGACATGAGTGGGATTTGGAGGGGTAGGGGTTGTTCATGTCTTGGACGGTAGCACTGCGAGCGCGACGGAAGACACCGTTGGGGGTGCGCATGACTGCAGCTTGAGCGTAATTGACGGGGCGGTACTGATCGCCGGGGTATGCCTGTGCGTATTCGTCCTGGCCCAAGGGCATGGCAGCCGGGGGCACGTCGTCGACGGGGGTAGCATGACGCGAGTAGTCTTTTTGCTGGCGAACAGGAGTGGCTCCTCTCGGCGAGTCGTGGTAGACGGGATCGACATCGTGAACGGGGACAGAGGCGTGGCGCAGGTCGCTGGGACGGTGGACGGCGTGCGAGGTGACGCTCTGGGGAGTCGAGCTGGGTGGTTGCTGGGTCAGGGACGAGCGACGTCTGCGCTGCTTGTAGGTGGGAGAGCCTTCGAGCGCCGAGGGATAGTGGTGGAGAGGGCGCATCATCGAGGGGTACTGAGGAGCGGCCATGGGCTGAGCGACAGGCATCAGAGGATTGTAGTACTGCGACATGCCCGGGTCTGGCATGACAGCGTACAGGCCCGTCTCTTCGTTTGCAATATAGGCAGGCTCGTGGTGGGAGTGGTGCTGCTGCTGGTGCATCTGGTGCTGCGGAGGGGTGATGGGCTCGTAGCTCATGCCGCGCTGGCTGTAGTCTTCAAAGTGCGACGAGACAAAGGACGGGGCGGGCGAGTACTCCATGTAGGCGGGCATGCTGCTGTGGCGGGCGGCGGCGTTCATGGCGCGTTCGTAGTGCATGATGGGACCGCAACTCTGTTCACGAGTCTTCGTCACTTGAACTGGCAAGGGCGCTTGCATGGCCATCTGCTGGTACGTTGGCATCTGTGTCAACATTTCCTCTGGCGGCATCGCCAGGGGCATACTTGTTGCCTGCATCATAGCCCCCACTGGTGGTCCCATCGACTCGCTCGTGCTGGGTGGAGGGCCCATCGGCTGCGGTGTTCCGGCTGCTGCCGCCATCGTGTTTGCCGCCATTGGGCCCGAGGCTGGGGGTGGCGCGCTTGCAAAGGTCGAACTGCTGGTCTGCTGAGCCTTGGTGAGCTGTTCAAACAGCGACTGACTGGAGTCGAACTCGAACGAGAGAGCGGGCTCGCTGACGGCCACGGTTGTAGCTTCCTGGCCCATCTTCTCGCGCTTGAGGTCGCGTTCCAGGGCGTCGAGGAAGAGACGGTCGTGAGGGACGCTGTACCAGTAAAAGACCTTCTGCTTCTTCTGTGTGCGGATGCAGTTGTTCTTGTACAAGAAGTCGAGGAAGGGGCTTTTCGGCTCTTCCAGCGAAGCGTCAGTGCCAGACTTGAGGTTTCGCAGGTCCGAGAAGATTCCCTCTTCAAACTTCTTCGAGTTCTTGACCGGTCGACCGAATGCTTGGAAGCGGAATGACAAGCATCGTACAATGTCGGTACCTGAGATGTGGAAGAGGTTGCTCCTAGAATCTGAATGAGCAATCATATCGCAGCCTGTCTGTCAGTGAACGACAACGTACCACAACACACAAGAAACGTATTCGCCAGTGGGAAGCAGGAAGCGTCGGATGTACTGATCCGGAGACCAGTCTACGGGTGCTGAGATCAAAAAGTACTTGACTGGATCCGTGTCAGTAAGAGTCAAGGCCTCCATTGAGAACATGGAGTTGGGCGAGAGATAAGAGGCAGCAGCGACATACGATTGTCGACTTGCTGCAACGCGACTATCGAGTCTGCAGGCAAGCTTTGTTGAGCGTCTTGGTCCAGGAGAAACGTCTCTGGTGCTACCGATCGACCCTGAGGAGGGCCCGTCATGACGGCGTGCTGTGTCGAGTACATTGCGATGACTTTCTCGAGCCGAGGGTTATTATAATAAGGGGGATGTGCTAATCAAATGATGTTGCAACTGAATGCGACAATTCTTTGCATGCAAGAGGGGACGAAGCGAGTGTGGGTGGAGTAATGGATAGGGATGCTTGATCGAAAAACGACGGTCAGTATCGAGGGCCTGCCTACGATAGCGTTGTATGCCGTTGTGCAGTGATACAAGAAAGAGAGACTCGATGCTGTATGGCAGATGCGAGAGGGGAAGCGCGACTTGACAGACAGAGCGTGTCGCAGAGAGAGCAGATTGAGCAGATGGGAGTGTTTGAGAATGACAGAGGGCTGAGGGCTGGCGGGAGGGAAGAGGTTGATGAGGCTCATGAAACAAGTGCAAGAAAGACTCGAAACCCGCCAAGCCAGTCTGTGCCCTGTTTGAGACTCTCTAGTCCAACGCCCCAGCGCCCGCTAGCCTGGAAGCTTCGCATCGAGCACTGATGCTCATGCCACAACCAGAACCAGCTGTTATCTCATCTTGTCTGATGTCCGCATCGAGAGATGAGTCCGCGGCCATGTCGAACCGTCTCTTCGAACGCCCAATCCATCTCAGTCCATCTTGTATAGCGACGACGCCATGCCAGAAATAGGTGCTTCCACCTGCCAAGCGGGCAGTTCACATGTCTACCTTTTCTGCCCTTACTCGAGTGCCTACCGCTTTCGCTCGCCCACCAAAAGCCACACCAATCTCGGCCGTTTATTCGATAATTCACTTTCTTGACTGGAGGCAGGTAGGTGCCCATTATTGCCAACCACCTCATTTTTTGCTTCTCCCTGTTGCCATCCGCCGTCTTCTATACCAACCATTGCCAATCTCTATCGTCATGCAGCTTCGTACCTGGCTTCCGAGTATCCTCAGCATCGTAGCACCTGCGTTGGTACCTGCATGAATCTGGCGGAAAGCCTGCTGGCGGCTGATCCACACAACGCTCTACATTTGAAACACGCGCCGACCCAAACGGTGACCTGCGCTGTGCTTTACACTTCTTGTTTGCAACCTTGTAAACTCTCCACTCAAAGAAGCCAGCCTCTCTGTCTCCAAGAATAACATCTCTCGCACCACACCTCATCACATTACCCAAAAAAAGACACTTCCGTCATGCCGCTACCACCGTGATCATCTCTGGAGAGGGAAATACTCCCTTTTCATGCACTTAGCCTCTCCGACTAACAACTATCTCATTTCCCGATCGCCGTCACCGCTCCTTTTTTGCTTCTTCTGCTCTGCTTCTCTTCCGCTTCCCGAGCCGGTCTGTCCGCGACGAAGACAAGAAAGTACGAGCAAGTCCAAGCGTTGTGCAGTCTTGTCAACCGTGATCAAGTGGTCGAGAAATTTTACAATGCAGCGGGACTGGCTGGCTAAAGTCACCAATCTCGGAGCTTTTTCCAAGCGCCCGAGAGTCATGAGTATCTGTCCACACCACTCACATCGTGGCGCAGCGCGGTGCACCTCGCGATAGAGTACCTTTGCCATCAATCGCCTCGAGGCTAGACTTTTGTGGAGTCTGCAGTGGAAAGCAATTGGGTTTTATGCCTGAGGGCGTGTTACACGAGTACACTCTCTTTTGACTGCCTTTCTGTACGACGCACTCATTATTTGTCAAAGCCCTGCGCACATCTTCACCTCGATGCTTCTTCTTGCGAATGAACAAGGGATACTGAATGGTACTCTCAAAAGTCAAAAGTGCGCGAGGTTTACGCAAGTCGATCCGTACATCACGCTTGGAGCGCGTAATCTTAAGCCATCGAAGGTGGGCGCTCAGCTGGCCCTGTCTGAGATTGATTAGAAACATGTCGATCACCCCAGCTGGCAGTTCGTTCGTGGACTGCATGTCCCCATCGCTGCGGACATTTTCGGCCAACAATCGTCCACCTCCAACTTCATGTCCTCGCTTACCACAAGTCCACTCATGGAGGATGCGCCAATGGCCCTCTTCTATTCGCATGACGATGACACTTTTTTTCTGAAAGGGTCTTGTTCAACTGCTCTGTGCGCGACAAGTCGGTGAAGATTGGTTAGAACGAATGAGCATTATTACATATCAACGTGTACAAAGAGATAGGTGCACTCGTTTCCGTAACCGCGACTTCTATTTTCCTCGAAGTCCTCATTTTGTCAGCCGGCAGGTACGGCATCTTGAACTCAAATCAAACCCACACGACTCGTGCTTTTCCTTAAGACGGCCGGTCTATCGTCCAAGTTTGCGAATCATACAGTTTGACTTGAAACCCTTGACAGCTTTGTGCTCTTCATGAAGCCAAAATGTCCTGGAGGGTCTGCTCCTCATCCTCCAAGACTTTTACCCTCTGCACGTTCAGGCAAGACGCTTGTCGACGGGTTATCTCTGCAACCAAAGCGCGTGCTTGTCGTATTCCTCATGCATGCGACGAACGATAGGCTAAAAAGATCGATTTTTTGCCTTCACATCCGACTCATGAACCTGAGGTTCGTCTCGTGTGTAATCGCTTGAAACAAGTTCCAACTCCCTTCTCTTTTTGCATCGCTGCATCCCAAGATGCCATGTTTCGTCGTTGCGGGCCGTGGCCATATGTTCCACCTTTCGCGGGTCGGTCGGGTTCGGACGGGTTTCGAAGAGACAGATGCTTGAACCTGAGTATGGCGTATGCTGCTCGAGCCTTTCTCTCTTCCTACATCTTTCCTGGGTAAGCAATTAACAAAGTCTAGCATGGACACATCTAGACAAATGAGGATCCCTGCGGCGAATCACAGTAACCCCCCGTCACGATCTTTGCGACGCGATCGTGTTGGTTTCGCAATCAGTGGTGCAGGGTTCTGATGGTGCCTTTTGGTGTCTCTACTCGAGACTTGCGACAATTGATTAAGTGCACGAGAACAGCACACTCATCCACTCTCTCTCACCTGCTGACGACTCGTGAATGTCGGCATATGCGAGGTGGACGGAGGACTGCGAGTACTGTAGCTCACGCCTAGACGAGCTTTCAAGCAACCGTCAGACCATCTCGGCAGTTGAGCATGCTATCCATGACCACAAGAAGCCGGACGCGTCGTCCACATCATGGTAGCGTCTGAAAGGAACAGCGATCAGGTCTTTGCAATTATCGTGTGCGTGTCATGGACTTCAAGTATGCTTGTTAAGCAACAATGTTGAATGCGGTGAACGGATTGAGCTTGCGGAGGTGCAGAGAGATGCCAAGCCAAGCTCATCTCTCGACCAGCTGGTCACTGTATCCAGCAAAACACAAGGCACTCCATTGCTTGGACTTCTGATACTCATAGAAATCTTGCTGTAGAACTGGGTGAATTGCCAGACCTGAGCATGACAAACGAGCTCGATCTTGCTGCTCTCTGACATGCCACAAAGTTTGTGGTGTCAGTCCGTCGCAGACTCTTCAACATTTTCCAACTCTTGCGATGTTATTCCATGGTTGTTGTGCTGTTGCAATGACAAAGCTCAAGCTCTCTGCATCCAAAGTTCGACCTCATCTCTGATCACTACAAGCTAAAAGGATTGATTATCGCTCGTTGTCGACGAGTGCTGACCGGGTGAAGAAAGGATCAGGGTTGTCCACACAGCAAGTGCGTTGCATCGTGCTATGACGACATCCAAAGTGGACGCGACATCTTTTGACACCATTTTCTACTTTGACCTTTGTCGCTTGGTGCAGTCATCATGATAACAATGATTTTGCAACAACAGGATAGTTGGAGTAGTAGCACGAGGTAGGGTCGCGCCTAGTACAAGGCATTGAGCTGTGGCATATCAACTTAGAACGCAGTACTCAGCTTGTTTATAGGTCATATAACAGTCTATCAACTACGCTGTCTCTCCTAGCTCACTTTGCAAAAATACCAAGAGCCCCAGCAACATCCCCCAAAACCCCAGCAAACCCACTAATAACCTGCCCCGCCCCATCAAAAAGCCCATTCATAGTATCCCCCTCACAATAAATCCACTCCCCCGAAGCAGCATTCAAAGCCGCCGCAATATCATAAGCCTGACAGGTCAAAGGCACACTAAACGTGCAAGCAACACCATCCTCATTATCCTGAATGGCTTGCCAGTTTGTGACTAGACAGCCACGACCGCGTACATTGTCTAGGATTCCGTTGGCCCAGTCTCCGACGTTGCCGCCGCGGTGGGGGTAGTAGATGCCCCAGAAGTTGGAGACTGAGCCGTGTTTGGAACTGCATTGGGCTGGGGGTGTGTCGCGCTTTGTGAGGACGTCGGTGGGCATGGCGATCGCGGAGGTCGCGGCGAGAGAGGCGATGAAGGCGGTGGTGGAGAAACGCATGATGATTGAGATATGGAATATATAAATGAAGAGGTTGTGGTTTTGTTTGATTTGATGGTTTGTGGTTTGAGTCTTGTGGATGACTTGGTTGGAGTGTTGTGATTGATTTGATTGAAAAGCAGGGAGAAGAGGGCATACTTATGCCTTTTAGCATGCTGCTTTGCTCGTTGTATTTACCCTTTAGAAACGAGAGTGACTCCTGCAGACGGTGAGATGTTCAGTCTCATGCTTGATCGTTCTGCAAATCACTTCATCATCAGAGGCTGTGCCGCATCATGTCGTCGTCAGAGAATTATTCCTTCGAGCCCAATCTTGTGTACAATCGACAGGATATAGTCACGAGTAGCGAGCAATGACGAGTGAATGTCTTGAGGTTCGTGGAATGATACTCGAACAGGCAGGTAGATAGTAACTCCAAGGTAAGAGGTGAGATTGAATAAACTTAGCAACACGGATTGTAGACTCTGCGTGCTGCAATTGAGCGTTGATCTTTTGTTCGCGGAATGATACGTGAAGAGGCAGTAGAAGGTGTAGATCACCTTGAAGGAACTCAAGGAAGGCTGCGTAGAAAACTCCAGCGAGTCTTCTGAAGCATGACTGGCAAGAGCAGGTCGATCAGCTCGGGGTTAGGACCAGAAGAGGTATTAAACGTGTTCCATCACAAGGCTGATCTCAGATCCACATGGTAGATCCAATGGAGATAATCTCACACGTGGTCGCGATAATGGGCTATCGACGTGACGATCGTGTCTTGTCTTGGCCGTACAAAAGTAGAAAAAAGCCTTGGCACTTCTCCGCATCGGATCCTCCGCAGATCTCTCCACCAGCTGGCAGCTGCCAGGAAGCCAGGAACGGGTCTGGATTTGGGATGAAAAGATGCGATCATCTCGAATGGCTCGGTCGGAATTAGCCATACAAAGGGCAGGTTATTCGCGACGGGAAGTCGCGCTGTTGATGCGATCATGATGCCAACCCTGGCTTCGCCACTCAGCTCGAAAACCATCCATCTCCGACGCAATACCTGATGACCATTCTACCTGAAAAGGACATATTCAGTACGCTAACGACTGCTTGAGTTGTGTCATGGAATGAACCAGACTACATAATGCTGAGCATGACTTCTCTGATCATCTTCCAAATGGCCGTGTGGTTTAGGCGGCTCCATCCACAAATGCCCCGACACTGCTCATCACGACTTTGAAACTCATTACCATTTTAATGTCTGACAGATAAGCATACAGATCTATACTTAAACGGCATATCGAGGCGCCAGGATGGTCAATCACGTCGCAAGTACGCCGCTTCCTGCAGCCCTATGGCTGACGAAGCTGGCTAGACACTGCCATTGGCAGGGCAGCAATTAGACTGCAGGACTGAGATTTGCTCTCTAACCCTAAACAATCAAACCGCCTGTTCGCAAGGACTTCAGTTTGCTATCATGGTGAACAGGTTGGCGCCGAGCTTAACATGTCCTCGAGACACTACTCAGACCGTCCCATCTGCGGGTAAGTCATTCCGACTCGACGGTGCAGCTTTCGCTCTCTACTTCGTGTGGTTGACGGCCATACTCTTGGCCATGTATACCGAATGGTCTCGACGTACTCGCCGGTTTGTCAAAGGCTCAGATTTCGAACAGGCCATCAGACTTCCCTTCCTGGCAGGTGTCGTGCCCGCTATCTTTTCCATGGTTTGGGCTGTTTCGACACCCCTGTCATCCGACCACTATGCACAGTCTCAGGCCACGAAAGACTTTGTTGAGAGATGTTCAAACATGTCAACTATCAAGTTCAAGTCTTCTGTTGCGATGAAAGAATTCCTTGACGCCTGCGACATGATCTGGGACCGCATGGACGCAGATATTGGAGGTATTGGTGTCAGAGTATCATTCTATATCGCATTAGCGATGACGATCGTTTCATCTTTCGGAGGACACTCCCACCAAGAGAGAACGGCTGTTAAGGACGTTGGTACTGCCCAGCTTGCGTGTGAGTCTGTCCCAGTGTAATGAATGATTCACGCTGACATATGTACTAGCAATGCTGTCTATAATGGTTGCACTGCTGAGGTCATATACCATCTTGAATTTCTGGCAAATTATGGCCGCTACCTTCGACGTCTGACGCTCACTGATCCGACAAAGGCTCCAAACAAGATCGACCCATGGAATGTCCGAGCCTTTGCTTGAATGCCCGCTGCTATGCCTGCTACTACTGTGACTGACTGGTTCCTATGGACTCTACCTGCGGCTGTGGCTGTGTTGATCTTTTTCGTCCACTACTTAGAGCAGTCCAAGGCTGCGATCACTGATGAAGTTTTGAGCAAAGCTCGAAAAATGGACAATGGTCATTCATTTGTACAGTATCTCCAAGGGCTTCGATATGCGCAGTACAGCCCTTGCCGATGTCATCTACATGCTGGAATCCTCCTACCAATGGTCGCAGGTGGGATCAAATTTCTCTTATTGACTCTTCGCATGGCACGACATCCGGCGCTGCAACCTCCTAATCTCTGCGCGACATTGCTACAATGAGAAGCGGCTCTCTCTCGCTGCTCGGACAAGCGAATCTTTAGTCCCTTTTTGTTCCACATGCGGCCCAAAATGCTAGGGCCAATAGATGCCAGAGTTGCTCTTTTCGCAAGGCGACGGACACACTTCAAATCAAGACTGAGGAGTGTCACACTCGACTTATCTCCAGAGATTCGAACCACTTCCAAGACCACCCGTCCTCCCCGTGTGCGAAATACTGTCACACTTGTAGCTGCCTCAAGGCACAATACTTTCTTGAATTGGAGCAATGTCATCGAGACATTTCGTGTCAACGACTCCCTGCATCAGGCTTATTAATACGAGATATTACTGCGCCTTTTTACAGCTTGTTGTAACACTCCTTCAATTATTGTGAAGAAAGGGTGTGATAGCATTCTGCACATGGGGAGGGTGCAGATTTTAGAGAAGAGCCGAAGCACGGAAAGCTTATCTCGCTCGGGTCGTCATGCCTTCCAAGTATCCAACCAAGAGCCCGATAGATCTCCAAAGTCTGCCCAGAATCAAGACGCAATCACTGCGGCGGCACTGATAAAGCATTATTAATCCCCCACTCTCGAGTCAAGATATTCAAGAAGACTGCTGGTATGATTGATAAGCCAACCCAAGTCTCGGCACTCTCGGCGTCCCTTCTATCAACTCTCTCTTTCGGAGCCACAACTTGAAACTGTCTCCAATGATCTTAAGTTCTTCTCCGTTACGATCTTCTCGAACTCAAAAAAGACAAGCTCAAAATGTCTGCAACAAAACTATTCAAATCGCTTAAGCTGGGCACGGTTCAACTTCAGCACCGTGTTGTCATGGCTCCTCTCACCCGACTACGCGCCGATAAGGATCATGTCCAACTCCCTATGGCAGTGGAATACTATGCACAAAGAGCATCCTCTGGAGGTCTTATCATCGCAGAAGCAGTCCTCATCTCTCCTGAACACGGTGGTTTCGGAAACGCACCAGGAATTTACACAGAAGCTCAAATCAATCGCTGGAAGGAGATAACCGATGCTGTGCATGCCAAAGGAGGAGTTATATATGCTCAACTGGTTTCTGTGGGTAGAGTGGCGGATACGAGTATTCTGAAAGAAGAGGGCGACTTCCCTCTTATCAGTTCGAGTGCGTCACCTTTTACAGAAGCTACACGCAGTCGACCTGATGACCCTGTTCCTCATGCCTTGACTGTGGATGAAATCAAAAGAGCCATCGACACATTCGCACAAGCAGCATACAATGCTATACAAGCAGGCTTCGACGGCATAGAGTTGCATGGCGCAAACGGCTATACCATCGATCAGTTTACACAGGATACATGCAACACACGCACAGATTCCTACGGCGGCAGCATCGAAAATCGCTCTCGCTTCGGTCTTGAGGTCACAGAGGCTTGTGCTAATGCTATTGGTGCTGATCGCGTCGGCTTCCGTATCAGCCCCTTTAGTACTTTCCAAGGCATGAAGATGACGGACCCAATTGCTCAATTCTCGCATCTTGTCACCGAGCTGAAGAAGTTTTCGCTTGCTTACCTGCACATTGTGGAGTCTCGCGTCATCAACAATGTCGACTGTGAGAAACAGGAAGGCATTGAGCCTTTCTTGGAGATCTGGGGAAACACATCGCCTATCCTTGTTGCTGGAGGCTTCACTCCTGAATCTGCCAAGCATGCAGTGGATGTGGAGTACGAGGCTTTTGACACTGCTGTAGTGTTTGGAAGACATTTCATCGCCAACCCGGATCTGCCGTTGAGAATCAAGAAGGGCTTGGAGTTGAACAAGTATGATAGGAGTACGTTCTATACTCCCATGCAGGAGAAGGGGTATCTGGATTATCCGTTCTATGAGAATGGTAGGGAGGTGGAAGTGTTTGCTTGATCAGGTGGAACCCGATAAGCTTTAGTACTTTTCTCTTCTCCCACCTTCAAGTCAAAGGCTCCGGATTGGGCTGCCAACGATATGGAAGACCAATACTCAACACATCAAGGTATTGAAGAAGTTGCCAATTTTTGCGATATTGGCTACACGAGTAACTATCGAGACATCTAATTGAACATGTTAGTGACTTTGACCGACATAAAGGTGAGCGGAGGATAGAGAGATATACATTGATCAGGTCGAATGACCACCACACTTCCGATACTCTTGTCAATACCAAGGGCATCATAAGCATGTCCATGACCATGATTATAGCTTTCGTCGTCGACAAAGATCTTGTTGATATCTGTTCTATCTTTTAGCTTCTACCAGTAGTGTTGCGAGGTATGGTGAAAGGTAACATACCGTCAAGTCCGTATGGTCCGGTAGGCGGATAGAATAGGGAGGGTATATCGTGATGCATCTCGATGTCAGCTCTGTGGTCTGCAACCACGAGTATCAATTCAATGAAGGAAGTTGAACCACTGTTAGAGGTCGCATAACGGGTCAGCGGGCTCTGCTCTGACGCAAGGTAGCTTGCTGCCTATTCAATCACCGTCAGTATCTTGTAGTACTTGTCTCCAATAGATGAACTTACATGCTGTAGTCGTTCTTTCCCACCTTGAGTTTGGATGTCGCCAACGAATACCAGAATCCTCCAGCAGCCATCAGACTGCAAAACTTTACCAAGTTGTATAGCCGTGGCGTCAGAAAGTCGCACTACTTGTACACTTGGAAATCTCATGCCAGGGGTAATGTTCACAACAGAATCTTGATCGCTGTTTCGTATGTCGACTAGTATTGAGTCTTCGTGGCTAGTCATTAGACCGGCCATGTACTTTGCACTGCGTAGAAAGTGCTCTTGGAATTTTTTTGCATTCTCAGCCTCATCATGGGTAGAGCTTGCAGTCTTGGAGGTAGCGTAGAGAGCATTGAGAGACTTGTCAAAATCGATCAGATCGGCTGCCACCTTCCGGCGTTCGGAGACGTAGATTTGGATGACTTTTGGCTTGATCTGTCCGCGGAGCACCTGTACTAGCTTCCAGCCAATGTTGTAGCCATCTTGTAGACTGACGTTCATGCCTTGTCCAGCTTTGGGTGAATGTGTGTGGCAAGCGTCGCCGGCTAGAAACACCCGATCTTCAGCACTGAATTCATTAGCCAAACGTTGACCAATCGAATAAGCAGACCACCAGTAAGTATGCGGAAACTCCATCTCGTAGCCCTTAAATATACCCTGCGCTCGTCCCTGCAGGTCTCCAAGGCTCATGCCTTTTGCATCCGTTCCAGCGGGCATTTGAACGTAGAAGCGAACCATATAACCACCTTCTCGGGGTATTATGACAATTGAACCAGCGTCCGTGTGAATAGTGGCTTTTTTGCGTATATCCGGGAAGTTCGTGCGTGGAAATATGTCCATTACACCCCAGACGGCATTTGAGCTGTCGCCAACCATTTTGTATCCTAGCGAGCGGCGAACACTGCTATGTGCTCCGTCGCAGCCCTGGTGATGTATCAGCCTACTATCCCTTGAATCAGAAGGCTATCAATAACTGTGTGAACTCACCACAGCATACTTGGCTCGAAAGATCTTCTTTTGCCCATTGTGTTCTGCGTGAACTTCCACAGGACGCTCCCCTTCCCGATTGATAACAACAGCAGTCACCTCATGCCCATAATCAATCTCCTGTTCAAGATCATAGCTGAACATTTTTTCCAGCAATAACCCATTGACCCTCGCCTGATTAAGAATAACATGTGGTAAATGCGACAACCCGTTTGGCGTATCCTCCGCTCTCCCCGTCCTCTGCAACTTCCCATCTTTCCCAACGCTCCAAAATGTCAATTCGGTAACATGATAGGCTTCGCGTAACAGCTCTTCGGATATCCCTAGGCTTTCGAATATTTCGACGGTACGGACGGCTACACCGTCGGCTTGTCCTATTTCCAAGCGACCAGGGCGGCTCTCGAGGATGCGAAAGGGGATGTGGGATTGGGCTAGCCAGATCGCGGTGCAGAGGCCTGCGGAACCGCTGCCGCAGATTATGACATCTGTTTCTATGGTGTTCATTTCGAAGTTGAGTAAGGGTGGTAGGCAAATAAGGTATAGGAGAGTAATCGATAAGGTCAGTGTCGCGAAAGACTCGAAGATGAGTAAACCTCTGGTAGCTGGGTCAGGATAATGATGAAGCTTGTTCAGAGTCTTCGGTTGCGCATTCTTTACAGTGTAAAAGCTACCATTTGCGTAGTGCTAGGCCTGGGCAGGAGAATTGCTTGATGATTGTGTGATATATAGCATGAGTGGTCGTCTTGCGGGGACGCCGGTGAGGACCTCGGCAATATTTTCAAAAGCGTTATGATCTCTTCCCTCATATATTTCTCATTCCTAAAGTTAGAACATCTTCTTTCGATCTCCCGTCAAGCACGAAGACAGAAAAAAAAACGATTTCTCGAAGATCAGATCGGATGGCTCCGTCGCGAGCTCACGCGACGACATCAATGCTAGGTCAATGAGCTCAGTTTCCTTCTGATCGAGGTTCGCAAGGATAAACCGAATTGCAGCCAAAGCCATCAGCAGTATCTTTCCGACTGACAACAGTTCAGTTATCAAACAGTTCTCACAATCTGCTCTGCGCAAGCGATGCAGATCTACCGAGTGATTGATGATGCGGCTTGTAAACAAAGAAAGTGACGCCAACACATATTGAAAAACCGGTCTTTGTTATCAACAAGAATGTTTGATACTTGCTTTCACTATCAGCGCACGCTACGAACACTTCACCAGACCAAATTTCACTTGCTTCACTTTCTTTCGTGCATTGCTGGAGCAAAAATTGAGAATACCGTTGAATATTGAGCTTTGGTAGAAACCTGACCCTCTGATGCTGTATCCCGAGCAAGCGGTTATACTGCGACCGAGCCTATCAATATTCACAGTGATTTTCTAATGCTAATCATGTCTTCCGAGAGCGGACCACATCAATGCTCCCCACGAGAGTCGTCATTGTTACGAAAAGTATGGTGCCTTTCGACAAGCTGATGTGAAACATCCCAGTCACCAGCAGGAGCAGCAGCCTCCTCGCCAGACTTAGCCTCGTCATCAGTAGGAGCAACAGCCTCATCCTCTTGAGACTCAACTTCGCCGTAGAAAGCGAGAGGTGCGAGAAGGTCGATAGTCATCTCACGAGCAGAGTCCAAGGTACGCTAATGTGGAATCGCAGCGCCAGAAATTGAACATGCATCTGCTCACTCCTCTGTACCACATCATTCTTTGTACACCGCTGATTGGGTGAGTTCAATGTTAAGATTATTCTGTAGTCGCGAGATGTCTTGACCACACTTTAAGAGAGAGTTTCGCGCAGTGTCTGGTCACGCTTGGTCTGAGCCCAACGACCAGTCCAATTGGTCATCCCAGTCATGATACCAAGTGGAGAAGAGAGCGGTACAGGTGCACATAGCTTTTCTAAGCCATCGAGATGCCTGGGGAGAGTCCATCAAGACAAGACTTCCGATAGATGCCGGCAAAAACACGAATGTGTTCGTGCTTTTCCTTAGATAGTTCGAGGACGTTTTCCAATGATCAATATTGCCATTAGTTACAACGTTCCGGAAACTAGCAGGGAGTCAGGAGGCACCTAATATAAAAGGGCATCGATCGGAACACGCAGATTGAGCTCGAGACCAGGACCGAGCTCGGTCGGGTGCCGAGTTCGGTATAGAGCCCGAGTGAGAAGGAGAGAACTGGACTCACTGCGAGTCTACCTTGTTACAGCGCCTCGATCTAGACTCTCCTGTTGTCACTTCCGTTCTCTCGAATTTTATCCTGGATTTTGGAACGGTCACAAAAACGGGGGCTTGCATACGCGTAAGAGTCAGGTTTCGAAGCAACATGCATCAACAAGCGTTTGATAACTTCTTGAGTGCGAGATTCCTTGTGAAGATAAATCAGGTCACTTTCTTTATCAGATTGTATACCGAGATATCGCGCAATGGAAGGCGCACAAGTCATGATTTGGACAATCACAATCATTGATGTCACTTCGACCGTGGAACTAGGCGTGGACGTGGGCGGGAGAGGTCCACAGAATTATTGCAGGCCATTTGTATGAATGGGGAGATCCAATATAACAGGGGCTCTTGATGGATATTAATGGAACCATAAAGATGTTTGTGCAGTAGATGGCTTCTTTCGAGCAGAAATCAGGATTCACGATGAGGTCGCACTCGGAGAATCTGTCATCGCTGCGTAGTGGGTATTTGATGTAAGCCGCTGATTATGGTGAGGTTTGGCTCTCTCTGGTTCCACTGTGATATGTTAACAGTTACCTTAGATGATTGTTCTGCGGGTTATGCCATGGCCATGAGCTTGAAATCCAACGAAAACCTTCAGCTTCTCGAACTTGCTGCCGTTTCTCCCTTTGAGAACTTGTGCTTCTTAATCAACTCTTATCCTGCATCGAGACTGCTTGTGGGAAGATGCTTCCACCCATCAGAGGTGCCGATCCTCAGCATGGATTGCTTTCAAAGTCACCCTTTGACGTTGGTGCACTTTCGCAACAAGGTAAGATCATCTTCGCTCATAACGTCCATAACAAGCACTGGGAAGGATATGATCACAGAAGTCTTCTTTGTAAGCTCTAGACCTCTAACAAATGCAGATGCAGATTCAAAGCTGTGAAACGCAATCAAACTGTCAGCAAAGCAGAGAGCTACGCTACTGACAACTGCAGCAAGGGTAGAGTCAACTTGAATGTCTCCATCATCACCCTGTATCTTGAACACAAGCTACATATGACCATGGATCTGACCCAAGACAAGCGATATCCCAAAATTAATGGTCAAGTGTTCCTTGTATAGTCTGGCTGGCTGATCTTCTTTTCCGGCGAGGTTGAAAAGTTTCCATATGCTGAGCCCATCACTCCTGACCAGATCTAGAATGCTGTTGTTAAACACGGATCTGAATGGTCGCATGCTTTGCTCTCTTCCAATACAACTGGTGCTACTCCGACCGACCTGGAACCTCTTGCCATAATCGACAGCTAACACCCTGCAAGCTCATTGCGCACTCGTAATAACAAACGTGCTTTGACACGGAATGTCGGATGGTCAAAAGCTCTGCGTGCAGATTCGAGAAGGGCAAGGATTTCAATCCTTTTGGGTCAAGCAACGACGTTGACACTCTTACGGCCATCCTTCCCTCCACTCAGCAGGACGTGTGGTTGACAACGACATCGGTCGCATTGAAGTTCAGTCTACTTACAGAAACGAGAAGACACAGAAGCTTCGCTCCCGATTGTAGTGTTCACTTGGTCATAGTGTGCTTCAACGACACCAACAAACTTGCCATGCCGCCAGCAGCGTCAAGCTCATGTTCATTGAGAATTCACGTTGTGATGTTAGGCACATCACCGGACAAGAAGAAGGTGATATTGGTCATCACATTCTCAATCATGCCAGGAGAAGTCGTTGATTTTGTGTTCTTGAGTTTACCCGCTGAACGTGACCGACAGTTACGCCATCGCGCCCGAAGGTATGGTTCACAAGGAGCTGACTCCGCCTAGATTGGAAAAATTCATCCGAACGTCGGCAGTTTCAAGCATCAACGTGTTTTCAACGACTGGGGATTCTCGGCCGAGCTGCTGCTCAGGGTCAAAATCCCATCTTGGTTCGTGAAATCGTGTGTGTCGGTCGAATCATGACTGCGTCCACTCTCTGACATCTGGTACATCACACCAAGATTTTTTGTTAAGGAGAATTGGTATTCCGTTGTAGTCTTGACGCCGTGGGTATTGGATCTGGCTCTGCCACACTTCTGTGACACACGATCTCATGTGAAGCACCATTATTATGACCGGAAGTAGCCGCCTAAATGTCTGAGCCAGACCTCTTCGATAAGCTACCAACTCCATAGCCATATCGCGATGTACAGTCATGCTTCGGTGGACCATGTTCAATGCGCGCAAGATTATCTGTCTTGTAAGATCATGCACAGAAAAGGCTTTCTATCTACTGCGACAATCTCAGCCTAGAAAGACACAACGTTTGACAAGAGTCTGTGTGTTTGATGAGGAGATGCGATATAGATCGCACGAGCCAGGCTGTGCTTGGATGTAGTACTTGAGAAGGGAGCCGGACGAAGCAAGGGCCGATGGACGAGTAGGGTTGAGGTATTGTCCTCTCAACTGATTGTCATGATAAACGGCGCAAATGATGGTACTCTGAGCATAACATAGTGGAAATAATGCTCCCCAAAAGTGACATAGTTGTAAGCAAGAGGCATACAAGAAAATATTGCTTGTGACACTTGAGAGACATGAGCTAGAATCGAGAGCTGCTCAGGGGAATCACCATGTCTGTGACAAACATGACTTCAAACGTCCAGATCGTCCCGAGTGTTGTCATGAAAGAACTTGTGGAGTCTGAGGTCGTGCTGTCGGGCGCGGTGTAGTTTAGGCTTGTGGAGTCTGAGGTCTTACACCAGGTCCTGGACGCAACAAATCCTCCTCATTTGTAACTTTCCTCCCGTCAACACCCTTGAACTTCTGCTCCATCTCTGCGAATTTCTCATCATCAAGCAAGCCCTTGAAACCTCTGACCACATCATTGACCTCTTCAGGACTGAGTTGATTGTAGTCCACGACTTCCCGTTTCGAGTTGAATGATCTGAGCACGCCATCGATGCCTAGATGGTGGAAGCCTTCGTTGGAGGGTGATTTACGGACGGAAGCCATGACTTTGTGCCCGGCAGCGCGATGAGGTGCTGGCTAGTTCAAGGTTAGCTCATCGCTAGTGTAGAAGGAAGGATGCAAACTTGCGTCTTACCACACAGGAAGACATGTTTAGCGCAGAATGTTTTTGCTAGGCAAAGCAGGCTTGGAGTGAACCGAATGAAGAGTGGGAAAGCATGTGAGATTGAGGGATTGTATATGGTCGTATGTCTCGTAAAGACCAGGGTCACGAGATGGAGTTAACCAGCCGCCCGGATCCTTCGACCCACTTTTTCGCCGCATGACTTTGAAACACGATCAATATGCACGAGGATTCCATGCTGTTGTCGAGTGTGTACTTGCGATACAGCCATTGGCTATCGGCGCCAGGGATGTGAGATCTCAGCACGAACAAAAGCCAATGCGATGATCAAAGCGACATCAACACCTTGAGCCATCTCCAGTTTCCAAGTCGTGCGATCCAGTCCGCGTCTGTGCAAGAATGTGGCATCATTATTTTCCGTCAAGGTCATCTCAGCAATATTGGTTTAATCAACCTGGAAGGTCGTCCTACTACCGCTCGCGTCGAAAAGAACGCATCTCAATAGTTGGTTCTCCACCGTTCCCAACGACCTGAGCGTCCACGGAAGTGAATTTGGAGCTGAAAGTGCTCGTCGTGTCTTTGATCTTGCAGAACTCGTTTCCATCAGGATCTTCGATTACGCAGACTTTGTAGCTCGTTTTCGTGTGTCGAAGGTCCAAAAGTCGTTGACCTGTTGTTGAATTTACCAGGCTGCGTCGCAATGTCCAAGATGTGCCGATGTCTTTAGCTGTGAATTCGAAGAGCTTGTCTGTTTGCTCGTCACAAACGACTGCGTCGCGGAAGCGTCGGTCATGACAGCGAAGGCCGAGTGTGCGATTATGTATGGCAATATGGCCGCTGTTTAAGACGATTGGCCTCGTTGGTGGATGAAAATTGGACGTCATGATAAAAAGGAGGATAAAGTCGACACAGCGCTCAATCAGCTGGGTGACGAAACAAAGAAAATGCTGACAACGAATCGCGGCTGCAGACGATTTTACATACCTCTCTTTACTTCACACACATACCCTGCCACGTTCCGAGATTGAAGCATGTCAATCTCAGGTCGACAGTCGGCTTGGTCATGACGTCAATAATCCTTCGAGCCTCAGGCAGGATTGATCTGCGATAATCCTACGGCCGCAGCTTTCCACAATCCATCTTCGCATGGGCAGAACGTTATCTTTGAATCAAGAGCACAAAGAAGCAGGAACAAATAACATGTCGCTGAAAGAGACTCCGAGATTTGGGAGCAAACTCAACGCGGCAAAGGCCGGATTAGCCGCGCTCTTGGCGTGTACACCACATTCTCTGTTCAACACTCATCTTGTCGCATCTTCTGCATTGACATCAGAAAGAGTTGGAAGAAGACAAGATCTTATGTAGGATTGATGAAGTGCTGAACGAAAGACATGTCACGTCTGCTCTCATATCAGCTACTACGCTGACAAAGTGGAACAATCTCACAGCCTCAACCAGCGCTCACAACAATACTGGAAGTCCCTCGAGTGATGAGGTGGGTAGTCATTGTCTTGTAAGAAGGCATGGTGATTTTCAAGATCTCATAAGGCTCGAAGGAGAGTCAAGCCACATCTGCTCTCTCGACAACCGTCATGCCGATATGACACAAGATTGTGCCTCTCTACAGCTCGATCATAGTGAAAGTACGACACTGGGAGTTGAGTCAGTCTATCAGTCCTTGGATCGAAACGCGAGCTCAGCAGTATAAGTTCTGCCTCAATCCTCCAACGGCAGTCTTTCCTGGTCGATTTCGGCAATGAGTCGCTGGCTGGTGGTAGTGTACTTTTCTGCCTGATCCATCCCTTGCTTGATTGCTGGGATGCGCTTTTCCTGCTGAATGTATATTTCCTGGCCCTCATGGATCTAGCCCTGTTTGCCAAAGGTCAAGCATTTGGCCGTTAGCTGTTATGTTTCCGTCGCAGGCATGAGAGCTGCAAAGACAAAAAGTTGTAACTTGATGTTGCCGCCAGAAGCACAAGCATGAAGATCCCAGTTACGTATCTGCTTGACTTCTCAGTGACGGGATTGTTCATTGTGCAGCATGTATGGAGGTCAACGATACATCTGGTAGCACTAGAAGTGAATAGAAGTCAATAGGGACTGCTGGCGTTCATCATTTTCGTCATCTCTTATCCCCGCTACTGACGCAAAACCATCAGATCGTCATCACAACCGAGTCTGCTTCTCTGGCGCAGTCTTTTTGTAAGTTCGCGCTTCGCTGACCACCGCTTCACTTCACTGATATCACCAAAGTCCTGCGCGCTATCCATCACTATAACTCTGCGCACCCAAAGCTTGCGCATTTGTTTCCACACAACACAACCTCTCCTACACCACTACACCCAAGAGCCATCAGGTAAGTTTTATCTCGCTCGCTTTTATTCCGTCGCGCATTGCTGACGTGAACAGTAACAATGGCTCCTCTTCCCGTCATCAAGGCTGTCGACGAGAAAGTCGCTCTCGATATTATCGAGCAGCGTAGTCTTGTCCGACTCCAAACCCCTGGCGACAGTAAGTCCTGTTCTTGACCTTCGTCTTTACCCTTGAACTCCCTCTTGCGCGCTGCAAGCCTATTTCGCTTGCGCGTACAGTTTGATACACCGCCTGATTCATTCCGTCTCTTCTGCACCTGGCCGCTTGCCGCGCTCATTGCTTTCCTCGGCGCGTCACAACTGCATCCTTCCTTCGCCTCTACCACTCTACCTGTTCTTTCTTCCGCCTCCATCTACTTTTTCTTCCGCTCGGCGCACTTTCTGACATGCTCGTAGACCTTCACTGTGGCCTCTTCGCCATGGCGTCAAGTATCAGATCCCCGAACAACATACAGCCCCTCGACTGGGACTCGGAGCTCTCAGAGGAACATCTGCACTTCAACCGACTCCAAGACTGCGTCAAACCCGCCGGTGACAAGCTGAAGTCGATGAACCCTGAGCTCGGCAAGGAGACACCCAATACCGTCGACTTCTTCAACGTCGATATGCTCGCTTACATCCTCGCCCATTACAACTCCTTGAGCACGACTAGCCCGAAGATCAAGTTGTACGCCATCGGCGCTGACATCACCTACGAGATCTCGTCGCCCGTCAACAATCCTCCCCACAAGAAGAAGGACGTCGAAATGTTGAGTATCGTCATCCACAATATCGCCGACCTTCATTGGGAAGGCTATGGCCATCAAGGCCTTGGCAAGGTTTCCAAGTACGCCGACAACCCCCCTGGTACAGCTGATGGCCCCCCCTCCCCTCATGGCAGTATAGCCGCCGCCGTCACCACCGCTACTACCACACCCGCCGCTACCTGGGATGAGAAGTACAAGGCTGCTGAGCTCAAGTATCGTGAGAAGTTCAAGCTTTCTCTCGACGCAAAGGTCGACCCTGAGTCAGTCAAGATGGCGTTCACCATCGACTCCACCCCTCTAGTCGATTACCACTCCGAGTCTGATGACGAGGACGAGCCCAAGCCCGAGCTGAAGAAGGATGAGAGCAACGGCACTGTCCCTACTGGAGATACGCCTGCCGTCGAAGACGTTGTGAAGATGTACCCTGTGGCTGGTGTCGATCCCATTGGAGAGTTAACAACCATCGCTCGTATCCAACACCCTGCGGAGAAGTCGATGGACTGGCAGAAAGTCCACTCTTCTGACAAGTTCAGGTGCAAGCTCAAGGTCATCAGACCCAATTTGCGCCGGTCCAAACAGCTCTACCACCCCACACAAGCCTGCAACGAGAATGGAGTTGGCTTGACCTTCAGTATCGAATCTCAAGATCTGGCTCCTAGGATCCGTCTTACCTTGGGCCTCACCCGCAACGCGCAAGCTACCGATGCTATGGGTCATCAGGTTCCTGCCCATACTGGTTACGTCGAATTCATGTTTGGTCGTGTTTTCACCGATCCTAATGATTGTTCTACCACCCCGAACCAGATCTCAAACCTCAGTTACGAATACGATCACGAGCACACCTCAGCCTCCATCCACTTCTCTACCGCTGGCGCCACCTCGAACAATCTCAAATGTCTCATCGATTATGGTGACGCAGAAGATGGTAAAGGTCACAATCGTGTGCACAATATCCGCCTCACCCAAGCGGAGAAGGAAATGGTCAAGTACCTCTGCCAATTGACGCACATTACTGAGGGCAAGACACGCGACATCACCATCATGATTCGCCCCGGAGCTAAGGAGAAGGAGTCTCACAAGAATGGTACCCACAACGCTATCGACGACATGCTCGACAAGCTACCGTTCAAAGGCAGCGTTTCCACTGAGATGAAGCATTCCATGACTGTCGTTCCTCTTGACCAATATCGCGACGTTCACCACAAGCCTCGCGTCCAGTATGGTGAAATGCCTACGCCCAAGAGAGTGTATGACGAGCATCATCCCTGCTTGCCTATGCGTCCTGTCGCTGCCTGGCCTGATGCTGATATCGCAAGCATTACTCTTGCCAACAGCGTTCATGTTCAGCATGTTGAAGCCGAGGTCATTCTCGACGCGCTCATGTTGAAGCTGCAGAAGGTCAAGCTCTTGACTCTTGGAGACATGATCCTCATTGCCGTTACCTGGGATAAACAAGTGCTGGCTGGACTCTCTGCTGATGAGCGCATCACATATCCTCTCGGCACCCAGATCTTCTTCACTGTTCACAACGCCAGAACCAAGACCGCTGTTTCTGACGATGTCAAGCCTCGCAAGGCCTTCGGAAACGTCATCAACAACGTTTACAATGTTTCTTGCGATGTCCTGGTTGCAATTCAAAACAAGAAGGCTGAAGACTTTCTCGGAATGACCTCTCCATTAAGATCTGGAAAGGACGCCGTCTCTTACTGGGCTGGCTTGGAAGCAAAGGTCAACAACAACAGCTGTAAAGCCATGATCTATGCTGTTGCAACCACATACGAACGTGGCTCATGGGTTACCGCTCACAACCCCGCTCTACTCAATGATGGTGCCGCACTTGCTCTCAGAGACCTGTTTGACAGCGTTACTTGCACTGAGCAGGTGTTGAAGCATGCACTCCATGAACTCATGACAGCTCGCAGCTGGAACAGAGGTCAGCTAGCTCACATCGACCAGGTCATGCACGCTCCTGGTGGCATGGCACTTCTTACTGGTTCAAGTGGCTCTGGCAAGACTGAGATAATGGTTCACATAATGGCCTACGTCCTCAGACTCGGCTTTACCGTCATCTGCACTGGCATGAAGCACGCAACCTTGGACTTGATCGCAAAGAAGTTCGAGAACAAGTTCCCTCAGCTTGAAGCACCTCTCCGTGCATACAACCCCACATCGGAGAGCCTGAGCATCGAGGAGCCTGTCTTTACCGCATCCGACGAGAGTGACTTGCTTGCTTTGGACATGATTCGCGCCGAGCTCGCTGAACACAAGAAGAAGCGCACTCGTCTACAGTCTGAGAACTCGATTCAGCACAGAGTTCTCCAGAACATGGACCGCACCGACATGCCCGAAATGATCAGAATGATCGCCAGTGGCTCAGAGTGTGGCATACCCGTCTACGCCGACAAGACCTTGCACAACTTCCGCCAGATTTTCAAGGATGGACTTGCGGCTCGCGAAGAGCACCCCTTCTCTGACAAGGAGTTCTGGACCGACGAACGCATGAACCTCTTCAAGCATGCATACGAAGCTCTGCGAGCTGAAGTCATTCAGAACTCAAAGGTGCTAGTTACCACCATGCTCAACGCATACAACAAGGAAGTCAGGCAGAACTTCAGCCAGAACAAGATGTGCATCAGGTTCGATGACGAAGCTCAGGCATGTGCCGAGCAGCCATCCCTCATCCCTTCTTCCATCTGCGGCTACTCAAAGAACATAAAACTTTGGTGCATGTATGGCGACTTGAAGCAGAGCGGTGTAATCAACCTTACCGGAAAGAACTTCGACAATACTGTCGACGTCTTCTACAAGCAGTCAGACATGTCCCTGTTCTTGAGGCTCAACCTGATGGGTCACCCATTGGTCGATCTGCGCTACCAGTGGCGTCAGAACGAGCACCTGTTTGAAATGCTCAACCAGTTGCACTACCATATGAGCATCATCACCACCGGCAACATGAAGAAGCCCATGTCCGAGCACACTACACTTATGGGAAAAGTTCTCGGCCTCACTGACGCTGAGATTGCGAAGCAGACAGAGAAGCAGAAGCGCATGCTCTATGTCAATGTCGCGACTCCTACCATGAAGTCCAGAGACTCTCACTCTCGCGCCAACCCTGGTTACGCTGCCTGGGTCATCCTCGTCCTCTTTCCTCTCCTGCTTGCAGAGTTTGGCGAGAAGTTGCAAGAGGATGTCATGCTCATCGTCCCTTATGCTAAGCAGAAGGAGCTCTATCTTCGCTGGTACTTCGAGCTCCGCAAGCAAGGTTGGACCGATAAGCAGCTTCCCCGTATCAGCACCATCGACGTCTCTCACGGCGACGAGTCCAAATTTGTCATCCTGGACCTCGTCAACGACGAATATGAGGGCTTCTTGCAAGACCCGGCGCGTACCTGTGTCGCTTGGGGACGCGCCAAGGATGGAATGTTTACCATCGGCGGTAACATGTCTCAGGTGGACGATAGCCACAAGGTCAAGAAGTTCAGAGATGCTACCGATGGTGACAAGCTCAAGGACTTCGTCCTCTACCGCCCTATTCGTCACTGGAAGAGGTACTACGAAGATAACCTCTGTGCCTTCAAGACTGCTCCTCCTGAATTCGTTGTTCCTGACGACCTCGCTTTCTACGATGAGGTTGAGTCTCAAGAGGATGAGGCTACTGCTCCTGTTGAGGACGAGGCTAAGTCTGAAGAGGAGGCTGTTGCTCCTACTGAGGACGAGGCTAAGTCTGGCGAGGAGGCTGATGCTCCTGCTGGTGACTGGGGTGTTTCTGAGTGGAACACTGCCGCTACTGATGCATGGACTGATGCTCCTGCCGCTGAGATGGCTTGGGACGAAGCTCCTCCTCCTCCCGCCTACGATTCTCAAGCCGAAGAGTCCGACAACGGAGTCGACGGCGGACCTGACTCTGGATCCTGGGAGCCACAGAATGGCATTGACATCGGCGAAGATGCCTACAAGGTCAAGGAAGAATGAAGAAAGAAAGTTTTTCGTTGTGTACTATTAGCTATTCAAAACAAAGCTGACGAGGTCGGCAAGGCACGGTAGATAGAAAAGAATCGAAAGAGTCTCTCATTCGAAGTACATGTCTTTCATCATCAGTGAAACCTCATTGACTACAGAAGAAGCAACAGGATAACCAGCACAGTGTTTTCTTTCTCCAAGGTGGAGAGACTTGCTCCGCATGCGCAAAAACTACAGGCAAGGGTAAGAGAGAAGCTGCTCATCCAGTCAGTCAAGGTAGTAGCAGGCATTCTGTCATCCGCTGACCCTTTTATTCTTCAAAGTCACTGACCCGTTCAATTAGATATGTCGGTGGTCGCTCGCGTAGCCAACATCGCAAAGATCGGCGACTTCTCGATTACTTTGAGATGCGCACCGCCGCCGATCCAGAGATGCCACTCCGCAAGACGGCAGCAAGTTCAAGCAAAATCCTCCGTACGTCCGTAATGCTCGCGCCGATCGCTGCTCCGCTTGACTTTGGCTCGAGACACGAACGGCGAAGAGCACGCTCAACATGGTAAGAGATGGTAGCACGCCGTATACATTTCCAGGTCACGCTTTGGACGCGCATCAACGTGGCAACCTCGGGCGGAGCAACGTTCATGGTTGCAGCGCCGTGCAAGCTCGGTCAGTACAAGTAGCCGCGTTCGAAGTCACTGCGTTACGACCACGCTGTCTGGAACGTTCAGGTACCCAGGATGAACTGGATCCGACCGTGCCGTCCCGCAGCGCAACCACGACCAGCCATTTCGATGCCGAAGCCACTTTCCCCTCGGTCGTCACTCGACCTCCTCGGTTCAATGTTGCTGCGATGCACAGTTGTTACGACCCTCGTTGTCAGTCCAGCACTTTGAAGCCCGTATCTCCTTTGCACAGGCTCCTCGAACAGCCTTCCGGACCAAAACATCCAAATTTCAAGAGAGGGGAAGATCAATAGGACAGCGCATAAGGAAATAACCGTCGCCTGAGTGGCCTCGAAGCGATTCTCCTTTTGAAGGAAGCTGTTGGCCGAGTCGGTGTCATTGCTTGTCTGCTTCAATTCTTCGACTGTCCAAGTCCTGCTGCTGCCATAGTCCCCGGCGCGCTTCTGAATCTTGAGTATTGCGACATGACCTTGTTTGCCAAATAACTTGATAGACTCGCTTGAACCCCACATCTACGTGTATTCGTACTGCTCTTGCTTTATCAGTCCTATCCCTCTGCTCGGAACGTGCCTCGAAATGGGCTTTCTCTCCATTCTGATCGGCGAACAAGCACTTCTGTAAGCGGGTCGCCGAAAGATGGAATCCCGGAACTCATTCATACTACGACCTTCCTCTGTTTGCTTCTTTGGTGATGAAACTCTTTGACGGCACATAGATTCCAAAGTCTGACCTTGCATCGTGAAGTCAAGTTCTGCCTCTTTGCGAGCATTTTTAGATCTTGCAGCTCTGACCTCGGGATGAATGTTGTGATAGAACGTCACTGTTGTCCGCATCCCTTTCTCTGTACGAACAGTCTTCTACAGTCGCAATTTAAGAGGGTATACACGCTTTCCGCTTGACATATGTACAGTCTTACGAGCTTTCCTCGCCGGGGTGGTCTCTGTAGCACCATTCGTCATCGAGATCCTATCACTATACTGGAGCCGTGCCTACTTATGATTCGGGATATTTCTCTTATTGAATGTCAGAAGTTCTAGCGAAAGCACCTCTTGCGTTGTCGAATCGAGCTGATGACACATGTAATAGACCTATAGCTGAATGTGGCACTCTACACTGCACAAATGGCCACAGACTTACCAGCCAGCGGAGGGACTGCTATCAGGGTTGATAAGGTTTACCACTGTAACGAACAGCGACTGATAGACTAAATTGAGTACAATTCTGAGTCGGGCTTGATCGGGCGAACTTCGCGAGACCCTTTGTATCAAACTTGTCATTTCTTTCTTTCTTTCTTTCTTTCTTCCCTTTCACCAATCATCAAAACATCACCTTCTCTCTCTAGCAAACATCCTCGGACTCTTTGAATCCCAAGCCCAACTTTGATTCATACATTAGTTTGTATAGGATCCCTTTTTGCGCAATTACTTTGCCGGGAGTTCAGGTTCATCGTCGAAAGAGATTCTGTTGCGCTTCAGAACTCATCAGCACTACTGGCTCCACGACGGCAGGGGGCTCGTAGAAAACATCACAGTTTCTCCAGTCTGTCGTCCTTCTACCAATTCTATGTAATTGTAAGCAAGAAAAGTGGAAAAACCCTCACAGTTCGATTCCTTGTTCGTGTAATCAGCGCGCGCTTTCACTAATCTCCCATCTAGACTACAACTCCATTTCCGATCGCCCTCCCGTCATCTCAACCCAAGAGCACTACTCCTCTGCGCAAACATCCACACCATCACATTTGATATTTCGCCATGACTACCTCAATTGGCGATCTGTCCGAAGATCTGCTACTCAAGATATACGATGATAACTTGCGCGACAGACCATCTCTCCTGGCTGCCGTGAAGGTCAACAAGAGGTGGTACGAAGCCCTGACGAAACTGCTGTGGCGCCGCGCACCAAAGTCTGCTCTCTGTCCTATCCAATCGCTGTCACTGCGACAAGCTCGCGCAGAGCACATGACAAAGATTGAAAACATCACATCCAGCGACCGCACAGATCATCAACATCTTGAGTTCAAATCCCTCAAATCTGTCGACATCCACATCACCGATACTTCAAACATGGCTTCCTTCCGCCCATACTTGCAGGTCGGCTTGGAAATCGTGCGCTTCACTAGCCCCGTTGAGTTCACGCCCGAAATCGTTGACGGGCTTAAGAAGTGCACAAACATCAACACTCTCGTGTTCCTCCAGAGGCTGAACACATCAGATACACGTCTGTTAATTGACTTCTTCCGTGGATTCGAGCACCTCCGCAGTGTGTATTTCGAACATCCCATTCATCTTGTCGAACAAAGGAATTCAACCTGCCTATCGGCCGCAATTTGCGCCGCGATGCTCGACCAGTCTACCGTTCAAAGTCTGAGCATTCACCACGAACTTGGCTCAGATTTTGAGCAATTACAGAAGAGCATGACCAATCCAACTCCAATCAACAAAGTCTCATACCTGAGTCTAAGAGGTGCATTCTATTGCATCAGCCCGGTTCTTTCTGTGGTGGTAAGGACCTTGACAACTCTGAATTTGCGCATCACAACCAGCGGTATTGGAGGAACGTGCGCCTTGATTGGTCGTCTGTCTCAATTGAGGTTCCTCGTCCTCCAATTACCGCCCGATACCGGGTTGCAACATCACGATCTCGAAGCTCTGGGTGGTCTCTCTACGCTCTACCATCTCTGGATCACCACTTCACGCGATACAATGACAAGCCCATTATCGCTCGTCTGGTTGTCGGATGAAGACTTCATGCAATGGTTGACAAGGTTTGAGTGCCTACAAGATCTTCGTTTGCACTGGCTCTGCCCTTTGCTCGGTCAAGAGTCTTTCGTCACGATAGCTACTCACTGTTCTGAGCTTCGTGCCTGTGAGATCTCTTGGAACCTCGACCTGCGCGCCTGGCAGTATCTGAAAGACATGGCGTATACTATGCTCAAGCTGAGATACTTGACAATCAGCGAAGTTGACGCGTTCGGAGGACCAGGCCTTGATGTGTGAGTGGAAAGGATGTTTTTGGCCTTGCGGGCCTCGCTAATATGTGTTAGTGAAGAGGTAAAAACCGCAGCTGAGGAGCACATCAATACCCTCCGTTCTATCGCGCCAAACCTTCTCGAGTTCGATGCTTCCGAACGGAGCAATGAGAGCCTAGTTTTGAGAGATGCATTCTCGCCCCTCATCGGTCCACTCGACTATGACTCGGTGTACGAGATGTAGAGTCTTGAGTGTAGTCTGACAGACTTGATCAGAATGTCCGTGGATGGCGAAGTATTATGGCAATAGACTTCCTAACGTGTATTTTCCTCGTAAAAAAGAATCAAGCTTTCAAAGTCTCCACTACTTGTCCTCATTTTCCTATGCAAAAGTCGTCAATCAATCGGTGTGTCGTGTAGCCGGTTATCGTTGAACACAATTGTTGCAATTTTGAGCTATATTTCTGTTTTGAGCTATATTTCTATACATTACGCACCCGATTCTTATAGATAGATTTTTAAATCTATATTGTAGATACCTTAGTATATAAAGTACGATAGTATAGTCTTATAAACTTCTATAAGTAAGAATTGAAAAATTACTACTATTAGTATTAGTATTTAACATCTTTTTAGAAATTATGTCTAATTACTTTAAAAAGGTTAACTTAGGCTTGAAACTTTGTATATGTTTTCTACTTAATAATAACTATAACGTTATTATATAGGAGAATACGTCTTATAGTAATAAAATTCTTACCTAAAAATTTAGTAATAGTATCGGTATTAGCATATATTTGTCGTATTATCCAGCTTCTCCTGGGAGACTTCGTCGGTTGTGTCTATCATCGAAGGCTTCACAGAATCAATTATCGCAAGGGCGAAAATGCTTTACTCCAGATACTCGATGACAAGGGGAAGACGTAGTTTTGTTTCGTACGCCGCAGGATGACTATACATAGATTATTGTCCCTTCATTTGCCAGCATTGCGAGACTTCACGGTCTTCAGCTCCTGTATTTGACTACTACAGTATGGCCTTGGGTGCAATGACACGGAAACCACCAGCATTTGTGAAAATAGCTTTATTTTTCCCCATCAAGCGTGGTCATAGATGCCATACAAGTGTTGGAATGCTTGATGTTTGCGTCATTGATTGCTTGCACCGTTTTCCCTCGAATATACGCCAACGCCAAGGGACTTGGAATTGGACTTGCTGGCTTCTGATTGGCTGGAACGAGTGAGCTCGGGAGACAGCTTTACTACATAGAAGACACGCACATACTCTCCTTCCTTCCTCATCACACAACAAAATTTCTCTTCTTTTTCGAAATCATGAATCCTATCTTCTCTCGCCTCTGTTGGACGCTTTGCCGCAATTAATCCCAAGCCCAAACCTTGATCCATGCATTAACTTGTATGCGATCCCATTTGTGCGGATTCATTTCCGCCGGGAGTTCAGGTTTCTTGCGTACCCAGTGCCTCATTCACACGCTGACAGACGTGTATCGACAATTCCTCCAGACGATGGTGTTTCGCAAGAAGCGCTCATTGTAGCATGAGGTCAATTACGGTCTTCCAGGGAGTGACGCCCTGCGAGGTCCTGCCGTAAAACATCAGACCAAGCATCAAGGTATGTTCTTCGCTCCTGCTCTTACTGAGAAAGGAGCACTGTCCATTCTTTCCTGGTGAAGATTTCTGATGAATGGGCAGCACCTACCCAGCATGATTCCAGCTTCATGTTCAGTTACCCTCCTTTCTCCTTCCCTCGAACATACTCCCTTCCCTTCATCTCCTCAAATCCATCACCCTCCCCTTGACTCATTCCCCTCGATACTCTTCTCCTCAATACCTGTGTATCGTCTCCTACCATGGGTGAAAAACGGCAGATCACAATTTCCATGGCCTTCCGCAACGTCAAGCCTAGAATCGACAGATTCGAGCTCATGCAGATGCCTTTACCGCTGCAAGCCATGCCCTCACCCCGACTTGTACGCCCCCGTCGAGTCGTGATCGATCTCACCCATGATGATGACGATGACGGCCAGCCCTCTCAAATCGTACCACCCTGTTTTCGAGAACTACACGACATGCAAGCAGCCAACGCCACTACCCCAGAAGTCTATGTCACCCACGCTGAAACTGCGGCTACAATCACTCGTCTCCTCAACTCAGCCGACTATGCCAAACCCGGATGCTCTGAAGACTTGCAGGTCCATATCGCCGAGCTCCAGACCCAAGCACCAACACAGCCTTATGTCTCGTGTGGCGACGTTCGCGGCTTTCGTTACCAAGACAAATCTATCAAAGTCGAGTTCGAAGCACTGGTCACGGAGGTTATGCTTGCAGAGGAACGACTACAGCGCCAACATTTCGAGAGCCCCTACGGATCCAAAGACGCGACTGTCGTTGGTATTGCACAGTATCCATCGATGGGTAGCGTCGACCAACTCTACGGCGGGTTCAACGATGCCAGCAACAACTCCATCGCTGTCCTTGGCTCGATCCTTGGTGGCTTTCAGGACACCCTCGTATTCGATAGATACCCCTACAGGGTGGATCCCAACTCTGTAGGCAGAGACGTTGGCTTGAGCTATACAGAACCTGCACGCAACCTCTTTGACAAGTTCGCCAAAAAACTCTGGTCGTCGTCCAATGCGAAAGTCGGCATTCTTTTTGGAAAGTTCCAGCACCTGTGGTACATTTCCACCTTCGCCCAGAAGAAGCAAGCCTTTGGCGTTTCGCTCGGTGACCACACCATCTTCAAAGGCAAGACTCATGCATGGATCGAGCTGGACGAAGCCAAGCAGATCAAAAAACTCGTATTCACCTTCTTCCATCCCAGTAAGTCGTAGTCAGATTGTGCAACTCTGTTTCGAGCTCCATACTGACAAGCTTTAGGTGCCGCCGGCCGTGGAACCATCTCCAAATCCGATAAAATGAACGATCCCATCATCCAAATCCTCTTTGACACGATCCGAGCCGTGACTGCGCGAGCCACAATGCCCATTCAACTCAGCTCCGAGCTTCTCACAAGTACGAATGCTTTCGTCCTCGCCCGCGTCAAGCCCGTCACGGACGTTTCGATCAACTCCGTCGACGATCCCACTTGCTTTGCCCGACTTCTCGAGACCGGTCACGTCACCTGGGGCTCTGCCGAGCCGTTCTCGACCATGTCCGACCTGCATAGCAAGTGGCGCCGCGTATACGATTGTCTCAAACTTATGATGGCCGCCCAGAAGTCTTTCGAAATCACCATCCCCTCTGAATACATTCCCGCCCATCTCATCACCTTTCTCAAAACTCTCCTGAAGCGCACGTTTGAACGCCACGAACACCTCAACACCATTGAATCCATGTTTGCCCATATTATCATGAGATGCACGCTGCCTCATGGACAAGATCCAGCCCTCGAGATTGCCTTCACGCGTGCTCTCGCCAACCTCGACCTCAGCTACCCGGAATCTCCTCTGACAAACAACCATTCCGAAGGAGGCATGGCACGCACGTACAAGATGTTGGCTGACATTACCCTTCTTCTGACCTCTGACGGCAAAGCAGCTCTGCTGAAAAAGCTTACCGCAAGAGCCAATGACGTTAGACAAAGGCATAGAGACTGGGTGGACCAGCAAATCTACAATCTGAGTGAACGGACTGAACGAAGATTCATTCGCTGGATGCTTCGCAGGGTGCCCTTCCATCATCGTCGCTGCCTGTACAATCTGCCTGCTGAGTACCTCGACTACTTCGACGAGTTAACAGGATAGTAGACTGACATGAGTTGCTGGAGCAGAAGTAGCTTAGCTTGTTATCAGAAGTATCGTTGCTCGAACATGTGTAAAGTAGCTTCCTCCAGTATATCACAAACCTTTTCAGCTCTTCGACATCTTCTTCGATCTTACTGTCCCACGCCTAATGATGGTAATACTGTCTCGACCATCAGCTCCTCGACATCTTCTTCTGCCACCTCGAGTATCAGCTCTGCGTCTTCTTCTCCGTCCATCTTGACTACTAGCACCGCATCATCTTCCTCCAGCTCGATCGTCAGCTCTGTCCCGTCTTCTTCCTCTACATTGACGCCTGGCACTGTAACCTCGTACACTACTCTACCTCCTGGCGACACTGGCTATACGAGCACAGTTCCACCATCCGGCACTATTTCTGGCACGGTCATCATCGGGACTCCTGTTTGTTCCGTTCCTACGAACTCTGTCACAATGACTGCAGCAGGTACTGCAGGAGCAACAAGTACTTTCTCCGTTCCAGCCTGCGCGACCGCCCTTCGATTTGAGGTTGTAGGCGGTCCAGGAGGTCAGCTTGGTCGCGGCGGTGGCTATGGTGCCCTTGTTTCTGGCACAATCGTAGTGTCTCCTGCACAAAGTATCCGTGCGTATGCTGGTGGTGCCGGCAACGGAGCTGCACCTGGCATGGGTGCTTATGGAAATGGCGGTTCTGCAGTCGGCAATGGCGGAGGTGGCGGTGCTGCTTCCGCTCTTTATGTCAACAACGACTTGATTGTCGTTGCTGGCGGCGGTGGCGGAGGCACTATTCCTGTGTCCTCGGGTAATTTCGGTGCGGGGAACGTGGAGAGCTTCACTTATCCCTCCAGCGGTGGTAATGGTACAGCTAACACGCCTGGCGTAAATTATAGTCAGCAAAACTCTGCTGGCAATGTCCTCGCTACATCCTCTGGAGGATCACCAGGCACACTCTCAGCTGCCGGAGCTGGAGGCGGCCACACGGGCTATGGCGACCAAGTAGTGCTAGGGAATTCAGGTAACGGGATCAATGGCGGTAATGGCGTGATCACGCAAGGCACAAGCGTCACCTCAGGCTCGGGTGGTGGCGGATCAGGATACTATGGTGGAGGCAGTGGAGCATCGTCGTATTGGTACGCAGGAAACGTGGGCTCGGCAATCGCTGGCGGAGGAGGTGGCGGATCGAGCTATGTTTCTGGATCTGCTTCTAATATCGTTCAGTATCCCTCTGGCTTTACTGTGGGCACGATCGTCTACAGCTTTGCATAGGGAATCATATAGGTCTGGTCTCGTTTATTCAGGCAGTTTTGTATCATCTATGCGTTCGATGGGGTCAGTTTTGTATAGATCGTATGGTGGTTATTCCTTTCGCTCTCCTATCGCTCTCTTCAAGCCTTCTTTTGCTTATCCAACTTATAGTCAAGCCTGCATGTGATGATGCATGTTGCAGTCTGCGTCCGAAGGCTATGAGTAGCGGTAATCCGCATATATGTCAACTGTTTGCAATCCAACTATTTGACAACCTCATACAAGATCCTTGCACCCGAGAAGTTCGCTCAACTTTATTCGTACGAGGACCATTGCACTCAGACGCTTGTAGTCTTGAGTTGCAAGGCTTGTAGTCTTGAGATGCAAGGCTTGTGGCCTTAGCATGAAAGGTTCTTTCCTGGTCTCGTGATGGGTCTCGTCGACGCGCAGTCCACGCCCTGCTTAGTCTGGGTGTCGGCTCACCCGTTCGTGACATTCGAGGCCTCTAAAGATGTTCTTAAGGATCCGGATCTTTCGGTACGCTTGCTCGATTATGTACCGTACGAAGACTCTCGGTGAGAATCCGCTGGTCTCGAATGGACGCGCTATCTAGAGCGCACCTTCGTCAACCATCACACGAAGCTAATCAGATCTATGATCTATATACGTGGCATGATGATAGGGACGCGGTCAGAAGATAAATCAATCGTTACGAGGTCCTCTGTATATTAGCCAAGTCAAAACTCTAGATCCACTCTAACTTGACTGCATCGTAGATAGGTCCCCTCCACAGACTCGACGATAAACTCATCACACGAAAGTCAATCTTGTTATTCGTCTTGAATGTACTCCCTTTGATCGGGAACTCGAATTGATGCCATTCTCCAGCCACGGTACCTGAGCGATACAAGCTAGGATCCGACAATATACCACTGCTACTGAGATTGCCAATACGAACTTCGTTGGCAAAAATGTTGACGGTAGTGCCTTGACTATAGCCGGCAAGACTGACGGTAAGGAGAGCGTCGTTTGTAATGTTCGAAGCCGAAAGAGGGAAGGCAATCCGGTAAGTTCCAATTGCGTTTTGAGCAAAGCACCAGTCACTTTCTTGACTGCTACCGACTGTGTAGGTGAGATTTGCTGGGCAGTTCGCAACTCTGCCAGCGCCAAAACCGCCAGAAAATGCAAACCCAGTGGACTTGCGATCGAATCCGCCGACTTGGAAGATGGTGTCTGATTTTAGGACAGACCAAGTCAACTTTTCAAGACGAGTTTTGCTTGTTGGGGAGTCAGAGACGTCCACATCGTTCTTGAGATATGTTGTCGTTACATCGCCAATGCTGCCGCCATTCGACCAAGCTTGGAGAGCGTACACGCCAATTCTGACGTCGATGAAGCGGAAGGAACCATCATTGCCAGCGTAAGTGGTGTAGTAGTAATCACTACCCATGTCCAATGTCGTTTTATTAGGATGATTGTCGCCAAGGAAGACAGCAGCACCTGCGGCAGGTCTTCCATCCGAAAGAAGAAGTTTACCGGTCACAGAAGCGACACGAGACTTGTATGCGGCGTCATCAAGCCACTTGTAGGGCCAAGAGTTGATCTCGTTGTTGTAGCGACGGGCGACATCTGTCTTTGAGCCGTCATTCAGATACCAGAGCCATGGGCCCCAGATCTTGCCATTTGGTAGCACGTCGTTGGACAGAGCTTGAAAGTGGGTTCCGTGGATCATGTTGAGCTGAACAGCATCACCGGTGGCTGACTCGCGGTGGTTCTATGAAGAACGTCAGCCTCCGTATCGAGGTGATTCATGAAGCAAAATACTTACCATCAACTCCTGCTTCAAGTGATCGCCATTGAAGTAGTCCTTGCCAGGATGCTGTTCGTGTGAGAGTGTGTCGGGTCGTGATCGTAAAACACACTTACCAAATACCAGCTGCCAAACTTCTCACCATAAACACCCCAATACTCTTGCTCTCTGACAAACCCAGACCAATCGTATTTAGTTAGATAATCGCCTTCAGGAGTCTTCCAAGTCTCATCCTGGATTTTGGTCGAAATTGCATACTCTGACAGAGGAGGTAATACTCCATCTTTGTCTGCGTTGTACGCGCTTGTGAATGTCTCATTGTCGAGTCGCCAAAGCGTTCTGAATTCTCCCAGAACTGGCAGAGCTCGGTTGACAAAGTATTGATATGCACCGGCAAGGCCGTTGAAGATGACCCAGTGCATTTCACCTTCTGCTGCATCAAATTGGACATCGACGTAATTGCTTCCAGTCTTGACGATCTTTGCACTCGTCCAGGCAAGGTTACTAGCCGCTCCATCTGAGATGATGTGTTAGTATTTGAATGATGTGTCGTGGGTTGGGGCAGCTTACTGTAGCTAACATAGTGACCTGTGGCTTCTCCAACAAGTTCCTGATCTTTGTAATACAGCTTAGAACCATAGATTTGCTCTTGCGTCATATTCCAGACATCATTGCCGATGATCCAAGATCCGTCGCCATTATCTTTCAGGAAGCCGTACTGCTTGGCTTGAGAAGTGCCAGCGAGCAGCAAGCTCAATGCAATAGCAGAATACTTCATGTTGAATACAAAGACCACAGTTGCTAAGAACAGACAATATCTCACCTTGCGACTCCTTTTATACCGACTTACCTCATGCTGAAGACTATACGAGAAAATTTTCCCCGCAACCTGCAACGGATGAATAGGCACCGAGGTGACGATCAGGGACGGGTGAAGACAACCATGGCCATTCGTGGAAAATCGTACTTGGCTGTCCTCGTGCCTTTACATCTTCATGTTTGATCGGATCTGGTGCTGGTAGACTTGTAGATCAGTACAGTAGAATATTGGCATCATGCTGTTGCTGTCGGTCCTTTGGACGATTGAGAAGCGAAGGTGGGGTAGATCTCATGGCCAAGGAGGGTCGCTGCTGGAAGGATGCGCTTCATCGTAGTGGCCAAGCTCCTCTTCGAAGTTCTGCATGGCATCATGTGCATAGCTCTGCACTTCCTTATTGTCTTGAGTATGCTTGCGCGGGAGTAATCTATCTCAATGAGCCACTGCCTCGGCGGACGCCTGGTCGCTCATGTCAGGTCGCTTGCGCCCGGCAGCGATTCTCGTATCAGGGAAAAGGCCCTTGGCCTTGATACAACGCAAGCATACTTGCGTCTTGCTAAGGCAATGATAGCGAGAATAAATCTATGCGTGTTGGGTGGGAAAGAAAAAGAAGCTGGATATGGCGAATTTGCGACACCGAAATTGTGGCGTAGTGGAGAAACGGACTTTCGGGCGCACCACCCTGACCAGCGATAAAGAGCTCTCAATTTATCGAACATGGTCTCGATGCACCAAACGTAGCAGCCTCATCCATCTCAAAGACTTGTTGCGTTTTGTGCTTGATTTCGAACTTTGACAAGGAATCGGAAAGACCCAAATATCAGGTGTCGTAATGTATGTGAGGCGGCATCGTCATTGAAATCGTGCGACGTACTGCTCACAAGGATGATCCCAGCGCAAAACACATGATTCTTAATCGTCTTTTTCATAAACGAACACTAAGTTTTACAGTCTAGCCTTGCCATCCTTCTGCTTGCTGACCTCAACGAGCAGCTTTCCAGTATTAACACCCTTGTACAAATCCCTCAATCCTTGCTCTGCCTTGATCAAACCACCTTCAAGAACAGTCTCCTTCCTTTGCAACTTGCCTTCTGCCAACCATTGAGCGAGTTCTTGGCGAGCAGTGGCGTACTTGTCTGCATAGTCAAAGACGATGAAGCCTTGCATACGAATGCGCATGGAGATGATCATCATGTAGTTCTTGAGTCCTCTTGGGCTGGCGTTGTTGTAATCGCTGATGGCGCCGCAGCAGACGAAGCGAGAGAAGGGCTTTGCACGGGAGAGAGCGAGGTCGAGAATATCACCACCAACGTTGTCGAAGAAGACGTCGATCAAGCCCTGACACGCGTGTTAGCATGATGATCTGAGGAGAGAAGTAGTCGCAATATCTCGTCGTACCTTTGTGGCGGCTCTGAACTTTGTGGTGAAATCGGCATCCTTGTAGTTCAATGCCTCGTCAAGACCGAGATCATTTTTCAACCAGGAAACCTTGTCGTCACTACCAGCAAGACCTAACACTTTGGCACCCTTGAGCTTGGCAATCTGTGCAACAACACTTCCAGTAGCGCCGGCAGCACCCGAAACAACAACGAAATCGCCCTTCTTGACTTGACCGACCTCGATGATTCCAAAGTATGCGGTCAAGCCGGTCATTCCAAGGACACCGAGAGCATCGGTGGTGCGACCGTTTGAAGGCAGATCCACACGCTCGAGAGCCTTCTCCTCAACGACGGCGAGTTCGGTCCATCCGACAAAGCCAGTTGCAAGGGTGCCGACAGGGAATTTGTCTGATTTCGAAGCTTCAATTGTGCCAATTGCGACACCGCGCATGATTTCGCCGATCTGGACAGGAGGGACATATGACCGCGTGTCTTTGGAAAGTATATCAGTATGGAGCTTGTAGAACTTGAAAACTGCTAGACCATCACTCACCGTTCAACCATCCTCTCATGGCAGGATCAAGACTAAGGTACAGAGAGCGGAAGATGACTTGACCATCCTTGAGATCCGACTCCTTGGGTGCAGCATTACTCTTGACCTCAAAAGTCTCACCAGCAACAATCTCACCCTTAGGGCGAGCAGCAAGATGCACAGATTGATATTGAGAAGACATGATGTGTGAAACGTGTGAACTGAATAGAAATATCGAGTTCAGATCAAGGGTCTTGAAGGTATAAGAGTAATTCTTGAGATCCGAAAACGCGGGGAGAGCTTACGTTCGTAGAGAAGGCCGAGGTCGCCAAGAACTCGCCTCGGCCTTACACTTTAAGTAACATTTAGCGAGAAAACTCGTTTGAAGACTCCAAGGGCAAACTCTGACAGTTGATGTTAAGCGAATACTACTTGGACATGGTGACTTGAGGTACTTTTCAGCGGGGTGGAAGGATGTCTTGTCGTCACTTCTCGTTACACAAGCTGAATGCGTCGTTATTGGCGACTCTTGAGACGTGTGTTGACTCATCGAGAACATCGAACCCGATAGCCGTGCAGCCTCACTGCAGCAGCATGCGAATTCGCGCTCTCGTGTATACCACCAATTGTCGTGCTGCTTTCGACTTACTGATCTCCGATACCGTCTACGACCCCAAAGGAACACTAATACGAAGCTGCCAACGGTTTTCGTGAGAGTCGGCGTGATCGTCACTCATGGACTCATCATGCGAACCCTCGGCCTCAAAATTGACGACGAGGCCTTGGATCTGTGTTTGAGGACTTGTAGACTCAATGGCAAGTCGGACATGGATGAAGGCTTGCGGCTGATTGAATACGCTGGCTGAGATCCAATACCGTTCTTGTTCAACGTCTGCTGTTGACAGGGCGACGCTTGTTGAAAGTCTGCAGCCTGATGTCCAACGGTGCGACGACAAAGGCACATCATCGCCTTGGCTTTGTGAGGCAGGAGTGCCCTTTGAATCATCAGAGTAGAAAGACAGCTGTCGACTGTGTAGGAATGTCGCTGGATGCGTCGCGAGGTGAGAGTTTGGAAGGTGTCGCCAGCCGCCGGCCGAATAGGCGCGATGGTCTCTATTGTAGAATCTTGTCAGTCATGATGGTCAAAGTCATACGTGAATGACTGATGAAATGTTCGCAGTCGATCAGAAAGAGGAATTGTGTTCATAAGGAATCACTAGTCTAACATCTATTTTTACTCCTGAGCTCATCCTTGAAAGTGGTGATGGAGTTGAATTGAGGGCTTGACAACTTACCAAGTCAAACGGCAGGTCCTGTGTAGCCATATCGTGTGACATTGTATGGGACAGCAATGTCTGAGCTAGTGGCTTTTAACCACTTCCAGCGCTCGCCGTGGAATCAGCTGACAAGCAAAGCTACAGTAGAGAGAGAGAGAAGTCGCCAAAGTCAAGAGATGATGGTCTACAAGTCGCGAGGACAGCTGGGTGCAAGGTTGCGACGAAATTCGAGATTCAACAGATGATGTGCGCGTACAGCTCATCTTATTGATCTGCAGCCAAAATTGACTTTTTAATTTGGTCATCACGGACAATCGCAATCAATCCGTTGCTTTTCTGGAAGACCTCTGACAAAACAAACAATCAAGCAAGAGCCTGGATGAAGTCATCTAATCTCGACATCAACCCGGACAGCCGTTGGCAGGCCTGCACGGTGATGCCCGGTGCTGGCTGGCTGTTTGGAGGCGCAGCGGTGGGCGTGAGATTTGGCCAATCTTTGGTTGCTCCCCGGACTGAGCGAGCCGAGTTTTTTGGCAGCAAAGTGCACAACAATCTCCGCACAGCCAATCCGCTGAGCTGCCGTTGACAGTCAGATGACGATCGCGTTGGACAAGAGGCTAGCTCGAGGTACGCGGCATCAACGCTTTTCCCAGCGCCACAACCTGCTTGTCCCGGCTCTTGTCTTGGAACGACACGCGGACCAGTACAACAGTACAACGCATAACCAGACACAATCCGCCATGCAGTTGTGTAATTGCTGGAGATAAACAGACAGGGTAGAGGGCCATCTCCCAGATGAAGGACTATCAATACGGAGACGAGTAATAGTCATGGTGCGCATCAATGCACCAAGCGATGGCGATTTCAGGAGAAGGCCTGGTACCTTGTCTCGCCCGGTTGATTCGCGGGCGCATGTGGGTCTTTCTCTTCATCTTACTATCTTTGGCATAGGCTTGCCTGTTTGTGTACAAGTCAACGGAGCGGATCCTTCCACTGGTCGTCTCAGACTGCAACTGACACGCCGGCGCCGGCTGTGGGCGCAGATCAGGGCGAGTACACGCAGGTACAAAACTTTCAAGACCGCCGCGTGTCTGGGCCTCTACATCTTTTTTCCCCATCCACTTTCTCGATTGTCCAACCCATTGTCACTCTTTCCTTTGGGCTTATTCTCGACAAACACACACTCACTATTTCCCGTCTCCCTTTTTCATACTAGGATAATTCAGATATCAAAATGCGTGCTTCCGTTTACGCTCTGGCTGGCAGCGCTGCCTCAGCCATGGCCGCTTCTCGTGGTTTCAACTACGGCTCTCAGGGCAACACCCTCGACACATTCACTACTCAGTTCGAGTCTGCTCAGGCCATTACCGACTACGCTTCTGCTCGTCTCTACACCATGATCCAGGATGGCACTGCCAACACTGTCATCTCTGCCATCCCCGCTGCCATCAAGACCAACACCACCCTTCTTCTTGGTCTCTGGGCTTCCGAGAACCAAGAGGCTTTCAACAACGAGCTTTCCGCTCTCAAGACCGCCATCAGCCAGTTCGGCTCTCAGGGTCTTGCTGACTTGACTGTCGGTATCTCTGTCGGCTCCGAGGACCTTTACCGTATCTCCGAGACTGGTATCAAGCAAAAGAGTGGTTACGGTCAGACTGCCGACGTTCTCGTCGACTACATTGGTCAGGTTCGTGAGCTCGTCAAGGGCACTGCCCTTGCCAACGTCCCCATCGGTCACGTTGACACCTGGAACGCTTTCACCAACACCTCCAACTCTGCCATTCTCGGCGCTGTTGATTTCCTTGGTCTTGATGAGTACCCCTTCTACCAGGATGGTGAGGGTAACTCCATTGACAACGCATCCGACCTCTTCTGGAAGGCTTACGACAAGGTTGAGGCTGTTGCTGGTGGCAAGCCTCTTTGGGTTACCGAGACCGGATGGCCCGTCAAGGGTGAGGCTGAGGACGAGGCTGTCCCCAGCGTCGAGAACGCTGCCAAGTTCTGGCAGGAAATTGCTTGCGAGCTTGAGGCCCGCTGCATCAACTTCTGGTGGTACATCTTGAACGATGATGGCGCTTCGCCTTCGTTCTCGGTTGCCAGCGGAATTAACGGTGCCAACACCAAGTCCCTCTACGACCTCAAGTGCCCCAACGCCTCTGCTTGCGGTGCCAAGTCGCTGTCTTCATCTTCGTCTTCTGCTTCCTCGTCTGCTGCTGCCTCCAAGACTGCTTCTGGTTCTGCTGCTGCTTCCAAGGTTGCCTCCGGATCCGCTTCCACCACTGGTGTCGCTGGAGCCATCAACGCCGAGAACGGAACTGTTTACGTCACTGAGGTCACCACTGCCTACACTACTTACTGTCCTGCTGGAGCCACCATTCTTGCCTCTGGAAAGAAGACCGTCCTCACTGCCGCTACCTCTTTCTTGACCACCGAGAAGATTTCCAAGACTATCACCGCATCTGCCGCTACCACCATGAGCAACGCTGCTGGAGTTCCCACCGCTGTTGGCGCTGTCGTTCCTTCCGGCGCTGTTGTTCCCTCAGGCGCTGCTGCTCCTTCGGGCGCCGTCGCATCCGCTTCCGGCGGTCTCATCGGCCAAGCTTCTGGCACCACCCTCGCATCCTCATGGGCCGCCAACCAGACCCCTGGAGCTTCCGCCACCGGTACCGCCGCTCCCTACAAGGGTGCCGGTGCCAAGGTTGGCGGTTCCGTTGCTCTTGCCCTCGGTGCCGCTGCCGTCGCTCTCCTGTAAACGGTTGAGTTGACCTGATCTCAAAATTGCATATCTGACGAACACACATCCTATCTTGCATCAGCATTTGTCTCTTTTTCCTGTTTCGTATCTTTTTTGCGAGCGAATTTTATACACACACTTCTTTGTTCATCATTTGAAAGCCTTTTCTAACTATTGGCTTTTCTCTTTCACTTCTTGGTTACCTGCAAAACATGTAGAGTCAAGACAATTTACAAAACACCAATCTTGTCCATGAAAGCATTGTTCTCGTAGCCATCACAACCTTTTCATCTCAAGATTTGTGCCTCTACCACTATAGACAGGCTTCCCGCGTCGCTATCTCCTCTGGATTCATGCGGAGTGATGCGCTATTTTCTTCTAATGCGTCAGCCCTTTCGCAAAACTGTAGTCAGAACAAGTCGTATGTGCCCTCTCAACCATGTTTCCCTTGATCCTGTAGCATCAATATCGTTCCCGATCAGCTGATCGATTGGTACTCACGGCCAACGATTCGATATACACCATGGCACCATTACTTGTCGATTACTAGGTGTCGTATACCCAAGTCGGACGACTAGCCATCCTGGAGATAGATCTTCAGACGTGCAGGCTCGATCGCGCAAAGACATGTCGTTCAGCTTATGTTTTTTGAGACCCGCTTGATAAGCGCTCGTGGGACCCACGGTTCGGTACCCCAAGGAGTGGTCACAAGGAGCCAAATTTCCTTGGTGACGTGTAGATCAACCAGGGCAATGACTGCGCCGGCATCATTACTGCAGTAGGCTCAGAGGTCCACAGCTTCCGATCTGGCGATCGTGTTGCAGGTTTCCATTGTCTCGATATGCCTTACGGAAACCTATGCGGAGTATGCCATGTGTCCAGCGCATACAGTCTTCCACCTGCCAGACAGCATACGTGACGAGGCGGCAGCTATCATCCCTCTCGCTGCATTCACAGCCAGCCATAGGTCTATATCGCAACCTCTAAATACCCACACCGTGGAACCGTAACGACAAGGGTGCAGCTAACAAAGCAAAAAGGTTCCGTTAGTTGTAAATGCAGCCAGTACCGCCGTAGGCTATTTCGCAATCAAGTTGGCAAAAATGAACCCAACCATTGGACCTATCATTGCTATTGCTGGCGCTTCTGCCGACTTTGTCGGATCAGAACTCGGTGTTTGATGTGTTGGTGAACGGTAGTTCACCAACAATCGAAGACGATCTTCGCGCGGCATTAGACGGTACGGTGCTGGATTACTTGTTCGACGCCGCCAGTTCTTTGGCTTCCGTAAAAGTACCGAACTGTCGTATTGAACTTCGGCAAAGGCCGATACACCTGCACTATGCCAGTCGGACCTAGCATATATGACCCGAAAGGCAAGGCACAAGAAGTTCCTTGCAGGAGATTGGTATTTCGTACGATCATATAGCTAGCTTTCTAGCTTCTTATCATTTTTCGTTTCACTCTTTCTCATTCCCCAATGGTAAGAAGATGTCTTCCATACAAGAGGTCTTCCGTCCAATCAATACTCGATAAAGCTTTTCGTTCAATAGGAAATAGACCACTGAGAGTATTTGAGTCAGCGTAAGGCTTCATGACACCCGGTATGAAGGCCTCTTTTCTCTCACTCTCGTCTCTCTTCCCATGTTGACATTCATCCTTGCCTAGCTCTTTACCAGACTTGGGCATGTGGAGCTCTGACGAAAGTTACAAACTCTAGCATTTCGCCGAGTAAGATGAGGCAGGTGTTGGTCGACCTCAGCGGTATAGACCACTTCTGCCCGGGGTAGAACTTCTGCATGTCCTCGAATGACATCCCTTTATACTGCATCTTGCTTTGCTTTTCGAGTGTGAGTCCATTGAATTTGATCTTGTGTGCTCTCAAGCAAGGTAGAGCAGCAGCTTCCTGGGGACGGCCTAGTACCAAGAGTAGCTCACCGTTTTCGAGCAAGCCATCGAAACCAATTATAAAATGGTGTTCTCGGATGACTGTCGACTGATGCTCTTGTTTGCTCCAAGAGGAGACATCAGGGACGAAAGAACTGTTCCCTGAAGTTGTAGAGCCGAATCCAGATCCGGGCATCATGGGATCCTGGAAATGCGAGCCCGGAAAATATCAGAGGAATTCTCCACTTGTTCACGCTGTGAGACCATTGAACGAGCTATTTGATAAAGGCCAATCCCCGCCTTGGACGAATTTCAGGACCCGAGTCACCAAATTTCGCTGGAAGATCGGCGTGAGTTTTTCCGCATCTGAATCGCTTTCTTTGCCGAGTCTGTCCCATGTCGGTAGTGATGTGTGCTGACTAGGTCACAGAGAGGGCCTTTTGGCTAGATTTTCCCAATTTTAGTAGAGGGACAAGGGATGTTAGTATTATCGCGAGCCAGAACGCGCAAGAGGCCCTCTTACGACTTTCTGGCGCGCGAGAGAGATTTCGGCCTACTAGGCTAGTAGATCGGGCGCGGCCAGTAACCACGCGCGCGCTCATTTTCTGAAATCTCTTGAATGAGATGCTCGTGTGTGTGTGACTTTGTATACAATTGCATAGTGTATAGACAATATATCGTCGGGATCGAAACGCCGACGAAGGGGTGCCCTGTGCTCGGGTGAGTCTGGCAAAATAGCCTGATCTTTTGGGAAGTATGCTCTCAGGTCAAACAGTGACACGGCCGCCCAGTTTGATATCCCTGCTACTGGCACCAATCCAAATAGGATATTCTCCAGCCTGTAACTTCCACTGCTGAGCAACGACGTCCCAAATACTCAACTCGCGTCTTGTCAAAGGTAAATTGACCTTCTTACTCTGACCCGGTTGCAAGAGCACACGTTCAAAGCCTCTCAACTGCCTCTTGGGTGCATCGGGGATTGATATGTAGAGTTGAGGTACTTCATGCGCAGTAACATTTCCTGTATTGGTGACTTCAAAGGAGATGCTGAAGAGTTCTTCCCAGAGTTGGGGGTGGCCGCCAGGTACAATGGCGACATTCGCATCAGGATAAGGCGAGAGTTTGCCATCAGCGAATCTTGCAGTCTGCAATTTGCTGTAGTTGAAGGTCGAGTAACTTAACCCGTAACCAAATTCGAAGCGAGGGGTTATGTTGTAGTGGTCAAAGTGGCGGTAGTCAATGTAGACACCTTCTGAAAAGTTTGACTGTGGGTGAGGATCAAAGGAGATTGTCGAGTTGAGGAGGTTACCATAGTCTTCTTCCTTCTTGGCGACAGTGTAGGGAAGGCGCCCGGAGGGCGAAACATCACCATAGAGGATATCTGTTAGCGAGTGGCCTGATTCTTGGCCTGGTAGACCAGCGAACAGAACGGCTGTGACATTCTCGTGATCGATCCATTCATCGACGACTCTGATGCCTGCAGAATGTATGACGACAATGGTATTCGAGCAGTTAGCAGCAACATTCTTGATCAAATTGTCACTAAACTCATCAGCCAGAGTAGTACGGTCAAAACTCTCAGAAGCATAGGCATTGACAAAGACCAAGCATGCATCATTGTTGACGTAAGGTGGGTAGGGATTCTCAGAGTAAAAGTCCCAACGGAGAGTACCTTTGTCCTTGGCGATGCGTTCTTGGATGGCTTGGAATGGTGAGACAACGTAGGGTGGTGTGCTGCCACCAGAGCCTCCACCAGTAATCATTGTGCCATTGAAGGTAGTCCAACCAAAGTTGACCTCGTAGCCACCACCATATCTGGAAGGGTTCTGCCAAGGTATCGCCTTGATGGTTGCATCGTAACCATAGATTGTCAAGAAGCGAGGACTCTTGAGGGGAAGAGCATTGTTGACATTCTTGACAAGGACTGTGCCAGCAGCACCGATCTCCCTGATAAGATCTGAATGATCAGCCTGAACGTTGACAGGTTCCTGGAGTTGCAGGTTGCTGTGCACAGCTGCATCGGGGTAGCCCTCGCCTTGACCGACGTAGAAGAAGGCAGCCAACTGTCTCGTGACCATATCATCAAGACGGTCAACGGATACGGATCCATTGTTGACTGCGTTTGTGAGATTGCCACCCCAGAAGCCTCCATCAGGCATGATAAGATCCAGTCCAGCATTTGCAGATGCGACACCAGAATGTTGAGCTTCCCAGTCAGACATGACGAAGCCTTGGAAACCAAGTTCGGTCTTGAGAATACCGTTGAGGAGCTTCGAGTTCTGGCACCCGTACGAATTGTTAGATCTTGAGATATGTTAGCGGACAGTGATCACGCAGCCGAGATCAGTGAGAGATGTACCTTTGATAGGAGCACATGACACTGCCAACGTTTTCGCGAAGGGAGTTCATGAAGGGGTAAGCATAAAGTTCATGCAGAGTTCTGTCATCAGTGTTTGATGACATGGCTGAACACCGTTAGCCGTAGTAACAAGAGAGTTGAGATGTGACACTGACCTTCGCCTTCTCCAACAGCAGGGTTACGGCGGAACTCCTCTTCATTCAAGAGCCAGTGCTGGAGATAGGTTAGCCTAGATCGGTTAAGTTCCTCCAAGAGAACACACCTTTGCTGTAGCGATCACGCCAATGTCTTGAATACCTCTGGTGATGGCTCCCATACCAATCCCAGCAAGATGAGGATCAGCAGAAAGACCTTCCCAGTTCCTACCTCCTCTGGCAACTCTTCCAAGTGGTCCAGCAACAGGTCCAAGAGCGATATTGATGCCCTTACCGCGATACTCTTCACCAAGGGCACGACCATAAGCATACAACAGATCTTTGTCGAATGTAGCAGCAACGTGGATGCCAGCTGGAAATGCGCTGACGAACTCTTGGCCGCGAATACCATCCGGAGCATCAGCAAGACACATTGGCTCGATGCCAAGACGGGGGACAGCGCCAGTGTTACCGACGCAAGTGCCAGTAAAGCCACGGGTGACATTGACCTTTTCCTCTAATGTCATCTGAGATAAGAGATTGCGTGCTTGAGCATAAGCATTGGCCCATTGAGGGCTACCCGATCCGTTTCCGGCAGCTAGATTCCATGTCAATAACACTCCATGAGCTGTAGTAGCAGCATAACTCACGAGAAGGATACACAGGCGGACTCTGCCCATAATAAGGATCAGACACATTAGTATAGCTCAAGGAAGTATACGCCGCCGCAGGACCCGCCAGCGCCAAAAGCGCGTTGACAGAAATAACAGACCTCATGTTTGAGGCTGAGGTGTGGTGTGTTCAAGCTTCCGACCGGCGGAGGACAAGCATGTTAAGTACTCATCAGTTGGCCGGCGGCACGTAGGATGCTGCCCGATACCAAGACGGCGTTCACATCTTGGCTGAAGGTGAGTTTACCAGGGTATAGAGGTATAGCGGTGACGATCCTTGTTGAAGTGGCTTAGACCGTATACCATCATGATAGACCCGCTGCACGCCATCGGAACACGCGACGTGATGTTGGTAGTCATGTCAGACTAGTCGATGTCATTTCGTAGCCCCATCAAGTCTATATCGATCTACATGTACACACGCGACAGAGTAGCATGATGGCGTTAGTAAGTATAGACATCAAGGCAGGAAAAGGTCCTCGAGTCGAGGTGAGAAAGACGTGACGCGAAGAGGTTGGACAAGGCCTTCTCTCCGCGTGACGCAAGTGGGGTAAGGTTGCACTTGCCAATCTTTGAGATGCGGGGCCGCTGTCGGAGCCCTTCGGATACCTCAAGACAGACATCCGAAATCTAGTGCTGTAAGAAGGGCAACCCTGATCTCGTGCTTGGCACGCTGACGGCGACGATGCATCAAGCGCATCGCGCTCTGTAATAGCTAAATAGTATCTAGGAGCTCTAAAGTTGATTCCTCTCGGCGTCATGTCTTACTCGAGAGATTATTGCAGAAAATAGCGTCATCTCTGCGCGTCTCAACATTGTCGATGATAACTTGTGTGTCTTTTGCTCGTTTCACAAACGTCGAGGGCTGGAATTCGATATCTGAACATTGTAGCGGCAGCAGCAAGGGAAAAGACGTTCCAAGTCGATCAATGGCTGTGTAAATATACAAAGCATGTGTATGCCGAGAACATAACAGGAATTCACAGAGATGAGTGGACAATGTCGCCGCATGTGTTGCAAGGACTTGCTTGAGGTACAACCCTGACCGAACCACCGATGACGACGCCAAGGAAAGAGATGGAGCAATTCGAAACAGAGGATCGGCAACAACGACGATGGTAAGAAAGAAGAGGGAAATTGGTATGGGTATCAAATTTTGGGAGAGAAGACGCTTTGGAGATTGCTCGCAAAGCATCATCTTCTTCGAGGCATCATTCTGACCTTTGGGAAGTCGAGAGGAATCTTGAGCTTGGCGACTCTGCGTTGTGCAGCGACGGCCTTGTTGGGGATCTTGAAGTCTGCTTGCTCCTTTTCCGTCGGGTTGTTGACCTTGCAGCCCAATTCCATGAAATATTGCGACATTCTGTTGGTTTGTGTTAGCATGATCGGAGGCAGGCTTGATGGACTTGATGGACTTGATAGACGTACTGCTTGTTCTCCAGACGCAGATCCTCGCGCAAGTCGTGTGTGTCGGTCTTGTAACCATCGACGAACAAGGAAATGGCGGCCATGTGTGTAATCAGGTTGTCCATGTGCCACTTGTTGAGTTCGTTGTTGTCGGAGAATCTCCTCCTGACACTCTCAATCAGGGTCTCCGGCCAGCCTTCCAGCTTGCTTCGTAGCTGATCCCTCTGTGGCACCTTCTTGCCAGCCTTTCCTGCAGGCTTGAGAGCGAGGTTGAAGTCGATCAAGAGCATGAGGTATTTTAGGGCCTTGAGTCTCTGCACGTCGTCGCGAACGGCAATTGGGGGGACGCGGTGGGCGACGAATCTCGAAGTAAACTTCATCTCCTCACCAGTAGTGGCACTGTCTTGCCAATCCTGGACAGCCAAGTTGCGCATGTCGGCTGCAGGGATGAGCTTCTCGATGGGATAGACATTCTCAGCCTCCTTGGCGTTGAGGTCGGGCTTGGGGATGGGCTTCGAAGCGAGAATCTCCTCTTGCTGGGCCTGTTTGGCGGGCATGGCATCCGAGGCCTCCTTGACACTGTCCATGACGGCAGACTCGACGTTGTCCAGCTTGCCCCCTACACGGTTCCTGTCGGCGTTTGATGTGATGGCGTTCTCGACCTTTGAAGCAAGCGCCTTCTTGGCCTTCTTTGTACCGAAGGCTTGACCCAGATCTTCACGCTGCTGAGCAAAAGAGCGCACGGCATTCTGAGCAGCGACTTCTTGTGTTTCTGCGCGGAGGTTTGTGCGGAGGGTGACGGCGTGTGCAGGGAGGACTTGGAGCGACGAGGAAGTCGGGTCGTAGACGGCAACGTAGTGGGTCAGATCCGAGTTGGACTCTTGTTGGGCGGTGAAGTCAAGACGGGCGTGTGATGTCGAGTGCAGGAGGAGCGAGTGTGTCGACGGAGCGGGCGAGGCGCCTTCTTTCTTGGAGTTTGTGACCCTGACGAACGGCTTGAAGGGAGCGCTGGGCACGTTGAGACCAGGTGCGGCGGCTGCATGGACGAGTTAGCTGTGGCCAGCGAGACGGACCGCGACGGCAGCACGGTGCAAGGAGATGTGCATACCGATGACGGGGTACAACTCGTCGCGCGGTGCAGGGAAGTGGACGTTGATGGCGGCGCTGGATGCCTTTTTGTTGGGAGCGTCGCCTCCCTCGGCAGCTCTCTTTCTCTTCTTGTCGTCCTGTACGGCCATTGTGTGTTGCTGGATGCCTTTTGGTGGATGCGCGCTCGAATTGGCCTTTGATCTTGCAGGCGCCAAACTTTTTGCAAAAGCGATTCGACTTCCCCGCTTCCCAGGCCCGGCCAGAGTCATGCACGGTGGCCTGTGCATGCCGCAGCTGTCAACTTCTGAACGAGCAGTGACGTGTGTGTCGAACGCGACTGCCATCTTCCCTGCTCTGAAACCCTGCTTTCCTGCCGTCTTGCACAAGGGAGATGCGGTCTGGCCCGTCTCGACTTGCACGTCTAGTAGTTGCCTTGTCGTCTGTAAAAATACAGCTAGGTCTCCTCTGCTCCTTCTATTGAGCAGCGACAAGTCACAAACCGCTTGCCTACCTCTCTCCCTACCCACCCGAGACACTTCCCCGTCATCTCCCTTCCCTAGTCTCAACCTACTTTCGAGCTCCTTCCTTGCCCGCCATGTCTGCCCTCATGAGCACCATCGAAGGCCTGGCAAACACAGTCACGACAAAAGCCATGGCCATAGTCGACTCGGTCTTTCCGCCAGAACGGCGTCAGGAGCTTCTGACCAAGCTGCAGCAGTTTGCCATCAAGAACCCAAAGCTGTCGGTATGTTGTCCTCGTCTGCTCATGTCAAGTTCAGCGCGTTGACAAGCTGTATTCAGGCCTTCCTCCTCACCAACATTGCCCTGACGGGCCCGCCCATGTTCTTGTTCATCCTCTTCACCCTGACCGTCTTCATCTTTTCGCTCGTCGTCGCCCTGCTGGTCGGCCTGCTTGTAGCCATCGGCTTCACCCTCTTCATGGTGATTGTCGCGCTGGTGATTCTGTTCCCCACCGTCTTCTTCACCAGCCTCGCGGCATGCTTCTTCTTCCTTTGGGGCCTAGGTGGATACTACCTTCTCAAGTGGTTCAACAAGGGCGAGAGTCCTGCTGCAGAGGGAGATGCTATCGGTGACAAGATCAATGCTCTTACTGGAGGAAGACTCGACTTCATCATGGGTGGCGCTCGTCAGGAGCAGTCGGAGCACTCCGGTCAGAATGGCAACAAGGATGAGGGAAGTCCCAAGACGAATGGCAAGCCCAGGAAGCTGCAAGACAACCCGGCAAAGTCTAGTGGAGTCGACTTCGGCAAGCAAGCGGATTCGATCAAGAAGAATGCCAACGTGGGTAATGTCACCAACAAGGCGACGAAGCAGGCTAATCTGGATGGAGTGACCAAGCAGGCGGGATTGAACGATGTGACCAAGAAGACGGATGGAGTGACGGGCACGGCAAAGGGACTTGCAGGGGGAGCGACTGGCGGACTTGTGTAGCCTGCGTTGACGGAGCGGTTTCTTCCTGTTTGACTCCAATGGTCTGCTCTGACCGGACGGCCTCTTGTTGATTGATTGAGTTATCTGTTTGACGGCATAGCGATGGGTTTCTGGTATGTTGGAAAAAGATGGTGATTCACGGCTCTCGGGATGATGGAGAAATGACTTGTACGAAAAGCACTCGGGAGGCGGCGCGGTATATAGTGACAGAACTACTTGCATTACTCTGAACTCGGGACAGACGAATAACAATAGGCTGATGTGTGTTCGATTTGATTGATGATGGGCAATGAGGAATTGAATGGTGAAGCTGGATGGTATTGAGCACAGACCCAGTTTGATGGACGGCAGCAGTGGAGTGAAGCTTGAGCGAGGGTCGGCGACCGACAGAGACAATCACCAACCATTTCTCACCAGCATCCATCGACTGAAACCAACGAATCTGCCGCAGTGAAGTGTTCTGGACTGGCTGGACTCTGCACCTGAATCGACGCGCCTTGCAGCGACAAGCGACAACCGACGACTTTGACACACATCATCATCATCATCATCAGCGTCACGGCAGCAAACACTTGATGAAGGCGCAACACATGAAGACGCGCTAAGAAGCACCCAACACAAGCACAGCGCTCGCAGCAATGCCGCCCGGTCAAGCAAAGAGGAAGCGCCCACAGGATGACAGCCAGTCGCGCGCTTCACCTCATCGCCCAGAGAATCTGAATCTCGCCCAGCAGAACCAGCGCAACAACAACAACAACAACAACAACAACCACCGTGGAGGTGGAGGTGGACACGGGGGCCATGGCGGACATGGTGGAGATGGAGGAGGAGGAAGAGGAGGGCGCAACAACAACGGCCACCGCTCAAACAACTCGACTCCCACGCACAACCGCCAGGGAAACTTCTCGCAGCCGCAGTCCAACAGGAACTCGCCGCATCCACACCAACACCCTCCTCAGCAGCAGCAGCAGAGTGCACCGCCCGCTCCCTCGCCAGCACAGGCACAAGCACCAGCGCAGCCAGCCGAGCCAACACGTCCCGCCCTCGTCTCGACTCCCTCAGCCACGCCCGCCCCTCCACTCGTCCTTCCACAATACCCTCCAACACCCAAAGAACCTCCGCCGCCTTACGCCTACGACTACCTGACCGACGACGCTGTGAGCGCATGGCAAGCAAGAGGCAAGCAGTCGGTACTCGCTGCCCTGCAAGAGGCCGAAGACAAGGACACCATCTCGAGCGTCGTCATGCAAGAGCTGCTGAGGTCGACACTGGACGGCCGTCTGTCTGCCGGAGAGTGTGCCGAAGTGCTGAAACACGTCGCTCCTGCCGAAGAGCTGCAGTCCGTCTTTGCCGACACGCTGACCCTGCTCGACGACGCCGACTGGAAGAGTCCCGTCCTCAAGACGCTCATCTACCACGCTGGTCTCGACTCTCACCTCCTCCGCAACGAGCTCGACATTGAGCCGCTCTCGGCCCTCGGTCTCGTGCGCCACACCTTTTCCACCATCCGCAACCGCAAGACGACCAACCTCATCTACCGCCAGGCAAACTTCAACCTCCTGCGTGAAGAGTCCGAAGGCTACTCGAAACTCATCACCGAATACTTCAACGCCGCCAATGCTGGCTCCACCTCGGATCTCATCGCCGAAGACACCTTCCTGCGCATCAAGGCTCTCGTCGGCTCTTTCGACCTCGATGTCGGCCGCGTGCTGGACATCACCCTGGATGTCATGGCTAACCTCCTTATCAAGAACTTTCGCTTTTTCATAAAGTACTTGCGCGCGAGTTCTTGGTGGCCTGAACAACATGTTCCCGAAGGCTTTCAAACCCAGGGTCAAGGCTTCACATCTCTACCAGCATGGGCTCTTCCGCATTCAGCATCCTGGAGTCAGACTGCAGAACAGCGTGCTCAACTCGCCGCTCTCAAGGAAGCTCGTGATGTCGATTTCTGGCAGCAAGTGCGCAAGGTCGGCATGGAAGCCTTCTTTGACATTGGTGCTCTTCGCATCACAAATCTAGATGCCTCTGCCGTCGCTGATCTACTCAACACCGAGCTCAAGCCAGAGCTGGATGCCAGAGGTCGTGAGATGAACATGATCCGTCGTCTTCGCACCAACAACGCCCGCAAGTGGATGCGTCAGACTGGCTGCGTCGTCCCTCCTGGCAACTCTGATGCTGCTCAACTCCTTGGTTTCAAGCTCGCTTTCTACTCTTCAGCCGCACGCGACAAGAATGATGTCCTCCCAGACAACCTCATCTACCTTGCCGCTTTCCTCATCAAGATTGGCTTCATCTCCTTGAGAGACCTCTATCCTCACCTCTACCCACCAGACGACAAGATGGGCGAGACCAAGGAGACTCTGGAGAAGGAGAAGCTTGAGAGAGAAAAGGCAGCCAAGCCTGGTGGTGGTGCTCTCAATGCTCTCGCCATGGCCGGTGCTCTTGCAGACGACACTGCACCTGCTCCGTCCGCTGCTGTTCGTGGTCTACGAGAAAATGCTTCTGGTCGTGCTACACCAAAGCAAGATGCCGACGCTGCCGCCGGTGCTGCCATAGAAGACGGCGAGAAGGAAGCTCTGCCCGAACCAGCCAATCAAAAGGTTGCTTTGGTCAAGAGTCTGCTCGCTATTGGATGTCTGCCCGAGGCTTTGTACATTCTCGGTCGTTTTCCTTGGCTGACAGATCTTGTCCACGAACTTCCCGACTACATTCACCGCATTCTTCACCACATGCTCACAAAGGTCTATGAGCCCGCCAGACCTCTTGCCAACAGACCCGGTATGAATGATGCCAAACCTCACATTGGTGATCCTACTGGTCTGCCCAAGGGCCAGCTCAACCTCACTCCTGCTCCACCACTAAAGACCTTGAGATGGGCAAACCTCGACCGTCCCGACCATGGTGATGCTGTCGAGTACAAGTTCTACTGGGACGACTGGGTCGACAACATTCCCGTTTGTCAATCAGTCGACGACGTCTTTCAACTTTGCAGTACTTTTCTCAACCTGACCGGTGTCAAGATTGGTAGAGACTCTGCTTTGCTCATGAAGCTTGCCCGTATTGGTAAGAAGAGCTTGACAGATGATCCTTCAGAGTCCAACTACGCCCGCTGGATCGATCTCAGCAAGCGCTTGCTTGTCCCTGCTCTGAGTTTGACCAAGCACAACACTGGGGATGTCAACGAAATGTTTGAGCTCCTGAAATTCTTCTCGGTCAGCGTTCGCTACTCGATCTATGCCGAGTGGCATTTCGGCAACACCTCTCGCCTCCCCGACATCAAGTCTGCCTTTGACCTCACTAAGGCTGAGACAAAGGACGTTCTCAAGCGTATTAGCAAGACTAATGTTAGAGCCATGGGTAAAGCACTCTCAAAGGTCGCCTTCTCTTCTCCCGGTATCGTCATGCAAGTCGCAATCCACCAGATGGAGTCCTACGACAACCTTATCGATGTTGTCGTGGAATGTGTCCGCTACTTCAGCATGCTCGGCTATGATGTCTTGACTTGGTGTTTGATGAATGCGCTTGGTGGAGGTGGCAGAAATCGTGTTCAAGCCGACGGTATGCTCACCAGTCCTTGGTTGCGTGCACTTTCGACCTTTGCTGGTTCCATTTTTAAGCGCTACTCTGCCATGGATCCTTCGCCTATTCTTCAATACGTCACCAATGAACTCCGTGCTGGCAACTCCACCGACCTCGAGGTTCTTGAGCAAATCATCACCGAGATGGTTGGTATCAAATCTGACATGACATTCAACGAGTCGCAGGTTCTTGCCATGGCTGGCGGACCAGTTTTGAAGGCTCAAACTCTGATCTCTTTGCTCGACGAGAGACACAAGATGGAGAAGCCTTCTCGTCGTCTTGTCAAAGCACTCACTGAGCCTGGGCTTGCTGGTCAACTCCTGATCTCAGTTGCTCAAGAAAGTCAGATGTATGCCCATCACGAATCTACTCAAGATGCGCCTCTGAAAGTACTCGGAAACAACATGGATAAGCTCTACCAGGTCTTTAACCAGTACCTCGAGACCCTCCGAAGCACCCTTCCGCCCGCCGAATTCGACGCTGTCGTGCCCGACACTGTCAGCTTGATGGGTGACTTTGGCCTTGAGCCCGCGATTGCATTCATGATTGGTCGTGCAAGTATTGCTCATGCGATTGCCGAAAGCGACGCAGCCAAGAAAGCCGAACAACAGGCCAGAAGATCGAGCCAATCGGCCCCTGCCACCGGCGATATCACCATGACCGATGCTGAAGAGAAGGATGTCAAGAGCGAGGAAGTCACCTCGCCACCAACCGAAGACAAGCCCATGCTATCCCTCACCGAAACAGATGCGGAGATGAGGAGTGTCGCCCATGCCAACGGTGTTGACACCTCAACTCCTACTCCCTCACCCGATTCTCATTGGCATCCCGTCTTGACTCCTCTCATTGAGAAGACTCGTCTTCTGTTTGGTGACAAGCTCGAGCAATGCATCAGCATCCCATTCTACGTCACCTTCTGGACTCTTGGTCTCGAAGATATTCTGGTCAACACCAACAGCTACGACCAAGAACTCGCTACTCAGTCTCACCTCATCAATCAAATCAACAACGATCGTACTGATGTCAGTGGTAAGGGCATGCAAGACAAGGATAAGAGGAAGAAGGCCATTAGCGAGCTAAGAGAAAAGCTTACTCAAGAGATGAAGAGTCAGATTGGTGCATACACCCAAATCCGCAACAGACTCAACAAAGAGAAAGACCATTGGTTCACCGACTTCCATAACAAGGTTGAGTTGCTGCACACCAGTCTCCTTCAGAACTGCTTCCTCCCGAGAATGATGAATTCTCCTTTGGATGCTCACTACACTTACATGATGTTGAAATTCCTCCACAACAATGGTGCTCCCGGATTCCGTACTATGCATCTGCTGGACCGCCTGTTGCGCAAGAATCAACTCTCGTCGCTCATGTTCCAATGCACACCCAGAGAGTCTGAGAACTTTGGTCGCTTCTTGAATGAAGTGCTCAAGGAGCTCTCATCTTGGCATGCCGACAGAACTGCTTACGAGAAGAATGCATTCGGAGCAAAGAGACAGCTTACTGGCTTTGCTAGAAAGCTCAACCCAGATCAAACTCCACAAACCTTCCTCAACTATGAAGAGTACCGTGTACTTCTCTACAAGTGGCATTCCAACTTGAATGCGGCTTTCCAGATGTGTTTCGACTCTGGAGAGTACATGCACATTCGTAATGCCATCATCGTCTTCAAGGCTGTTGCCCAACAATTCCCCGTTGCCGAGCCCATGGGCAAGATCATACTCGATGCTGTCACTGCCCTTAGCAAGGCTGATGGCAGGGCTGATCTCAAGCTTGCTGCAGCAAGTACGCTGGGTGACATCCGCAAGAGACAGTCTTCTTGGGTCTCCAAGGAGCACTTTACAGGAGTGAGTACCACAATATCATCACCACCAATCAAAAAATCTGACATACTCAAGAAACCCGACCCTAATGCCAAACCTGTGCCATCTCGAGCCGAGACTCCCACTTCTCGCACTTCGACACCACTTAACCCTGCAGCTCAGGCCTTCAAGGCGCCTCCCTTGCCCGCTCAGCAAGGCGAGTCTGAAGATGGAGAGATTGACGACGACAAGCAAGTGTCAAGCAAAGGAGCTGACAAGAAGTCCGACAATCTGCCTGAGAGGAAGGCTGATCTCAAGCCACCACCGAGGGCCAATGAAGGTCAATCAAGAGCCCCAAATTCATCGCAACGCAATGGATCTAGACAATCATCAACTCAGTCTGCTCGACTGCCTCACTCACTACCTAGTAAGCCCGAGCTTCCACCTGCCGGCAGACAGCCACCACCTGGACGTGGTCTTCCAGCACAATTGCCGGCTCCTCGACACGAATCTCATGAACGCGGTCATGTCTCTGAATATGGAAGACTTGACCGACCCAATGAGGCTCTCCGTTCAGCCGCAACCAGCATGCCGAGAGAAGCATCACCACCTCTTGCAGGACGTGGAGGAAGAAGCCGTCAAAGATCGCCAGAGTACTCTGCTCGTGATGACAGACGCGATCACTACAGTAGACCACTTGCTGCGGCTGTACCGGAACCTAGAATGGCCGAACGCGAGTCATACGGTCCGATCAAACCTGTCAAACCTCATCCTGGGAGAACGCTTCTTCAGGAAAATAGAGGAGCTTACCCCAATGGACCCAGCCCGATGGCACCTCCTCCAGACCGGTCTGGCTATGATAGACCTGAGCGTAATGACCGTCCTGAACGCTCCGACCGTGAGCGCGCCGAGCGTCAACCTATAAGCCGAGCTTCTTCTCATTCTGCTCAACAGCCACAACCAGCAGTCAGCGTCAATCCTGAGCGACTTGCCCTCATTGCAGGTGACATTCCTCCTGTCGACCGCAGATCTAGAGACTCATCTCGCGATGATAGAAGGTCTAGAGAATCAAGACCTCAGTCACCCAAGAGACCTGGTGATCTTCCTCCACCTGTGCGAGAGAAGGAAGTACCACGCAGAGCTCCTCTCGACCCTAACCCATTCATGGCTCGCGATAATGCTCGCGTTCAGCCCGAGAAGGTAGAGAAGAAAGATGAGCCCCCACCACCTACTGGGCCGGCAGCGACTCGTGGTGGAAGAGGAGGTCGCAATGATGTCCCTTCTAATCCAGTCGCTCGTGACTTGTTCGAGTCATCAGGCGGCCCTAGAAGAGCCGTTGATGTACAAAGTCAAGATCCCAACTACGGACGTCTGAGTTCTGCTCCTGAAATGCCTTCTGGACCTCCTTCCGGACCTAGAGGGTTCGCGAACAACGCCCCCAGAAACTTCTCAGGGCAAGGTGGCCCAGCTGGTCGTCCTAGTGATGCCAGAGATGTACCCCACAATGCACCTCAAGAACCCAGTGGTCGTGGCAGACGTCCTCCACATGATCGACAAGGCTCACAGCAGGCACAGTTCCAATCACAGCCTCCCCCACCTCCTCCACCCCCTCCAGGCCAACCTCCATCTACTGCGCAACCAGAAGCTATCGGTGTCCACCCTACCCGTCTTGCTCATCTCGATATCCCACCGCAATCTGCAGCTACGCCTACAGGACCCAGAATGGGTAACTCGTCACAGCCAAACACACCTTCTGGACCGTCTGCAGCCATGCCTAGAGCTCCTGCCGGACCCGCCCTCGATCGCAGAAACAACGGTACTGATCGCAGGTTTGCGGGCCTCAACGACACATTGCAGAGTTCGAATGGCAATGGTGCGTCTATAAGAGGACGGGCAGGTGGCCGAGGACCACAAGGTGGCAATGCCATGATGCCCTCGCCTGTTCAGCCCAGTCCTGTCGTCGCACAATCACCCGTCATGCCATCTCCTGGCATGCGAGCAGATTTCCAAGCTCCATCAAGACCCGATGGCGGTAACGGAGGTAGCAGAAGACATGACGACCGCGAGCAAAGAGATTCAAGACGTCATGGAAGAGACGCAGGAGATCGTCACAGCAGTCACGGCAACCAGAATCCTAATCAACCTCCCCCTTCGGAAGAGTACCGTGGTCATCAGAGTAATTCAAGGAACCCTCGATCCGCTAGAGATCAGAGAGATAACAGGGATGGTGGATATGGAGGCCGCACCGCGCCTGCTACACCGACACTTTCCTCTGCCGCACAAGCACCGCAGAGCTTCGCTCAACCCGATCCTTCTTCTGGATATCCCGGCGGTCGCAGTCAACGCTATGAAGGTGATGACAGAGGTGGAGATTACCGCCGCGACAACCGTGCAGACGTAGGAGGTGGTGGAAGAAGAGACGACGGCAACAATGGTGGACGCAGAGGCCAGGGACAAGGCCAAGGACAAAACCAGAGCAACGATCAAAGTGGTAGCAGCAGAAGGGGCGGCGGCGGTGAACAAGCAGAAGGCAACCGCTCCGAACGTAAGAGAAGAGGAGAAGGCGAACCTGGTGGCCATGAAGGAAAGCGAAGGAGAAGCGGAATGTGAGCACTTCTGGTGACTCTCCATCTTACTAGTTCTATGATACTGTTCCATATGGACATAAAAGGCGAAAGGCGATTGGAAGTCCTTATCAATCCTGAAAGCGAAAGAAAGAATTAAAGAAACGAAATTTCATGTGTCCAAACTATTTTCTACTTGACAATTTTATCGGCTTGAATACCTGTGCCTTCATTGGCAAAGAAGAGTCTGATGATACAATTGTTCGGTGCTTGCAAGTGCCAGACTCTTGAATCAAAAGTTTAAGAGTTCCATATAATCTGTATGTTGTGGACAAAAGGACGAGAGAGGATTGAATACGGAATGCTGAATGCTGAATACGGAATACGACGCCAAGATTTTCGGCAGGAGCTTGGGGCGCGTCGGCAATTCCTTCTCCAATGGGGCCGTTCATAGCAGGGCGGAGCTTCACTGCCTCGCAAGCATTAGGAAACACCTACACACTTGCATAGGTAACAAACACTTTCCTCTTCTCTCCTGCATGACCGGGGAAAGCAAATTGTATAACTGATTACCCAGACACAAAGGCATCGAGAAGAATATACTGAAGCTACGACGCTGGACTTGTCCACTTGGCTTTTCTCCATCGACAGTCGACGCTTTCGAAACGCGACGCGTGCACTTGCTGTGTCACCTTTTTTCCCATTCACAGCAGTCGTCATTGGATACTCAGTGATGAAGAGAGCTACACATCGCAAGTCACGTGCAGGTTGTGCGCAATGCAAAAAGATACACATCAAGGTAGATCAGCGCGATTTTCATGCGTATCTCAAGCGACTAACAATCGACTCAAAAAGTGTAACGAGACAAAGCCCAAATGTGGAAGATGTGATCGATTGAACTTGACTTGCGAGTACAAGTCTATTCTAGCGGCACTGAAACCGGACTCGTCAGTGTCATCGGCACACTCTGTATCCCGCTCTGTATCACCCATGCCACCAGGACGGACGGGCCAACAACCACTTTGCATGCTGGATTTAGAAATCTACCACGAATTCATGTTCAAATACGGCGACACCATGGGAGTCGAACCTCAAAGCCGCGACATGTTGAGAAGCAAACTCGTGGATCTGGCAAATACCCATGACTACGTGTTGCACAACTGTCTCGCTCTATCTGCTCTCCAAATCTTCCACGGGGACTCGACAAGAACAGAGCTTTGGGAGCGAGCATGTTATTTGCAGGGTATCGCCATCGAGCAAGTGCAGCCAACTCTGATAAACATGACGCAAGACGATGCTATACCCAGTCTGATCTTTGCAAGTAACACGGCAGCATTCTCTCGCTGTGAGTATATACTCAATCCGCACAGTTATACCGACGACATGGATCCTATCGACAAGATCATCGAAAGCTTTCAATTATCGAGAGGCATTTCTCTGGTGGCGTCCAAATACTGGCCATTTCTAAAGCACTCTTGGATTAACCACAATATCCCTGATATCGTGGATGACATGGAAGAAGAAATGAGGCAGAGCTTGAAGAGCAGGTTTCCAGTCTACTCATCCGTAAAGTCCCTCGCTCTTGGTCTTGAGGACGCACAACGACGGCAGGTGTGTGTAGAGCTCATCGAAAAGACTTTTCGCTACATTGCGCATCTCATGAGTGATGGCCACAAATATCCCAGTCTCATATATCTGGTGGATGCATGGAGCGTCACTATACCAGCCGAGTATCGGGAGATGCTGGAAGAGAGAAGACCTGTGGCTCTCATCATCCTGGCTTATTACGCCGTTATGATCTCGCTAGCGAGTGAGGTTTGGCATCTGGAAGCTTGGCCAACGCTGCTTATCAATAGAATCACAGAGACATTAGGTAAAGAGTGGGAAGAGGAGTTTTTGCGTTGGCCGAGGAAGATGATATTGAAGTGAGCTGGAGGAGTCGGGGTTCTTCTGAGTTGACGAGTGGAGACCCTTCTGCTGGAAAAGGAAGGGGCACGTGAGAATAGGTGGTCTGTAACGGGGTGTTGATGGACCCTCCTTGCTCTTGCACGTGACTGTGAGTCCACCTTTCCGTCGTTTTGTTTCCGTCCAACGCGGTAATCTTTTTATTCTTTCTCCCCAACTCGTCTTTCTCATGGTTCGGGGGAGCGAAACGGAGCGTATGGCTACGGGCCTTCGATGGAGGAGTTCATTAAGGCTCCGGGTCTGGGCTCATCTTCAATTTTTACTTCTTGGCATGTTTTCGATCTCCAGCTCAAACGACGTATTGGGAATGCTAATATGGGGATCGGGGCATCTGGAAGATGGTCGTTCTCATGATCGCTGTTCAACACGAAAATGTAGTTTTGGGATCAGTTCTGGAACGATGCACGTCTTCATGATCCCTTTCACAATCTGTGCGTGCATCAAAACGGAAGAGGTCTCGCTATAAGTTGCATGAAATCGGGGAATGACGGAGTGGGCACAGTTTTTGATGGGAGCGATCCTTGACTTGGTTGTGGTCCATTCTCCTTTGTGCGTGTCTCGGAAGATTTCATGCCTGGCTTGGCGGGTATAAGAGCATCGGGCCCTTGGAACCTTGACTTCAACAACCATGATTCACGGAATGTAGTCGGGGTTGATTATAGAAAGTGCTCGTGTCTGAAATTGCTTTGAGAGTCTGTAATACTCGGCTTTTTGATGAGATGGATACCCGTTCATTTGCACATGTTCTAGATCATGGCTTTTGCTGAATAACATATCGAATGACAGTAGTTCTATTCGACAGATCACTCGATATAGGAAGTTCTGCTATCATGATGGAAAGAGGAGAACCCCATCACCCACAATCTGGAAATTGGGTTACCCACACCCACAAAACCCCGTTGTGCGTGTAAGACACGCAAAAGTCAATAGGACAGTTCTGACACGTGTTGAAAGGTGTTTATACGTACGTAACAAACCAAGCCTTGGTCATGTCAGTCGCACGATATGCTAGATCGAGACCTGTCCGGAGCTCAGCGCGAGGGCTTTGGTTACATCCGTTTGACACATCCGGGCAGTCTAAACTTTCAGCTTCCCCCGGTCATGTGGGACGAATTGGAAAAGAGACCAGAAAGTGGAGTGAGACAATGGGCGTCGAGTTGCTCGGAGATGAGCGTCACGAACGTTTTTGGACCAATTCTTCTTGCTCATTTGTGAGGTCTTCTGTCATTGGACGAGTCATACTGAATTCTGGTATTTTTGGAGCTGCGCCTATGGTTCTGAATCGGCTCTTCGATGCCTGCTGCAATCGGACAGACGTGTCATCTAGGTAAAGATCTTCCGTCACCTGACAGAGCTGTTATGTCCCTGGAATGGATCGTTAGCTACCATCATTTACCAATGTCAACTGCATGTTGTTCCCCAACCCCTTTGATGATGCCCATCGGATCTTCCAGCGTCGATCTAAGGCTCGCTCAGGAAGATGGAATTTGTCCTGGCTGTGTTAAGAACTTTTCAGCGATGATGACGCAAGTCCACCGCAGAGATGATTCAATTGACCTCGGGGTGACATGACTTGAAGGCCGACTTGCCAAGTCGGAGGTCTTGAGCATGGTATTTTATGCGGAAAGGCGGCCGAGTCCCAAGACGGAATGTGTGAGCCTGAATGTCTCGAAACGCGGCGACAGTACCTGCCCCATTAGGACACAGTAGCAGAGAGTGTAGTCAAAATGGTAGGTATAACGTTCGGGAGCATTCATCAACGGCGCGACGTTCCCTGCCAAGCCTGTTACAGCGGCAAGTCCGATTTGCTGCGACATCTGCACATCCGCTAATCGGGCGATGGTCGAGGAATGTGCCTCAGCACCTGGAGTTGCCCTCGTAAATAGAATTGGCTCTGGGACTTGGCGGTCAGGAGATGTCAAGTCCGCTGGACGGGCGCGAACGTTTCCTTCTGGGATCCTCAGCCACAGCCCTCCTTGACCACATAAGAAACCCCGCTGGTTGGGCTGAACCATACTCAAGCCTTATTCGAGACAGAGCCTGTCCCTCCTGCCACACTTTTCATCGGTCCGCCGACAGTAGCTTCTTGTATGGAGTTGAGAGCAGATGTTTTCGGAATTTCTGACGTGAGATTCAGCATAGTGACCGTCTCTTGCAAAAGACCTGGATACAGATTGTCTTTTGTAGTTTCCCGCGCACTTCAAGGTTCTCTATGGATGTTGGACTCAGCCGATCGTCTCTCACGAGCCAATTGCTCTCGAATTCCCGACCTGTGTTCACTCGTGTCTGGTTGCTCAGGCCCCAACTTCATGGACTGAACTTAGACGCCCCAACGTCCACAGCCCTACCAACGGTTCCGGGTGCTCCTTCCAAAACGAACAGGCCGTCATATCCATAGCTCTACCAATGGTCGCACTTACTCCTGCAAAAATGGACAGGTGACGTAGATCCTATCCTACTGTATATATTCACTTCAATGTCTTCTTTGTGGTATTCAATTGCTGCGTGTCTTTTCTCATACTGCTTTCAATCCGTTCCTCCCGTGTCAAGACATCGTTTGTAGTACACGACTCCGACAAAGCTACTCTTAGCTATGAACAACTATGTATTCCAAGATGATCAGCCCTTGTACAACCAGGGAAGATCTTTTGAATACGCATTACCGATGGATGACCACTCCTGGTCGGCCTACCAAGGGCTGGTGGATACTATGGACTTGAATCAGCAGAGAAGACCTGGTGAGCACCATTTATGTGGCCGACCAAGTCTCGTCTAACTTGTTCCACAGCTACGGCACTTCCATCGGTCGACAGCAGTCTGCTCTTCCCCTACTTTACAGACTCCAGTAAAGGACTCAGGTCTACCTCGCAGCTCTTACAAAGCGAACAGCAGGGCAATAATGTACCATGTACCGGTGTACAGGACTTCGAACAATTTTCTCATGATGCAAACTCTATTTGGACCACGGAATTTCCGAAGTTCCAGCGTCAACAACTACAGGCCGGCTCTGGAGTCTCTTTTCCGTCAGATCTGGAGACCTGGCTCATCAGCCAGAGTGTCAGCTTACCGAACGAGCCTTGGGACAATGATCCAAGTATAACTATGAGATTGGAGTCAGTGTCATCAAATCCATCGTTACCTATGCATTCACACGAGCTTGCGCAGCCACTGCCGCAAGCTTACGCGCATGGATTTCCGACATGTACCACTGAGACGCTTCCTATCGACCAGTGGAACGACTCAGGCTCAAGTCCAACCGATTCGTGGGATAGCGAAGCTATCGGCTATACAAGCTTGGACTTTACGAAAATGCTTCCGCACGAGAACCCTGTTTACAAATCCGCATCGATCAATAGTAGAAAGGATTTGCGATGCTGGGACCACGGATGTCAGGGTCGAGCTTTCTCCTCAAGAAGCAATCTTAGGCGTCATCAAAGAGAGCAAGATGCCCGCGTCAAGCTACTCCCCTGCCCGTTCTGCGGCACTAACTTCTATAGGAAATGGACGAGAGACCAGCACGTGGCTCGTATGAGCTGCAAAAAGTCAGACAGATATATTCTTGCTCTAGAGGCTTACTTGTCGAGGTTGACACATGATCATGGTCTGATGACATCTGCCAACTTCCATAATACTGCTGTCGCAAGTCAAGAATAGCACCAAAGAGAAAATTGAACAATGTCACCCCATTAGCTTCCGCACGATTTGTAGGGAAGAAACGACTTCAGGTCGAAGTTTAATGTCGCCAATTTCTCAGCGTAGCTTAGGGTCACCCGCTGCCTGTGTATGGCTAATGATCATTCCATGAAGGCATGCAAACTTTGAGGTAGCAGATCATTGCTAAAATCCTCAGGACGGCTCCCTCACCGAGGCTGCTGATTCCGCAAGATTCTGGCTGGCTAGGAAAAGGTTTCAGCGACCGTTGATCCCGAACGGGATCGATGTGGACGACCGAGTCTGTCAGCCAAATTGAGTAAGCTCTCTGCAGACGTCTCACGTTCGACCCCGAGACTCGTTCATCAGAATGACTCTTCTAAGATTTTGTGATCATCGGTATCTCTTTCTCATGGGATCAGAGAGGCCTCATATAAAGGGCAGACGTTTATCGACGAGCCGCTATCTCGCCGACCTCCAGCGGTGACCGAATCAGGCCTGGGTACCCGGAGTTTACCCGATGTTCTCCAACGCTTATCCCATCCTCCCTCGTCACCTCATCCTTGTCTTACGTACATCATCCTCCAATATTCTCCCATCTCCTAAAGCTTTAAAAATGGTCACAGCCCAGAGCTCTCCCTCAATGCTATCGGACCCAAACTTCTACATCCGAACCTCTCGTCTGATTCTCCTACCCACTCCCTTGGCCATAAAATGCCTCGCTTACAGGGAACTATACTCTTCCCTTCATCGAAACCCTGAATTTACATCGATGGCTTTTGGGGCATCTTGGGGAATCAAGGATTGGGATGTCGATTCCATCGTTTTCATCATCTCACGCGAAGTACAGAATTCATGGTGGAAGAGAGGGATGGGAGATTTTGCTATTGGGTTACGCGATGACATGTCGGACTTACCAAAGACGAAAGAGACTGGCGAAGGTTTATGGCAGGAGGTGGAAGTTGATGATGTGGAGGCTTTTGATCATGTTTATTGGATAGGTTATGTGGGTCTTAGAGATGCGACGACGACGTCTATGCCCAACGAGGAAACTTCTGTTCCTAGCGAGCGGGATTGGAAAGAGATGATTGAATTGAGATATGGATTCCATCCTGATTTTTGGGGCAAGGGATATGGAACTGAAGCTGCGCGGGCGGTGATGAGATGGGGAGAGACTAGCAGGGGAGCCGAGCGGTTCATTGCAGAAACCGAGAAAGCGAATGTTGGCAGTGGAAAGGTACTGAGCAAGCTAGGATTTTCGGGTGTGGGAGACGAGATTATCTGGGGTATGGAGGGGACCAAGGAATGGAAGAGATGGGCTGGAAAGTAAGATGGGGACTTGTCGTTCGAGAACTGCTTCAGTATTTCGCAACTTCATTACCGCGACTTCACGTTCTGAATGGTCCTGCTCCAGATGAACCAAGCATTTCGAACCACATTTTCAACGTACACCTGATGGAAGCGGATGCTCTGCAGATCGTCGCGTGCGACGTAGATGGACTGGTTTGCAAGCGTTTCCGTCTGCTTTGTTGGACAAAAGGCGGCGGGCTCTGTAAATTCAAACACTGCAATGAACTTTGTATCCGAAACGACGCTGCCAAAGCCCTAAACTCCAGGTACCTCAAGATCTAGCCCGAGTAGACACGTAGTCCATGCATGAGGCACGCCAGGTCCTATTCATTCGATGGTCTTTCAAAATAAAACGTAGATTCGACTGCCAAGTTCTGCGAGGGCAAAACCTTCGAGTTGGTGGATATCTTCGACAAATTTCCGCTTGCCATGCCCGGAGATGCTCGAGAACATGTGAACATGTCTGGACATAGTGCTCTCGGTCGAAAACAGGACAGACCCTGAGGACCACAACCATGGCTTGCTTGAGTCTGCTCGACGACCTGACCCCGTCCGGTAAACGGCAGCTACGACTATATCGAAGAGGTCGAACAAAAGATTGCGGACTTTCATGCGACTTAGGACCGCAAGTCGTTGTTAATTCAGGATGGGAGGGCACTGTCTCAATTTATCCAGCCATTCCGCGACCTGGCAATGTAATCTCATATGACGAGTACCTAGGTCCACGCCAGCACGCATGCTGGTACGACGCATACTTTGAGCCTCATAGGGCCCCGGTTTCGTCACAACGACCCAGACTCACTCCTGATTGTCTGGTTCACGGCTCTAGACTCTGAGTCAGTAGTTAGAGACACATCACACTCCATCCTGATATCTGTCGAGTGGGTCTATAGTATGGATGGCGAAGTATGCCCTGTCATCGAATTTCTCGACATCGCTAAGGAGTAGTGCCCACAGCGCCAATTTGTCTTTGTGATTGACGAAGCACATGCTACAGACATCATCGGCCCTAATGGCTCCGGACCTGTCAATGCATTAGGCCTTGAAAAGAGGTTACGATATGGCTACACACCTGCGAGAAGACTTCAGGTTCCACTGGAGCCGATGAACTATCGGCGTTGTCTCTCACAAGAGTTTGCTGACTATTGCTCCGAGCTGTTATACAGTCAGGGCTTGAAAGCTCCATGGTCTTCGTCTTCAGCACGCGGATCAGCTCTCGCAAGTATACTGCCTTTCATGGTGGTGCGGTTGCAAGAAGGGAGAAACCGATTGAGACGATGCGGGGTTATTTTGTACGAGAGGACCTGGACCCCTCAATGTTCGTCCCGCCAATTGTGTTCCTTGATCCCGGACGTTTGGGACCTCAATCGCGCGCTAGTCAATATTCGCAACTTCAGGAAGGGGTCCATGCATCTGCGGGCACATTCACGGTCTCAATCCCACGCAACGGCCAACGTCCAGGACAACGACCGTGCATTTCATCGTTTTAGATGTTTCCAAGCACCAAATCGGGAGTGCGCGAAGCCTAAGGAAATCCAATAACAGAATATATATGAGTACGGTCTGTCTGCAGCGCTCAAGTCTGCTTGACGATCGTTTGTCGCACCCGATTAACTCCATGAAGTCGTCTCCTTCTACCTATGGCATAATAGCCTGCTTTGTTTTGCTCGTCTATTACATCTTCTCAGGAGGACCAGCTACTGAAATCGCGATAAAATCGATGTTTCGTCGACCAGGACTCAGCGTAACCGTGGTCATGGCCTCTCAAGTCAACGAAGACACCTCTTGGCTGCAAAGACTTTTTCCTTTTTGGAAGCATGAAATCTACATCACCGATCCTCCTGGTACAAACAGCTCCTTGATCTCAGTCAAAGGCTTGGAGAGTATGGTGTATCTGACTTACATAATCGACAACTACGAAGTTCTTCCGGATGTTGTAATTTTCACCCACGGTGGACGCTATCGCTGGCACCACGACGATCCTCTCTATGACAATGCTCGAGTACTGTCGAGACTCCAGATACCGTACGTGCAAGAGCAAGGATATGTCAACCTGCGCTGCGTATGGACGGTAGGATGCCCTGCAGAGATACACATAAACCGCAAAGGCGGGGATAAAGACCTCGCAAACGGCGGTCCACTCCCTGGAGCTGTTTACGCAGCTGCGTTTCACGAGCTATTTCCTGGACGAGATCTCCCATCCCGAGTCGGTACCAGTTGCTGCGCAAATTTTGCTGCTGCCAAATCCGCGATCGTTGCGAGACCCCGTCAAGACTACGAGAGATATCGGCGATGGTTAGTGGATACTGATCTAGATAGTTCTGCCGGCGCCAAGGTACTCGAATACTCATGGCACAGTAAGTGGTCTACTGTATCGTGGAGCACAATTGCAGGATACAAGACTGACTAGGACAGTTATATTCGGAAAGGAGGCCGCTTTTTGCCCCCTTGCAAGGCAGTGCTACTGTAAGGTCTTTGGAATGTGCAACATCCCATTGGAAGGTCCAGGCACATCTAAAGCGATGTACAGTCTTCCAAAATTTGCGACGTTACCAGATGGATGGCCCTGGGTGGGTTGGGACAATCAATGGCAGAACGCTACCTCCGTTGGTTATATTCCTGGTGAGGAACTCATTGACTCGCTACCGACTGCACTTTGGTAGACTCAACGTCGACGGAGGCACCTGGATGGAACGCAATTTTTTTTATCGAATATCTGATCCAAGCAGCAGTGTCCTCTGGGACATCAAAAATCAAGATGTCTCTCACGCAGGTTCTGCAGCAGCTCTAATTGGAGGTCTTGGCGATTGAAAGAGAAAAAGCAACGCAGATGTCTTTTACATTGATTTGAGTAAACCTGGAAGAAGCGATAGCAGCAGAACTAAAACTAACTAAATCTGCCAGACCTCAGGCATATCCAGTGTAGCAGACCTATGAACTGATATGTCCTTTATGAACCGATATGTCCAACCCATAGGTCTTCGCCAAAGTCTCCGAAGCCTCAGAGATGTATTCAACATCCCTTATAGGGAACCACATTTTTCCACCAGGAATCTCAAACAGAAGCCGTACGTGTTAGAGATGAGGAGTACAAGTCGACCACTCGGCTAGAAACTCGGCCATTATGGTCACAGTCTCTTCATCGGTACGTATAGAGTGAGCCAACGAATTAGACACATCGACATTGTAGTCCCAAGGGATCTCCCAAGACATGAAACGATGGAAGATGGACATCAACGTCCTGACCAAGCATACCAAGAGGGTCCTCGAAATCAGCCTCATTATCTACGTGTTGGAGCCTTGACAGACAAAGCAGAAGGAGTCCAGTCCAGGCGCTGAGCACACCGTTACCGGGATCTTGGAGCCATAGATCCAGATTTCGACCTCTCAAGATCAGTTTTTGATGGAGGAGGTCGCGTATACGGAGGCAGTCATCCTGTGCGAGACCAGTCTGTCCTGGCTGAGTTCAGATAGAGCGAGACACGGGACCAACGAGACGAAGGCTTGCACAAATCCAGTCAGTGAAGAAGAGTGCAAGACAGTCCTGACAAGATGATACAGTTATGGAATGTTGAATTTCGACTCATGTATCGGTTTGAGACATGATGATGCCCCCCGGAAGCGTGGTTCGCATTTCTTTCGTGCGTCACACGAACCACAAATTTCGCAGGGACAGGGAAGTGGATGCGTGTTCCCATGCGAGCCAATACTGCATATCGATCGTGGTCGTCGCCATATAAGCTCGATGTTTCTGTAGACTAGTGGTGCGAAGAATGAAATCCACGCTGTTGATACAAGAGCACAGGCCGCGAGACACGACTTGAGTAATTCAGTGAAGAACCGATCAGGAATTCTGAGAGGAAGCTCCACCAATCCAGCCATGTCTTGTGACTCTTTCTAAGAGTCAGTCTGTCATATGCAGAGAAGAAGTGCAAGTTGAGTTCGACATAGTTCTGGAAAAAGTGAAGATTTGCAATGGTCACGAGTCGTTGGTGGGCGAAGCGCGGTGGGCCTATAACACGGGACCTCATAATTCGGCCATCCGCGCGTGTTCAATCTTGGGTTTTTTAGCATGGGGATTCCGGATACTGAACCTCGTTTAACACGAGTTCTTGTGCTCGATGATCTCAAACGCGCTTCGCTTCGACGCGAGAACGATCGCCACTTCGCTCAGACATTGTACATCCCCTCCAAGTCCATCACGTGATTAAAAGAGGCGACGTCAGACTTCAATTGGCCGTGAGTGCGAGGAAACGTTGGAAGATTGTCAGAAAGGAGGTAGTACTCACGTCGAAGATGTCAGTCTCAAGCCAACTTGATGCCGAAGCGTCGTCCTCAGCTTGTGTCAGTGGCGCAGGTTGCGGTACATCCTGCGGAGTGAGCAAAGGTTGGAAGCCTGCCAAAGTGTTCTTTTTGAAGACGTCCAAAAACTTTTGCGCGCACGAGTATTTGGCTGTTGCATGATCGCATTTGCCTAAGTGAACCTCGAGAAGCGATAAACAAGCACAAATCGTCACGTAGCACCAAGGCTCAACATTACTCGAGCGTAGACATTTGTCTCGCATGATGGGTAGACAGCACTCAATCAGGCCAATAGTGGATTCGGAACAGCTCATGATGACGTCTTGGGAACCTATAAATGTAAGCCTTACGGAATGACAACCTGATGTCTGACGATCCGCTTACTGGGTTGTTGTAACATGATGATGCGAGTAAGGCTCAGAGAAGCCAGTGATACATCCTCGCGAATTCAGGCCATGGAATGCTAGCCCTTGTCAGCGATCTGGAGATTCAAGAGAAGCATATCTCGAGACATATGGTGATAGATGTTTTCGGAGAGCCAAAACTTAGCAGTACCAGTTTGTATGTAGGGACGATGGATAGCAAGCACACACTCTTTGAGCTGACACTGTAGAATAGCGTTCGCAACGATGGACACATTGCTGTTGGGAGGTGAGCTCAAGACCGGAATGTCAGAGATAGCCTGCGTAAGTTCATGTGTATATCGTAAGACCTCGTCGTAAGCAAGCCTTTCCAGTTGAGTAGGATTAGACAAACTGCGAGAGATTTCGAGACGAAGTGGCCAAGTGCGAGCGCTTACTAACTGATACGAGGTACGGGTATACCGAGTCGTTGGGTACGATGAGAGACCGTCGGTGCGCGACTCGTCAAAGTCTTCATCGTCGGTATCGGCAGGCGCGGCAACATCAGTATGGAGGTTATGAAGCATACTCCGAAGTCTAAAATCGTATGCATTCTGCAGGTCAAGCTCACGAATGTGGACTCCATATTTCTATCTCGCAGACTACAGTTTGGCGAACGGCATGTCTTCCAAGCTTGCAGGCTACCTCTTCGTGTTCCTCAACACTGGCTCATTGGTTGGTCGCATCGCTGGAGGATTTCTCGCAGATCACCTCGGACAATTCAATGTCATCACTACAGCGTGTTACTGCTCTGCGATACTGCTCTTTAGCTGGCTCGCCATCACCTCCACTGGCGGCTTGATTGTCCTGGCATTACTTTTCGGAGCCTCCAGTGGCATCATCATTGCCCTTATGATGTCGACAATAGCACATATGGCCGATCATCCTAGCAAGGTAAATCTAGTCTCTGCAACATTTGATGACCGCTCGCTGACGAGTATCACAGATCGGCACGTACATCGACCAGTCGTGCTGCATTGTCGGATTTGCAGGGTCTGGCAGGTACACCCATCACTGGTGCTATCTTTGACAAAGGCACCGACTACTCGAGAGGGATCATCTTTAGTGCTGCTGTGATGATGGTCGGTGCCATCTTGACTTCGGTGGCCAGATACACTTTCGCAAAGGACAAGGTTGTCGCTTGATGTCAGTGTCTTGAGCCAGCTCATAGCTTTTGAGGGCAACTGAGATGTAGAGACGGGTTCAAGCGATTGATGCTGTGGCAGGGCGGCACGGGTCAAGGCCAGGGCGTGGGACGAGCAACCAGTCGCAGGGCTCTCCATCTAGTACTGAGGGACGCGAAACCATTGGAGAGTTGTATGCGATGACTGCTCGTTGGTACGTTTTACGTAGAAGAAATTTGGACGAGACTTCCACCCACAGCGCGAGTGTTTGTGAGTCCTTGAGGGGCGCAAGTAGATTGAAAGCGACTGTCTACTCTTGTACCAATTCCTTCAAGACTTCAGCAGCCGTGCGCTTGGGCGCATACAAGTCCAAAATCTCCTTGCTCGTGGTCTCCGCCTTGCACTTGCCTGCCCACATAGTCGTAGGTGCGTTCTTGATGGACAAGATGATGTTCTTTGACTGGTTGCTCTCCGAGGCCATGTAATCGATTCCAGACACATCCTTGAAAGCGACCTTATCCTTCTCGACCTTTGTGCCAATATGTTCCTCGACCAGCTGTACGATGTCGTTGCCGGTGATATCTTCGGGACCATTGAGAATGTATTTCTTGTTGTTGTGTGGTGTAACATCCTGCTGGGCGAGCAGGTGAGCAGCCACTCTGCCCACGTCATCAGAGTCGATAAGAGCGGTGGGTGTATCTGAGTCAACCATCATGCCTAGAGAGCCTTGCTCGCCGGTCTTTCGGTAGTTCTTGATGAAGTCGGCTGCTGACCACAAGAACATGGGAAGGAAGCCATTCGGCTGGAGGGATGTCCAGGCGAGATTTGTGAACTCCTGCGAGCCAAGTAATTGCTCAATAGCCCAATGTTGTCGGGGGTAATAGGCCAGGAAGTCAGGCTTGACATTGACGCCGGTCGTTGAGATACGAACAACGTACTTGACGTTGGCCAGTAGACAATTGACATAAAATTGACTCTCTTCTGCGAATTGGTTGGGTTCGTTGTGTGAGGCGATAAAGATGCGCTCAACATTGTGTTCTTGTAACCAGGCCGCATCGATTTCGACCCAGTTCTGCTCGGCCAGCTCAACACCAGGAAATTCTGCAAGCTTCTTGGCGGCTTCGCTGGATGACGAGCGAGTAAGGCAGAGGATGCGATGGTCGGCAAGAGAGTTTGTGTTCTTGATGAGCGAAGGAAGGGTTTCGGCCACTTTTTTGCCTGTGTTTCCCGTGGCGCCGACAATGAGGATGGTAGGAGCCATAGTTAACTGCTGCAGATCTGGAAATGATTTGGGATCAGGCGTGGGGAGAAGATGACAAAGGAGCACAAACGTGGGAGACAGTAGGGTCAGAAGCGTAAGAGAACTGCCTTTGCTGCGATACTTATATTTTGACTGCAATTCCTACCGGTCGTGTTCAACAATTTTTTGGCGTGACGTCAATGGCAGATAGAGCGATTGAGGGGTATGAAGGAGACTCGGAGGTTGACTTTCCTGATGCGGCTATGGATGAGTCTGAAGCCGAGTCGGGTCCCCGGATTGTCGGATAGCTGCACTCCCGGCCGGCCCGCTGGGTCTTGAGAACAGATAAACCTCCGCAATACCCACGACAATTCAGAACTTGAAGCAGTTCCGAACCTGCATCAGGACTGCATATCTGGAAATGCTGCGGCGAGTCGCAAGTAGCAGCGATAGTCAGTGCCGTTGAACGGGGATTCAAGCTCGAAGCTAGCTGCCACGATGTCGAACTGTTGTTGCTCGTAAAACTTGTCGTTCATGCGCTGCGAGGCTCCAATGGTCGATGCATATGTGTTGGCAGCATTCTCTACGTCCCAAGTCGGCAGCCAGTCCACTCCAACCGTCTGGTCCAACGAAAAGCGGTGGGTGCATCTACGACGAGCGTCACGCCAGGATAATCTTGCTCGCCGGCCCCTGCGAAAGTTGTTACATCGTCGTATCTGGACAACGCGGTAGGTCTGATGTCGTGGAAGTTCTTCTACAGTCTTTGGTACTGTGCATACTAGCCAATTGCTAGATATACAGAAGAGCCGACGAGATCCGATTGCCCTGGGGAGAACTTCGGGACAAGACCAAAAGGACTTCGACAACTCAAGGAATACCAGGTCATCAGCAAACTCTCGAATTGACGTCGATAACTTCGTGATCAAACAAGCTTGAGAAGGCTTCCTACTCATACGAGGTTGTTGCCATTATTGAAATGTTTCGGATGTATTGCCGTGCTGAGCGGGCTCGTGATCCCGTAATCGTGGACAAGGTTGTTCCTGCCGAAACTCAATAGTGACGCAACAGGGCTCATGGAGTGATTTTGTGTGGGGAGCATCTATTTTTATCGTTCACTGAGAGTCTATCTCACGAGACCCGCCATACTAAGCGGTCATTATGCTCTTGTTGCCACACAATCAGGATACGAGAAGGAAACGATGATATTTCCAGGTGCGCGACTTTGCTTCCGGGGCTACCGAGGTTGCAGCTTCGCATCATCGAGTAAGACATTGTCACACGCGGAGCAAGCAACGTCTGATGATCTGCACAAAGACTCCAAGTTCAAGTACGGAAATAGCAAAAGTTTGTAGACTAGGTTATTTTTGTCTCGTGGCAGTAAGGACTCAGTGCGATATATAAGAGGTTTTATACTTGCTCCTACTTCACCATCCAACACAATTCACTCTTCTCATCTCATCATCTCATCTGTCATCAACACTACTTCCCAAACCATTCAGCCATCTTCAGACAAAGCAAAACAGCCAATATGCTTTCCACTACCTTCACCATTGCTAGCGTCTTTGCTCTTGCATCCACCACCCTTGCTGGTACCGCAGGCATCAAGAACAACTGCGGTCAGGACGTCTTCCTTACTATCACTCATTCCGACCAAAGCCACTCTCAAATGAGCATCGCTGCCAACGGCGGCTACTTCAGCGAGCAGATCAATGGACAGGGAAACAGCTACGGCCTGACCAAGAACTCGGATTACTACTCTGCCAACACCCCTAAGTTGATCTGGGGTGCTTCAGACAGCGCCGGTACCATTTACTACTCTCTTAACACCGTCAATGGCAACCCTTTCGATGGACAGAGCGTCAGTCTCTCCGGTAACCAGCCTGGTTGTGCTACCATCACTTCACCTGACGGTTCGACCAAGGCTTGCACCGACAAAGCCGATTTCTACCTGCAGGTCTGCTAGATGGAGTTGTGTCGGAAAGAATGTCAGGAGATGGGAATCTGTATGATGAGCTTGGGACCTCGCGTGGAAGTACTGCGTGTCCGTTAATGTAATCAATTTCTTCAATTTATCTTCTTAGTGCCGTACAAGTACTTTGTCTGTTTTGCAACGCGATAGCCGTCGCTAGTCATTCTGCGGTGATTCGATCATAGCGTAAATCGACGACCATTAGACTTGAAAAGTAGAAAAGGCTGATTCGCTCACACAGTTGTCGATTCAGTTCCAAGCATACTTCAGAAGGTGTCCTACGTGTGTCTTGACCATGCGTACCGCAGTCACACTTTCTGCGGCGGCTTTCTCTGGAAGCGGTCGCCACGTTGTTCAGGCCAGTTGACCAGTTCCACTAACACGGCCATTCGGCATACTCGGAATTGTTACATCGAGAACGGTCGCATGAATTGTTCTTGAAGGCATGTCGCGATGGGTGGGTGACGTCACTTCGGGCTCTGACCAACATCGCCGAAACTTCTACCGGCAATCTCCTAATCACCCCGCCATGAGTCACTGGCAGCAATAAAGGCTGTGTTAATGTTTGCACGCATATATCGTAGACCTTGCAATCAGAGTAACAAACGCATGCGGATGAATGCTGAGTGATCAATTGCTTCGAACAAGTGTTGGGCTGGTGACATTCCCTGGCACACGAAAATTACTGGCGACAGCTCGACTGATAATGATTGGCAAACAAGGTACTTGTCCATCGTCGTATCAGATCTGATGTGATGGTGGACTAATGAACTTGAGAAGGAATATCAAGTGCGACATGGCAAGATCGATCGGTCGCCATGGAAGGCACACTGAACATGCGCGATCTCGGTGGGCTTCCCACGAATGACGGTCGTCACACTATCAAGAACCGTCTCTTTCGAAGTGCAGACCTCGCTCAACTCACCAGAAACGATGTACAGACACTGGAGCGGCTTGGTATAAGAACAGTCGTAGACTTGCGTGGTCCAAAAGAAGCTCTCGATCATCCCGACAACGTACCTGCAGGCACCACAATCGTCTCGAGTCCGATTATTGGAAGCAACACTGGTGACGAAATCAACGACACGACCATTCGGAATCTTGTTCTCGGGGCGGGACTTCCAGAAACAATGCTGGATGTCGCACAAGTGAGCCTACATGGACCTTACTACCGTATGCTGTTTCTTGTCAACAGTTATGGTACAGAAAGTCATACATCACGATTGACAAATTACCGTCCCTTCTTTCGCACCCTCATCGATCTGACGCCGGACGAAACCATCTTAGTACATTGCACTGGAGGACGCGACCGCACTGGCGTTGGTGTAGCACTATTGCTCAAAGCCCTTGGAGTCTCTTCGCAAGAGATCGAAGCCGATTTTGTCGCCTCAAACCATGCTCTCCAGCCCGATCGCGAAAATTCAGACTCCACAACTTTCCTCCAATTCCAATCTGCGAATGTATTTCTCCAACCACCAACAAACAGATACTATCAACAGGTTTCTAAGGAACTCGGGGCTTCCCCAGAATCCATCAGAAATGCCGTGAAATTGAAGGTGGACCTACTCAGACGCATGTTCACGTCCATAGATGCTCGATTTGGTTCCTTCTCCAATTTTCTTGTGAGTCAGCTGGGGGTCGGCCCGGAGGAACTGGATATTCTCAAAGGCAAACTCCTGACTTGACAAGGAGGTTCAGACGAGGTTTTCGATTCCTTGCGACTGACTTCGATGGCGCATCATACTATGAGATCTGTTAGAACGATGAACTTGATTGAGTATTTCGGGAGGTGATGCATGTAGTGATGTATAAAAGAAATGCTTCAGGTGTTTCGAGGATTTGAGAAGAAGCGCTTTGACCATGTCAGTCGCGATTGACGCGTATTCTCGTGTGCAAAATTCGATGTACAACGGGTCAGCGGGGTGGCCCCGACACACAATTTCATAGCAATTTCTATCTAATTACCCTTCCTACTACCTCAATTGAAGCTATATAATCAGCTGTATAGGCTTGTTAGAGGCGTAGCAGTTCAGGTCGTCGACGAGCAGATTTATACCGGATTCTAGCCTTATTTTAGCGTACTAGTACCCTCTTAACATACTCTCGCGATTATAAGGCTCGAAGACGAAGATAAGGACTTCGTCGAAGCTATATTTCGCGATAACTATACTATCGCAACTATATAGGAGGTGTTTCCTTATACCCCTCGCTCGTCGCTTAACCTACTTAGATATAACTTTAAATGCTTTAGCTCCGTAAGGAAGCCTGATTCTACTTATAAACTAAGAGGTCGCCCTCGTAAAATTACACCTCTAATGCGCGAGTAGCTTATCGAGCTACTCTCCTTTAGGAACGACCTCTAGTAAAAGGAGTTAACCTTTAAGCTCTAGTGTTAATTTAATATAGAAGTCGATAGATCGACCGTTAGTCGCCTCCTTATAGAAGAGGCCTTAACTAGTAAGGTTACTAGTCGGATTACTAAACGACGGGACGCTATATAATAGGGTTTATATTAAGAGACCCTTACTAACTTACTGCGCGAGGGTATTAACTTAGGTACTATCGACGATCTAGCCGAAATGCTGCTCTATTTAGACGAGTCTGCAGCTAGCGAGAAGGTACTATTTAGAAGGCGTGCCTAGTCTTAAATCGGTTAGCTAGCATTTATTAGATTAGAGCTATCGACGAAGACTCGCTATTTAGTACTTCCGGCATTAGATATTAATAGTTATCTGCCCGGATCGACATTAGTCGTCGAGGGAGCTATTACGTAGATTATATTCGAGCACTAGCTAGAAATAGCTATATTACCTCGTTACGAGCCGTTTCCTAGTAGACGAAGTGTCGTTATTATAGATAATTGCTCTACCTATCACTCTAAGAGGGTATATATTAAGAGGGTAGCAGAATCGGTTAAAATCTAATATTAGTATAGATTCGGGACATATACGAGTAGGCCGGTGTATACCTCTTATATCTGCTACCTTATTCGCTACACCTTAATCTAATCGAGCAGTCGTTCTACCTCTTAAAGCATTAGTTACGTTAGTATAGGGACCTCGCGCCGAGGTAATCGGATTATACGAACCTTAGAGTAGAGTATAAGTTAGCTTAGATTAAGCACTTAGAGTAAGCTACTTACGCCGCATTAGATAGGGAGGATATACGAGCACTATTTAGACATAGTTTAGTGCCTTATTAGAGCTTACCGTCGCTAGTATCTAACTAATGCTCGTCGTTAAGAAGGTTATCGTCGAAATTACTATCATCGCTCGAGGAACTATCGCTTAAGATTTCTTAAGCCCCGGAGGAGATAATTCTTAGTATAGTACTACTAGAAATTAGCTGCCGGGGAGCTACTAGTTAACTATCCTTATATGCCGAAATAAATTTTAATAGATAATTATATATTAGTATACGTAGACCGGTTTAAGGTATAACCCTCTCTAATTAACCTTTAGTGGCCTTAAATAGTATGGCTAAAGTCTAGAAGTTAGCATTAAGCGCTACTATCGCTCTATTAAGACCTATTTGCTATACCTTCGGACGAGTACTTTAAATAGAGGCCTTATATAAGGTCTAGAAGGCTAACTAGCCGGCGCCGTTATCGAGGTTAACTAGTATAGGACTAGTCGACTTCGCGTAAGGAGGTTAAGGGGTCTCGACCTCTTAAGACTACGCGGAAGGGTACGATCTAACGTAAAAGACCTAGGAGACTAATAGTAAGGCTTAAAGTAGGACCCCTTTACCCTTCTTCTTCTCTACTTACTAACGATCGTACTAAGTATTAAGTCTCTTATCGTCGCGCTTAATTAGCTTTATAATCGACCTTAGAGGGTTCTTAACGCTACTACCCTTACGGACGATTACCTCGTACTATCTAGTAGCGACGGAGTAAGTAATCTTGCGGTAGCGGCTCTTATATATAAAGTAAGTAATACTATATCGTAGTTTAACCTTACATTAGATAGGGTTAGGATAAACCTAGTAGGACCTTACCTCGTTCTAGAAGATGCCTCTAGTCTCTTAATAATTAGCGCTTACTTACTCGGAGCGCTCGTTTCGACGACCCTTACGTAAGCTTAAGGAAGGTGTCTTTTACTTAGGAATAGGCTCCGGAGTAAGAGGTCTCCGACCTTTAATAGTCTATATAGAATTAATAGTAATATAGATATCCTTTATATTAATCAAATAGTTAAGGCGAATAAGCTCTATAACTTACTACTAGTATAAGGGATTAAGTCGTTAAAGGGTAATAGAGCTCGTTTCCTTTAGTCTACGAAACGGAGTAGAAGTAATAATAGCTCGAATACTATAAGGTATATACCCTTTAATCTTATTATTACGACAAAAGCGTATAATAGGCTTATCTATATACTAGATAACTTCTGTCTACCCTATATTAGTATCGCGTATAAGGGTATCATTGTTAGATAAAGTTCGAAGTATCTATATAGTATAGAAATGTAGCTTATACTTTATAGGCGTTAGCAGAGGGGTTACTACCCTCTAAATGGTCGATTTTAATGTAGATCGCGTCGACGGCTTCTTCTCTTTACCTTTATGTCGCTTATCCTATAATTTAGTACTAATTAAAGAGGTAGTAGTTAGTCTTATAGGGGTAGAGGGCTAGAAGGTAGATTTTAAAGCGCACGGCTTTATAGGAGGCTTCGCTTGCGCCGGAGTCCGTATAGTAATACCTTTTATAGTATTTAATACCCTTATTCTTCCTAACGTGTTCGTAGCATCTAAAAGTGCTTTCCTGCTTTTTCTAGGAATAACTAAAGTTAGTTATAGTTATTAGGTAGCGATCTTACGTTTTTTAGTGTCCCTTAGCTTCGTCGGAAGCGCGTCTACTTACGCCTCTACTAGTCTTTTAGGAGGTACACTACGCGTAGATCGACGTAGATTTTTAGTAGATTAATCTATAGTACTATCCTCCTAGTGTACGCGCTTTGCCCTACGATTAGAGCGTAGTGTTACGTAGGTAGAGCGTAGTAGCGAAGATAAGGGAGATTCGTCGTTAGGCTTAGAAACTTCTCCTGTCGCGGCGGCAGCGATATTAGAGGTATCGGATTAATTTAAACCGTTTAGAAGAGTGTGCGCAGCACCGGATGAAGACATTATAGTACTTAGATTGACTTAATTCGATGTGGTTATAGTGTAGTATAATTAAAAGTCATGTAAACAACCCTCTCGGAGGTGTGGCTGGCCAACGCTCGAGCGCGTTGTACATCGAATTTTGCACACGAGAATATGTTTTCTTGGCCGAGTTTCGAATTGTTGCCCCTTGTTTCGCCACAAGAGTCTCCGAAGGACCCAGTCCTGTAAGGCTCGTCCAGTCTACTGGTGTTCGCCATGGACGAGGAAAGACGGGTAGTTGAGCCTCAGAGACCAGCCTTGCAAACCGCTCTCACCTTGGTCGTTCACCCACCGGAGTGCCCGCGCAATTTGCTGCGGGGTTCGGTGATCTCGTCTGTGGCTCCGACAGTTGTAGCAACATCCACGAGAATACCATGTTGCGGCAAATTCGGCTTCCAAGTCGTCTTGCGATCTGCGACTGACCCGCCGGAGCTTGGAGTCGCGTCACTCTGTCTACTCCGGTAGGTCGCGCATACATCATATGCTCATTGCCTCAAAAAGAAACTCCCAGCACTCTTCATCCATATCCTAGTCCACCTGCTTGCTTTGCCACGTTCGTCATTTGTCGTCGCAATGGCGTACCCTCAAATCACCTTCATCCACACCACTATTACGCCTAACACCTTACTGGGCCAGCGACGACAAGCAGCCTCAGCCAATACACTGCAGTACCAGCTCGATGTCCTCAAGAAGACTGGTCGTTATGATGCTTTCAAGCTGGAATGGCACCCAATATACGACCGTACTCCCGAGGTCTGGCCTATCCCTGACCATCTCTTCTGGGATTCTGATGTTGCAAAGTGGATCGAGGGTGCATGCTACTTTTTGCAGCAGCAAGCAATGCCAGAGATTTCCCAAGCTGTTGATGAACTGGTAAGCATGATTCGAAGCGCTCAGCAGTCAGATGGTTACCTCAACATACACTACACTGTTGTGGAGCCAGGGAAGCGCTTCACGAACCTCAAGGATATGCATGAACTCTACAACTGCGGTCATCTGATCGAAGCGGCCTTGGCACATAAAGCTCTCTATGGAAATGACCAGTTACTGAGTACAATATGCTCATACGTGGACCTTCTATGCAACACGTTTGGTCCTGGACCGGGACAGACTCATGGCTATCCTGGCCATCCTGAGATTGAACTTGCTCTTCTCCGCCTCTACGAGCAGACTCAGGTCGAACGCTACCTTTCGCTGGCACGATATTTTATCACCGAAAGAGGTAATCTGACTGGCTGTGATGGAAGACACTACTTCGATGTCGAGGCCGAACGGCGTGGAGCAGATCCAAACATGAAACCTGCTTTCTATCCTGAACCTCGCTCTCTGTGGTATCATCAAGCGCATGCGTCAATCGCTGAGCAGCAAACTATCGAAGGCCATTCGGTCCGTGCCATGTACCTCTTGACGAGCGTTGCCGATCTCTTTCGTCTCGAGGAGGGTCACTCTGATCTGGAAGCCGCGACATACAGGTTATGGAATAACATGGTGAATCAGAAGATGTACTCGACTGGCGGTATCGGTGCCATCAAGCAATGGGAAGGATTTGGCCTCGATTATTTCTTGCCACAAGGTACGGCAGAGGGAGGCTGTTACTCAGAAACATGTGCTGCAATCGGTGTCATGATGCTGGCCCAGAGATTACTGCAGACCGACCTTGATGGTAGATTTACTGATATTATGGAACTCTGCTTGTACAATGCCGTTCTGACTGCCATGTCGATTGATGGTAAGAAGTTTACATATGTCAATCAGCTTGCTTCAAGCGTCAAGGACTTGTCGGAACGCGATGATTGGTTCACTGTTGCGTGTTGTCCGGTATGTTTGACCGTCTATCCTTGTGAAACAAGCTGACAAGCTGCGTACAACAGCCAAACATGTTACGACTGTTGGGAACGATCGGAGGATATATTTGGAGCTTTGACACGGATAGCGACAACAGAACTGCCCAGATCGACGTGCATCTTTACGTGGGCGCCAAGCTTGTCTTTGATTGCGGTCAGAGCCAAGTCATACTTGAGCAAGAGACAAATTGGCCGCTTTCTGGAGATGTGAGATTCAAGCTGCATTCGGAGACCATTGATGTGGCCATTCGCCTAAGGATACCCGGCTGGGCCAAGTCATGGAAGGTATAAAAGCCTGGTACACGGCCTTGGTATAACCACGCTGACTCTACTCAGATCACGCCCCAACTACCAGGTGCCGACTTGAACAAGGGATACGTCACGATCACTTCCCACTGGCTCAAGCAAAATCCCGATTTCACTCTTTCCGTCGCTTTTGAGCCTCGGATATTATTCTCTCATCCCCTTTCGAACACAAATACTGTCACCATTGCGAGAGGTCCCGTTGTATATTGCGTGGAGGACATCGACAACGATTGGGTGCAGGACCACTTCGCAGTAAGTCGTCCAAATCGGGTAATTCGTCTGTCCTGACTGACGAGTACACAGAGCGTATTGTTGAGTCCCGCTTGCGAGATAGCTGAGAAGCACATCCAAGGTTCGGACATGGGAGATTCGTATGTCGCCTTGACTGTCACAAAAGGCGCTTCGCTTTTAGATGCCAGCGCCAGGGAGGCAACGCCGTTCTTGAGCGAGGATGGTCTTATGGCTGGCAAAGCACTACAAGATCTCACCTTTGTTCCTTACTACTTCCGCGCGAACAGAGGTGGCAGGGGACAAATGCGTGTAGGGCTCAAGAAGGCTACCTGATCACAGGCTGCGGTATTTGTCCGTCAACAAGACACAAACCCCAATCGCGTGTGGCGCTGATGGTCCGTCTGATTGATCATGTGTATACCATGGTAAAGATACTCTACAATTGACTACACTCCCCGCGAACCCGCCTTCTTGTGTCATTACAGAGCCATCTCTCAATCTGTCAAGTTCGATTAATCTCGTATCGAATTGAGCTGGCCCTGGCCGTTGCGCCACCTCGGCAAATCGAAAAGTCGAACCAGACTTCCGGAGGGGTCATCGTGCTCTTTCCAGATCCCGTGCCCTTCCCCGCTTCCAGCTTTCCAGAGGGATGTGCAATTTTGTCTACCCCTCGCAACCCGAACACTTCGTTTTTGTCCCCCTTCGGAGTGACCATCGAAGTCCGGACACATGCCTGACGTAGTCACCGCAGGCAAATCCTTGTCCTGTCAGATATGCAACAAGAGCTTCGGACGTTCTGAGCATCTCAAACGCCACGTCTTGACTCACACGCGCTCTCGGGAGCATCAGTGCCGAGTGTGTCGCAAATCCTTCTTCCGCAAGTGAGTCTTGTGGTCCTCAGATCGAATAAGCATATGCTCATTCCAAGACAGAGACGCTCTGTCCCGGCATGAGTACACCCATCGGACTTCAGGACCGAATCTTCTGCGACGCGGTGGTAGGGCTTGTATTCCTTGCGCCTCCTCAAAGACTCGGTGTTCGGGGGACGTTCCGTGTGTTAGATGTCAGCAGCGGTCCTTGCAATGCGTACATCCTGTAGCGTCTCTCAATCAGGATGACAGTGCTATGGACAGCGAGGATACCATCCAGATAGACCGGGGCACGCCCTGCTCGACTTTCGGTATGAATCGCTGGCTCCAAATTCGTGAACAGTGCTGACCCTCCAAACTAGCACCTCCAATCAGTGACGATGCATCGCAACCTTTCGCAGGCGATCATCTCAATCAAGCGCCGCAGTCACTGGACCAGATTTCCGATCATCAAGTCTCGTTGCTTCCGACAGATCAAATGCTGTTCCCTGTGCCAAGCCTGTCTGCAATGCATATAACAACAATGCCTTACGAACAACCGACACATATCCCACTGGCTGCCACAGGTCATTACCATGACTCTTCAAGAGTCGATTTACATCCATTTGTGCCTATCAACTACGCAACAGTCAACTGGCTTGGATTCGAAGATGCGAACGAAGTATCGGGGTTGCCAGATGGACAATGGCCGTACCCTGATTGTCTCTTCGAGTTCGACATAACAGGTAATGATAGTCACAATTTCTCACAGATATCGCAAGTGCCTACTGCTCTGCGGACTGCAGAGTATGCAACGAATCATCCCTCGGCTCAACTTGGTCAGGTACCATTGACTCTGTGCGGAGTCGCCACTGGAAGTACAATTAGCACGGACGAAGCAAGTGCGACTCCTGGCGAGTTCTATGCCGATGGCGGTACTGCTCGACTACCAAGGATGCGTAAGAGAAGAGCGATGTCTATTTACACAACTCACGAGCACACCAAGGAATCTTTCTCCTTGGCTCTCCCGTCAGATTTCTCTTTTTCCGCTGCAAATCAGAAGTGGATCGAAGCTCAAGCTCAAGCTGATCTGGAGAATTACTTTTCCATGCTTTGTGCATCAAGTATAATCCCTTTCGCACCATTCGAGAGCGCCGTCTTCCCCACGAAAGAATTGCTCGGTCATCTATGTACGCTCTTCGTGGACCACTGCGGTCAAATTCTTCCGTTTCTCCATTTCCCGACTTGGAGGCTGCGAAAGCAACATCCCTTGCTCGTCTTGGCTATGGCAGCAATGGGGAGCCACTATCTGAAGGATATGAACGCCACCAGGTTCGTACCCTCAATGTACGAATTTACACGACGGGTTCTTTTCTTTGCTGCTGAGTCACCGGGTTTGTTTGGTATCGATAGCAGGACATACCATCAGGTTATCCTATTGTATGTTGTTGGGGCAGCGTATTGTGGAGATGATTCGCTCAAAGAACATGCTATTAGCCTTCGCTCCAAGCTCGCATCCTTGTTTTTCATCTCTCACGTGGACAGCAAAGACACGGATCAAGCAACGATCGATCCCACGAATCATGACTGGTGTCGTTGGGTAGACCGTGAATGTTCCCTCCGCCTGAGATACTGCACATGGCTCGTCGATTATCTTTTATCGTGCCAATTTCAGGTCAGACCATGTCTCTCACTCAGCGACGCAAAGATGCCCTTGCCTGCCGAAGAGGATATGTGGATCGCTGCTAATACCTCAGAGTGGTCGCAACTTGCAATCGGCAAAGAGCTACTACCAGAGCTTGTCGTTTGCGTGGACGAGTTGTACATGTCAAAGTTGTTAAGAGCACATGTTGGGGAATTCGCGCGTATATTGCTTATCTATGGACTCCATCGCCGTCTCGCCGAAGTCGAATTATACTACGCACAAAGATTATCTCATTGGACACCGGGTACATTCGATCGACCAGGGGGTACGACCCTACCAAGTCTGCCTATCTGGCCTCCAGCGCTGCCCATCTTCAAGCAATGGCAGAATCTCACCTGCGATAGTTTGGATGTCCTCCACTGGGCGGCTAACGCGACCATTGGGAAAGCTAGTGGCTTTGAACATACAACAGTCTTGCATCTGCACCTTGCGCGAGTCCTACTGCTGACCCCAATTAGAGAGATTGTCGACCTTGCTCGATATCTTGCGGGTGAGAGAAGCTTGAAGTCTGAGGCCGAGATCATGACGGATCGCCAAGTCGTACATAAATGGGCTGTACAGCACCAGTATAAGGCACGACTGGCAGCCATTCATGCCGGTGTACTGTTCTGGCATGTCAGAAGATTCTCGGCGAACGCTTTCTATGAGCCAACCGCCGTCGCTCACGCGACACTCGTGCTCTGGGCCTTCAGCGCTTTCTCTTCCAAGTCAGCAAGGTCTCTTGATAATTCAAGGAACGAGCTTGTACAATCGACACCCGTGCCCAATGACATGCACGCGAGTCACGACAGCTCGGACAGCGAAAGTTCCTCCGACACCATTATTTTGCTCGACCGCCCAGCCGACGATGAAATCGTACAAGAGTTCGTGATGAACGGTCCTCGTATGCGGGCCAACATGACTGGGGTAGGCGATTTGTACGGCGAGAAGGGTCCGGAGCGCGTGCTCAGAGAAGGCTCGAAGATTCTCCAGACATTGGACAATTGGCGAGTTCGTGAGTCGTGGGCCAAATTACTAGATAAACTAATTGGTGTGTGTAAACGTGAAAGGAGGAAGGCTAGAGAGGTCTCTGGGCGTGGTCGTGTGGCAAGGAATGTTCCAAGCACCAGATCTGAGGGTGAAAACTAGCAATGAAATCGTGCTGTCGCCCAACATAAAGTGCTTTGGTTATCATCAAATGATCTCTGGGGTCAATCTTCCGAAGAGGTCGTAGATGTTCTGGACCACAAATTGCCGGCGAGATCAGATCGAACTTGCTGGAACATCCTTCTCCGAAGGGATCCCGGAGGGGTATGTCAGATCGAGACTGGACGCCCCAAAATCAGGATGTACGTTCCGATGCGGGGAAGCAGCAACACGAACCACTTTGCAACGGCGAACCGCTCATCCTACTACAAACCCGACATGAGGGTTGTGCCACGTTCTCATTCCCACGCACACCACATGAAGCCTTCCGGGGGGTTGATCAGCCTTGCGCTATAAGAACATACGAGTAGTATCTGGGGAAAGAATCACCACCAGCACCAGCACCATCGTCTCATCAACTTGAAGCTTATCGCAGTCATGGCTACCCACGGAAGCGTTACTCACGAACCTGCAAATTTCGTCTCTACCAATATGGACACCTCGCAATTCCAAGCGTTGCTCTCCCAGGCGCAAGCCAGTGCCGACGCCGACTCACGACTGACTGTCATGCAAGCCCTCAAGAAGCACAAGAAAGCGGTATTCTGGGCCATGATTTTGTCAACAAGTCTGATTATGGAAGGCTACGACTTGGTCATCGTGAGTTGGATTTGGGCTGTAATCCTGACCGCGGATGACCGCTGACGAGTTTCGACAGATCAACTCTTTCTATGGTCAACCACAGTTTCAGCGAAGGTTTGGGGAGCAAGTCGGCCCTGACAAATGGGCCATCTCAGCTGCATGGCAATCTGGCCTGTCAAACTCAGCTGTGGTCGGTCAGCTGATCGGTCTTGTACTGAACTCGGACTTCCAAGACCGCTTTGGATCTCGGAAGACCATGATGTTTTTCATGGTGTGGCTGATTGGAGCCATCTTCATTCCATTTTTTGCTCCTTCTCTGCCAGTCCTTGCTGTCGGCGAAGCTCTTTGCGGTATACCTTGGGGCGTCTTCCAGGTTTGTGGTTCCGCTTATGTATCATTCGTGATCTGGACTGACTGGCTGTCATGCAGACACTCTCAACTTCTTACGCTTCCGAAGTCGTCCCCACCGTGCTGCGACCCTACGTAACTGCATACGTCTGTATGTGCTGGGGCGCAGGTATTTTACTGTCGTCAGGTGTCGCTCGTGCCTGCATCACTCTCACCGGAGACATCGCTTGGCGTCTGCCCTTCGCATTGCAGTGGACTTGGCCCGTACCTCTTTTCATTCTGGCATACTTTGCTCCTGAATCTCCTTGGAACGCCGTTCGACGACAGAAACTTGAAGTTGCTAGAAAGAGTCTCGAGCGTCTCATCGGCCAAGGTCCTGATCATGCTCACGAGGTGGACTGTAGTCTTGCTTATATCATATACACCAACGACCAAGAACAAGCTGAGACAGAAGGGGCCAGACTGACTGATTGTTTCCGAGGAACTAATCTTCGTCGAACTGAGATTGTGAGACCGGTGTTCCAATCATTTGCTGTCATACCCCTGCTGATACGTTTTTAGAACTGTGTTGTTTGGGCCGCTCAGATCCTTTGCGGCAACGCCATTCTGGGATACAGTGTTGTCTTTCTGGAAGCTGCCGGGTTCAGTCCCGTTGCGGCACTCGACCTCAATATCGGTCTTTCCGCTTGCTACATCATTGGTGGTATGATCTGCTGGCTCTTGTTCCCTCGCTTCGGAAGAGCAACGATCTACATGAGTGGTCTGACCTTTATGTTCTTCTGTCTTGTTGCAATTGGCGGCCTTGGCTTCACCACCAGCAAGCACGCAGAACTGGCCATCGGTATTCTTCTCATCATATCCACTCTGGCCAACATGATCACGATTGGTCCAGTATGCTACCCAATTGTGGCTGAAACGCCTTCGGGAAGACTTCGTTACAAGACAATCACGATCGGAAGATTCGTGTATAATCTGACCGGTATCTTCTCGAACAGTGTCACCCCTCGCATGATTTCAGCAAGTGGTATGTGGCACACGCTGTTTTGACAAGGAACAACTGTATGAGCTAACTCTATCGCTTCCAGCATGGAATTGGGGCGCGAAAGCAGGCTTCTTCTACGCCGGCACCAACTTGCTATGCAATGTTTGGTGCTGGTTCCGCCTGCCAGAAACAAAGGATCGTAGCTTTGGTGAAATCGACCTATTATTCGAACACAAGGTCCCTGCCAGGAAATTCAGAACTACAGAAGCCGATCGTGAGTATTATCTGTTGTACTCAAGCCTTTTGAGCAGTATGTACTGATTCGTGTTCACGCAGAATTTGCGACCAGCCAGATGATCCTCGAGATCAAGGAGAAGGAGGCAGCTGTCCACGTGGAGAGCGTATAAGGAGTAAGGGTGCTGTTGCTTAAATCTATGATTGGTAGCGATGGCAAACGCGCTTGGTGACCTAGTCTGCACAAATTCATGCGCTGCTCGACTCTGTACCTTGGTAGCCAAATCAATGACATTATCTCTATTCTCATACATGCTTCCATGTTGTAATGATAATCATAGGCGTGATGATGGCGGATGGTTGCATTTTCCCGACCCGCTCAGAGTCTGAAGCTTGATTCAGCAGGGCCCTGTCACAAGTCCAGGCACAGCTCGAAATCTACACGAACAACACTTCGGATCGGAATATCCTTTGCCTCAGCGTTCGGTGCGAGTGTTGCTCCGCACTGAGCTGCGAAACGCCCGGAAAATTTTGGTAGTGCAAATGTTGACTAAACATCGTCGTTCGAGATTGATGACTCAACAGTGATTTCCAAGCAAACACTCGTGCGACTGAGTGGTCAGTCCACTATAAGAGCGCGATGGAACACGATAGAGAATCATCAACAACATCAGTCTACAAACTCCATCACACACACTAAACACGTCCTCAAGATGTCAGATTCTCTTGTCTTCATCACTGGCGCGACCGGCTTCATCGGCGCTCAGGTTGCTCAATCCACACTCGAAGGCGGCCACAATGTCAGACTGAGCGTGAGACGCGAATCACAAATCGGAAAGCTCCGTCGCATCTTCGACAAATTTGCCGAAAAAGTCGACTATGTTGTCGTGCCTGACTATACAATTGCAAGCGCATTCGATACGGCTCTCAAGGACGTTACTCACGTTATTCACGTGGCCTCTCCACTTGCAAATCCTGGGGAAGATCTCATGACCCCTGCTGTCAAGGGTACCACATCAGTCTTGGAATCGGCCTATAATGTACCTTCTATCAAGAAGGTCGTCATCACCGCGTCAGTGGCTTCGTTGATTCCTCTTGGTGGTAGTTACGATGGTGTCGTCGTCAGAGGTATGTATCACAGATATCGTGGTTGATCAGAAATTGATAGCTGACCATCTTCAGAGGACATCGAAAAGGAAAAGCTCCGATTTGATGAATCGATTGTCCCGACCCTCGAGCCTATGGGTCAATACCAAGCAAGCAAGATTGCATCGTATCTGGCCACTCTGGACTTCATCGAGGCCAAGAAGCCTCATTTTGATATTGTCACAATCCATCCTGTGTTCGTTTTTGGAAACAACATACTCCAGACAAGCGCCGAAGAACTTGCTGGAACTAATGGTATGCTTTTCGGCTCTCTATACGCCGAGAAGCCGATGTTCGCCCCGTACCGTGGTGTGCACGTCCTGGATGTTGCAGAAGCTCATGTCAGGGCTCTGGGCTTGCCTCAGGCACCAATCTCATCGTTCTTGTTGACCGGAAAGGACAGGTCTTGGGAAGATGTACTCAAATTTGTGAACATCGAGTTCAGTAATGCGGGAGTCAAAGTCGAAGCTACTGCTGGCGAGAAGTGGAATGTCGATACCACTCTTGCAGAGAAGGCGCTGGGCTTCGAGAAATGGAGGGAGATGGAAGAACAGGTTAGAGATGTTATGGTACAGCAGCTCAAGCTGCGCAGTACGTGATACGAGAGATAATATGTAAGAACTAGATAGGGAATTCCCGCCTCTAACTGAGAGTGCATATACTAAATGTGCCCAATGTAAATATTAAGGGAGAAGAAGCAGAACTGCGATTTGTCTGCTCGAGTAATCAGACTGGAAACTAGCCACATCAGCACCAATTCAGAATGATGCTCTCGTCCAATGCTTCAGTAAGCATAGGCCAATTCTGTGTAAGTTCCGCCGGCTCTGTTCTTCTTGTTGGTACGCACAAGCCAAATCTTCATTCCCCAGGCGCAAGCGACAGTACCCACAGCAAATGCGGTGTTGGCTGACATGGCAGTCAGGTAGCGCGGTCCATCACTCTTGGGGTACAGGTAGGGCGTATAGATATACGAAGCATTAGCGACCACATTGACAATCGACAACGAGATACCCTTCTTCTCCGTAGTCTGACCGAGTGTCGCAGAAACCCAACCGAGGATAACGGAGTTCACCGCATAAGCACCGGATGCGAATAAGAAGCAGGAGACGTATCGAGCAGCGGTATTGAGGGTGACGCAGGAGATGATGAAGCCGATGGCAGCGACACCCATGGAGAGTGTGATGTGCCAGGTTCGCTCGTTCATCTTACCAGATGTTAGACCGACGACAATACCGGCAATACCGGAGACGAGGTAAGGAGGGCAAGTCAAGATCAAAGTCAGCGTACGGTCGAAGCCAAGACTACCGACGACGGTGGGGAAGAAGTTATTGAAGCCACAGGCGCTGAGATGGAGATTCTGCATCAAGCAGAACAGGTAGAGACGGGGATCACGAATGGCTTGCATAAAACCAGCTCGTGCTCCGCGGTTCTCCTCCATACCAACTGTGTCACGCTGAATACGCTCGTGGGCCAATGCTCGCTCTTCGGGAGTCAGCCAAGTAGTCTTCAGGGGGTGGTTGGGCAAGAGAAAAATGGCGACTATGGCGACACCAAAAGTCACAGATCCTTCTATTAGGCTGTCAGTATGATGTCCTGGTCAATCCTCTCTCGGAAATGCTTACCAATGATGAAGAGCCATCGCCAGCCAGAGATGCCGTGAACTCCACTCAGAGTATTGAACGTACCAACCGCGATCAGACCAGACACCGAGGTGGCGATGATATTCCCAGAGTATAGAATAGCAAGACGTGTGGCAAGTTCCTTGCGAGTGTAGAACAAAGATAGCATGTAGAGGGCTCCAGGGTAGTAAGGAGCCTCGGCAATTCCAAGGAAGAATCGGACAAGGACAAGACCTTTATAGTCGTGGACCAAAGCTGTACAGGCTGAGACCACTGCCCAAATCATCATGCACGCTCCCATATAAGTCGAGGGAGGAACCTTGCCAGTGGACATGATCATGTTGGATGGAATCTGCATCAAGAGGTACCTAGGAGGCGTGTCAAATCAATGCCAAAGAAAGATCAATGATCGTCGGACACATACCCAACGAACAGGATACTGATACATGTATTGTATTGATTGCCTTGAAGTCCGATATCGTCTTCAAGACCATCCAATCTGGCTTGAGCAATTGTGTTTCTGTCAAGATAGTTGAGGAAATACATAGCCCACAGGGTAGGCATAATGCGAATGTCCAGCTTTCTGACGAGAGCAAGCTCGGCCGGATCACTTTTATTGGTAGCCCCAGAGTAGTCCAGCTCCTGCTGTAAACCATCTGCTTTCATCGTATCGATTTGTTCAACGTGAGCTGCATCGTAAGACTTCTTTAGGTCGGCCATCGTGATGAGAATAGAAAGCAGGAGGAGGCGAAGATGGGTGTTGGGATCGAATGTCCTGTGGAGTAGAGTAGTAGATGGATTGATGAGCAAAGGAGATCCTGGAGAGCAATATATACCCTCGAAGAAGGCATCTTGTGTCGGCGACCCCGCCCTCCGCACCTCCAGACCTCTCCACGAATCGATACAAAGCATGGAGTCTGCCAAGTCTGCCGAGACCGATGCTGGGTCATAAATTGGGATAGCGAACGATACATATTGCTTGGCTCAGCTGGTTGTGTGTCAGGGCTAGGTCTCGGACAAAGGATCTTCCACATAGAGAAAGTACTTCATGTCCGGGAGGACCATACTGGACAAGCATATATCCGACGGAGGCGATGGAGCAAATCAAGAGCCGATTGCCTCTTGTTCATGTTGTCGTTCTGTTGGGTACGCTAACGTAGTAGAATCGATAGTGTCTTGACCGCTGTCAAAACCCTGGTCTATAGGACGATGGATTTGGGTCCAGAGTTTTCAGCACTGCAGAGACCACATCAAACTGGATATGTCTGAGGATAAGACCCGACGGGGTGTATTTGACTGCTCTCTAAGATACTGCCTCGATACTTTGCACGATCCGCTGCCTATCTAACAGGACTCTGATTTGAGTCTTGATCTTAATCTCGCAACGATCCTGTTGACCATCTTCAAATTTCGGGAAGAAACCGTCCCTGAGATGCTCGAGATACATCTCATAAGCTGGCATGTAACCTCTGACGAATGCATAAACTTGCTCTTTGGTCATTCCGCAACCTGTTTTGTCCCACAAGGCCTGCTCTTGTTGCCACCTCCACTCGTAAACATTCACCAGATCGTTTGTATCGATATGGACAAGCGCTTGAAACTGCTGGGGCCCGGTGAACGCCTCACAGTAGCCACGAAGGCTCTCGTTCACTCGTTCGAGATGACAGAGAGCATGGTCTGCAAGCGTTGATGTCGACATTTGTGCATTGACGTCTTGCTTGGATTGTCGTTCTTGTGCGTACTGATGTTTCTCCCTCAGTTGCGGTAACGACAATGGCGAGAAGCCGAGACACCAGCCTTCGAAAACAATTACGTCGACTGAACCAGTCACAGACTTCCAGGTATGGAGTGGCGCACGGTCGCCTGCCCCTGCGTAGCGACTCTTGTCAAATGAAGGAATGCACAGCTCTTCGCCATCTTCAGCAGTTCGTATCGCGTCAAAGAAGCCTTGAGAAAGCTGTATATCATGCGTACCGGGCTGACCTCGAGTCTGCAACAGTTTGTTGTCTGAGTCCCGTTCTCGCACCCCCAAGAGGTCATCGTGCGTCTTGTACAAATCATCCAGCGATATAGCGACGGAATTCAGCTTGTGTCTATCGCGCAGAAGATGCACGATGCCCTCAGCCCAAGTTGATTTACCACTTCCTTGGAGTCCAGTCAGACCGAGTACGAATGGTTGTTGCCTGAGCCCTTCAAAGTTGCATTGCCTCCTATGGTCCTCGATACCAGGCATGATCAAAGACAGTGTACGATCAATGCCGTCTTGGAGATTCATGACGGCGGTCAAATGCTGGATTCCCCTGTCTGTGACCCGGGGGTAAGGATGAGCTTGCTTTTTTGATACATGCTTGAGCGAGGACTGCCACATCTTTGGTGGCTGGTCAGGGCTTGCAATTGAGCCCGACCCGGAAGAACGTTGTTACGGCTGGCGAAGATAGCGGACGGAGGAAGAAAGTTCGGATTCTGATCTGCCTGCCAGCGAGCTCCGCATTTACCCCGGAGTATATTGTGCCGTGCGTCTTTCTTCGGAGTTTGTAAGACGCAGGACGAAGACTTCTCCGTAAAGCATCGTGTTCGCATGTGAGAGTATGAGGGGCTTAGAGTTCGACTTAGCAGTGTCTAGACAACGCACGAGCACAATCGCACAAGTAGAGCAAACACAAGACAATGGATCGAACGCCCATGTATACTTCGTCGTACGGTACTTGCGAGCTGAAACTCGTGTGTTGCCGGTTTTCTCCTCATCGATAGTCAAGGTCAATTAGGGGTATGGAAAAAAAGAGACTAAAGTGTCGGACTAAGTACGTAAAGAAACCAATCGGCGTCATCTCACAAAACAAGCAGCTGCATCTTCATTGGCCATCATGCCCAGCATGTCTAGTAGTCTGCAAGAATAAGCCCACTCATTGTCGTACCAAGCAATGATCTTGAAGAACTAGCACAGGCATTAGATAGAACATGAGATCAAGAGTCATTTTCGCACCACTTACTTTCGAGTTGAGCTCAACAGACGCTTTGCTGTCGATAATGGCGCTACTATCATGTCCGAGGAGGTCGCAGCTGACGACCTCGTCTTCGGAGACGCAAAGAACACCAGAGAGATAAGTCTCACTGGCGTGTCTCAAGGCTCTAAGGATCTCAGGCAAACTTGTTTCTACGTCTGTGTTGATCGTTAGGTCTACCATTGACACGTTGGCGCTGTAGCGTCATTTCAGCAAGTCTGGTAACCATACAACTGGGGCCCAACTCACACTGGTACTCTGATAGAAGTGCCGGACAGCTTGCCCTTGAGCTGGGGAAGCACAATCTTGATGGCTTGGGCAGCACCTGTGGTGGTCGGAATAATGTTGCCCATGACCGAACGGCCAGCTCGTTTGTTCTTCTTGCTATAACCATCCAAGACATGCTGAGACTGTGTAGACGCATGAACTGTAGTCATGAACCCTTGCTGAATGCCAAAGTTGTCGTCAAGGACCTTTGCGATTGGCGCAAGGCAGTTGGTCGTACAGCTGGCACACGAGAAGACACTGAGATCCCTGTACAGATTATACTCATGCGAGTTGACCTTGTACACAAAAGTAGGCGCATCTGGACTCGGAGCGGACACCAACACCTTACGAGCTTTGCCTTTGGTGATATGGGTCGAGGCTAGCTCAGTAGTCTTGAATTTACCGGTGCACTCTGCCACATAATCGACTCCAGACGCGGCCCAATCGAGCTTTTGTAGATCGCGTTCGGAGTGCAAGATGATTTCCCGACCGTTCATGGCGAGGTTGCCGTTTGGCAGGGCATTCAATTGAGCTTCGGAGCCTAGCAACTTGGCCAGTGTCCCATGTGTGGAATCGAATTGAATGAGATAAATCAGATCTTCGATGGTCGAGCAAGTGTGATTGATAGCCACGACCACAACGTCAGAGCGAAGCAGCGATGCTCGGAACACGTTGCGACCTGATGAGTGTGAGCTTTAGCCATGCCTTGATCCTTGACTAGCTTGGATTACCTACCAATCCTGCCGAAGCCGTTGATACCGATGCGGCATGGCGCCGTAGAAGAGGAATCAGATGTAGTTGAAGACATTGTTGTGAGTCCAGGCGGTCCCTTGGAGTCGCTTTGTGCTGGCTGAGGGACCAAAATGTGCTGTCATATTGGGTAGCGTGCCTGATATGAGCAGTGATATGTGTGTAGCCGGACGAAGAAAGTACCGGGTGGTCCAAGATGAAGTCCCCGCTACGGAATGAGAATTGGCGAGAGAACGGCGGATCAAACGGCTACGAAGCCGGCTCACAGGTCAGTGCGTACCGAGGGCTGAGCGACGACATGGGCTCGAGACGACGCGTACACTCTTCGTGACTGATCTGGAGGCGGAGTTGACATCCCCCATACACCCTGTGCAAAGACTCGGCTGCTGAAAATAGTTGTGGACGATCATTCGCTGGTTTTTCTTAGTGCAGATGGGGCTTCAGCTCCCCGTGCACGAATTCACTTCCCGCAACATGGCGATCCTCACTTGGTCGGATGTTTGATCCTCCGGCTCTTTGCATTCAAATACTATCCGATCATCAAGACTTCTCGGTTTCTCCATCAATCTATCAACCAAGCACTTGAAAGCAACTCGGGAACCGCAAACATGTCGCCCTCCGCACTCGCCGCAATTCCCACATACAGTATCGCCACCATCCCCGCAGATGGTATCGGCCCGGAGGTCGTTGAGGCTGGTGTTGAAGTGCTCAAAGCCCTGAGTCAGAAGCTTGCGACATTCAGGATTACCTTTGAGAACTTCGACTGGAGCAGCGAGACTTACAAGAAGACGGGCAAATACATCCCTGATGGCGGCCTCGAGCAACTGAAGAAGCACGATGCCATCCTCTTCGGTGCCGTCGGAGCGCCTGACGTTCCGGATCATGTGAGTCTGTCTATCGAGCACAGTTCAAGAGCTGGCTGGCGGAAACGATACTGTGTTCTATTCTTTGATGACACTCTGCTAACGGTACATTTCCTTTAGATCTCTCTGTGGGGACTGAGACTTGCCATCTGTCAGCCGTTCCAGCAGTATGCCAACGTTCGCCCAACTCGTATTTTCCGTGGAACTCAATCTCCCCTTCGCAACGCCAACATTGGCGATCTCGATTGGGTCATTGTTCGCGAGAACAGTGAAGGAGAGTACGCTGGTCAAGGTGGTCGTTCTCACCGTGGCAAGGCTTGGGAGGTTGCCACCGAAACTTCCATCTTCAGTAGGCACGGTGTTGAGCGCATCATCCGCTTTGCCTTTGAGACTGCTCAGAAGCGCCCTCGTAAGATGTTGACAGTCGTCACCAAGAGCAATGCCCAGAGAAACGGCATGGTCATGTGGGACGAGGTTGCCCACGAGGTTGCTCAGGACTTTCCTGATGTCAAGGTCGACAAGATGCTCGTCGACGCCATGACTGTGCGCATGGTCATGAAGCCCGGATCTCTTGATACCATTGTCGCCACCAACTTGGTAAGCCTTCATTATTCTACTTACCCTATCGACAAAGTCTCGGTACTGACCCTGAATAGCACGCCGATATCTTGTCAGATCTCGCTGCCGCCTTGGCCGGATCTATTGGTATCGCACCCACGTCCAACTTGGACCCCAGTCGCGAAAACCCTAGTATGTTCGAGCCCATCCATGGCTCTGCATTCGACATCACGGGCATGGGAATCTCGAACCCAGTCGCCACATTCTGGTCTGCGGCTGAGATGCTCGAGTGGATCGGCGAAGCAGATGCAGCCAGACAACTGATTGAGGCTGTAGAGAAGGTCTGCGAAAGGGGTGTAGTGACTGCCGATCTTGGTGGCAAAGCAAACACCAAAGATGTCACTGCTGCCGTCTGTGAGGAGATCGAGAAGATTGCTCTCAAGAAGATCTGAGCATAACTTTGCTGTGCAATGTATACAACGACGTTCAAGCCTTTGACCTTGATTCCAGCTTATTTCGTCTTGATGGAAACTAATGCGATCATTGCGATGGGGTGTGACTGCTGATGAATGACACATGCTTTCGAGATTTTCTATTCTCGGACTCATTCAGCCCCACATGTCCCATGTTCAGCGCATGTTGCGGGTCTTCCAGGCGCGAGGGGACGCCACAAACACCATTATTTTTCATGAAATACGCTCAGCCAGATGGATTTGACGCGTTTCGATTGCCTGGATGTCCGGCACCAGCAAGCTCACATGTACGAGGGAGTCAAGTGGCGTACGCCGAGCGCTAGTGTCTGTATGACATTCAATCGCTATGTACCTCCCATATTGAACTCATGATCAGATCGCCCGCTCTAAACTTCCCAGCTTCTCATGTGTAGCGAAGTCGAGTGGCCAAGCTGTAGACTAGAGCCATAATATCGGTCATACTTAAGCTTTGTTATGCTCCTCGATCGTCTCTCTCATTTCGATGGACGATTTGCCACCATCAAATCCTTGCTCTCCGTAGACGATACGCTCCTTCTGCGAGTACTTGACTATGTCTCGAACTGACGAAATTTGCTTGAACATGATGTCCAGCTCTTCCAACGTGCGACCTTTGGTCTCCGGGTAGTAGAAGTAAACGACGACCGGGATGATGGCGCCGATACATGCATACACCAGATAGTACTTCCACCCGATGGTTCGAATGGCAATAGGAGTCACCATGTTGACCACAAAGTTCCTGTTCGTCTTGTGTTAGCAACTGAGTGATACTTACGATGGTGGAATGCAAAACTTACCAGATCCAGTGATTCGCTGTGGAAATAGAAGACATGGAAGAACGAAGTCTTAGTGGTGCGACCTCAGTGCAGTAGAGGAAATTGGCACCCAAGAAGCCTATCGGCGTGAAGAAGCAGAAAAGGAAAAGGAAGCAAGCAGCGGCAATCGAAGCACCGTAGTTGTCCGGAAAAGACGTGGCTACAGCCAGAGCAGCCATACAAGCACCCATACCTGCTCCGCTAATCATGAAGCAAGCTCTGCGACCAAGTCTGTCGATGCTCCAAAAGGCGACGGAGCAAGAGAACAGCTTGAAGGTAAGCATCGCTCCTGAGAGGATGCGAGACGTGATATTCGAGAGCCCAAGGTTCTCGTGATAGATGATTGTCGAGTAAACAGAGACAAGGTTGGAACCGCACATCTGCTGGAAGAATTGTAGCATGATGCAAAGAGCAAACCGATATGCCAACTTTTCCTCGCCCATAGTGAACATCTCTCTCAGGCTTGCTTTCTGGAACTCTTCGCAAGCTGCCTCGATTGCTGACAACTCAGCGGCCACAGCGTCAGAATCCTCATCAGCGCCCTTGTACAGACTGAGAGCAGAGCGAGCCTCTTCAACGCGATGGACTCGGATGAGCCATCGAGGTGACTCGGGAAAGGAGAAGATTGAGACGAGGATTGTGATCGAGAAGAAGGCTGAGATGGCAATAGGAGCACGCCACTCGGTGTTTCCGGAGGTGAAATAGAAGCCCAGATTGATCCAGGACTCGAGGAAATAACCCACGGCCATGAATACGCCGTCCATGATGACATGCTTGCCTCGACTCTCTGGCTTGGAGCACTCACTTTGCCACACCGGGACAGTAGCGCTGAGCTGCCCTACCCCGTTGCCGAGTATGATGCGGCCAACTATGAGCTGTGGCAGGCTGAAGCTACTGGCTTGAATGATGGTGCCGATAAGCGTAAGAAGAGCCCCACTGAAGATCAACTTCTTGCGACCAAATACGTCGCCGTAGAAGGTGCAGGTGAAGGAGCCAGTGATTGCGCCAAGGGTAAAGCAGGCAACAACCACTCCCTGGATAGTGGTGTTATGGGTCTTGAGTGTACCCTTGGTGAAGACAGTGTCGATTTCGGAGAACGTCTCAGCCCATGTGGACAGGCCAACAAGTCCTCCGAGACCCGATAGATTGTAACCATAAAGAATAAACGAGGGTGCGACCACAAAGATGGTCTGGAGGATGAGGAGAGCGGTAACACTGGCACCTAAGAGTTTGTGAGGCATTGTGAAGATGAGAGAGGTATGATTTGAGGAAACTCGGTGCCGAAGAGTCTTGCCTTTATAATCAGGGAGGTGCCTGGGGCCCCAGAAGCACTGTGCGCCTCCTCCACTACCTCCACATGATCTTGCGTGCCGAGTTCCGCAAGGTTGAGTTTGTCGTACGGGGAAGTTCAAGTGGCTTATCGTTGGCCTCAGTGAAATAGAAAGTCCGCCCCGGATGTACGTTCCCCCGGGCACGGTCCTACCGTGTTGACAACTTTTCCCAGTGCAGACTGGTCGAAAGACTAAATTGCAAATCAAATGCCGTCCGTCTCATGAACTTGAATGTAACACGCGTAGAGAAGTCGCAAGCTTGCAAGCAAGGTCGAAGTACACTATCGCCTGTACATGACCACGAGTCCCACCTTTGCATTGGGCTCATGGATATGATTGTCACAGCCTCTGCACGGTCTGCATAGACATGCATCCACGTACTTGTGTTATCTGCCCGCTGTGTATCACCGTCGATGATCAAGAGAGGCGCATTAGGACAATGGTAAAAATCTTATAAAAGTCGAGATCTCGACCAAAAGATCCTGATAAAAAGTATGTACTATCGCAAGATATATAGGGGCTTTGTTCAAGCAAGTAGGAAAAGCGCAAAGAAGACAGCAAGAAAAGTCATGCCTGTGACACAGTTCTGGCTTGCTGATCCAGTGAACACAGCCATGGTAGGTCTTGAAGTCGAGTTCGAAGAGGTTGCTGGATTCCAAGCAGTGGTCAGACCTAGTTTTGCCGTGCTTGATGCAGCGCCAACAGTATTCGACGCACGAGAGGCACTGTTGATGGGGATGACACTACTCGTTTGGATGAGACCAATGGTGGTGACCGATGCCTGGCTCGCTACGGAGCTTAGGCCGCTCTTGGGGCAAGAGCCTCCAGAGCATATACCGAGTGCAGGAGAGATGTTTGTGACGGTAGAGAGTGCAACACTAAAGAGTGCAGCACTTGATGCACCTCCGTTGCTCGAATTGCTTGAACCAGTCTTTGCTACAGATTGCGTGCCGGTCTTCACAACGGACTGCGTACCAGTCGGAGATGCCACCGGAGTAGTGACAGTGATGACCTGCGGGATAGCACATGCCGAACAGAACACCGTGGTGGTCGTGAATCCCTGAGGGATACCGGATGGACGTGTTGAACAACCACCAGGGCATGTAGCAGTGACAGTGATGGCCGAAGTGGTCAGGCCAGTCGGGCAGACATTGACGACGGAAGTGACCCATACTGTTGTGGATGGCTGTATTGAGGTCGCGTTGGACATGTAGGATGATGTGCCGATGCGACTTGAGACGACAGTCGGTCTTGGAGATGATGCCCCAGTGGCCAAGCTCAAAGTTCCACTGTTGGAAGCGACAGATCCAGAGGAAGACTTGGAAGCGGAGCTGAGCGTGGTTCCTTGACGCCCTACAACCGTAGCGAACGTAATTCCCTTGGCTGTGCGCTTCGAACCAATTACAATTGACTGATAAAGGGTGCAGGAGCCACTATTTTGACTGTATGCTGCACCGACACAAGCTGTCGTCCTTGCGCAGCTGGACAAGCAAGTCGCGAAGGTGTCTGAGGCTCGCTTGGAGATCGTTTGACCACCCAGACTGCTGCCCGCATAAGTCACGTCATTCTCGATAGCGTATGTCGTGCCATCTACAGTTATGACTGAAATGTCGGCGGAGGGTGAAGGCAGTGTGGAACCCGAGACTGTCTGACTAGGTGGACTAGCAGAGGTGGACGAGACAGATACAGCGATACTTGACAGCACAACATTGCCCGATGACACAACACTGCTTGACGACACAGCACTGCTTGACGACACAACGGCCGCACTGGTAAGACTTGAAGCGATCGAAGCACTTGACGAAGGCGTTGCCGTGCCGCTGGCTGTAACACTCGTCTGTGAAGTGGTCCTTGCGTCAGTCGACTGAGAATCTATAGACAACGAAAGTGATCTGGAAGCAGAAGTTAAAGACACGTCAGTCATTTGCGTCGTGAACGAGGTCTGCGACGATGATGAAGCAGATGTGCTTGTCGGGCCTTCTGAAGATTGGGAAGGTTTCGATGACAAGACTGATGTAAGAGAGCTTTGTGACGCAATCGCTGAGGTCAGCGTCAAGGGAATTGACGAAGTAAAGTCTGCAGAGGTCGAAGAAGAGACAGGTCCAGAGGAAGACGAAAATGAAGAGGAAAGCTCGGAAGAAGATAGAGAAGATGGAGACAAAGCCAGTGAAGAAGATGGGGAAGAAGAGACCAGGGAAGAAGAAGCCAATGAAGAAGACGAAGAAGGTTCAACGCTGGTACTCGGAATCGAGCTCGAGACTCCTGTGGACGGCATCGATGTCATCGACGGACTGACCTCGACTGAAGAGGACATCGGTGAATTCTGTGTGGACGAAGGAAGAGAGATGGGGACACAACCAGAAGGGATCTCTTCACTCTGGCGCATAAGCAGATTGATCATGTCGCGCTTGGCCTTGTCCAGTGCAGCAGGACGGTCGACAGCTCCGATGTTATCTACGTTCAGGTTTGCGAGTTTCGTAGCAGCTGATGTGGACGATGAACTTGGTCTGAATGGGTTTCCGTCATCAGGATTCGTGATGATGGAGACATCGGGCAGCTTTGCAGACGCAAAATAAGCGGCGATGTCTGCGTTGAGAGCTTTGCTGGGCGTTTGATTGGAGCAGTGCTGATTCACAAGTTAGCTAAACCAAGTAAGACTTTTGGATCGAGCAAAACTTACTCCTACTCCACTATGTCTCTTGACAACACTCCTCAAGAAGCCTGAACTTGAGCTGAGCGCTGCATCCAAAGGTGTAACAGGATCATATAGGGTGTTGACAAAGAGAATGGGAGTCTTAGTCTCGATGCCCTTGAAACTGCCTCCGAAACGCTCTTTGGCATCTACCAGCCAGGTCTCCTGACTGTACTGGTTACCCAGTGCACTCTCACCTCCATAGGTACTTTTAGAAATGTAAAGCTTTCTAAGGTCCCGAAATCGGTTAAGTGTAGCGGCGTTTGTCCTGAAGTAGTCGCCTCCCGAGATTGCTTTAATCGCGTTGGGGGCCGAAACATTCTTTGCTGTCCATGGATCTGGGTTGTATCTCTTGGCCAAACGTGAGGTCGTTGATACTGCAGTCTTGGTCTTGTAGATGTCGTTCAGCTCGATAGCAAAGCCAATAAACTTGGTTGGGCTGTATAAGACGTTGAACATCTTATCTTTGATCTGATAAGCAGTAATGAGTGAACCGGTGGAGTCTTTCGCCGTGATGCGGTTGGCATCGAGATCCGCCAGAAACTGCGCGTAGGCGTTTAAGAGCTGTGAGCCACTCTGACCGTTAGCAAGCGGGCAGTACGGACTCGTCGCGTCGGCACATAGATCGAAGAATTGAGCGACCGCACTGTCAAAGCTACTAAGACTAGTAGAACCGCTACTCATGATTAGTTGATGTTGACGCTCATATTGGGAAAACTGAACTTACTCCCCATGGTAATAGTCAGTCGGGTCAATGTTTCCGTCAAGGTACATGCGATCGATCTTGTCGGGGAACATGGCAGCGACAGTAGCACCTAGCAGTGTACCGTAAGAGTAACCTGAGACAGAGATTAGCTTGGAGGATTGTTCAACAAACTGACCAACGTACCAATGTAGCGAATGAGCCCATCCTCGCCCAGAGCATTGGCAATCGCCATGATATCGCGGGCGACAAAGGCAGTGCCGACTAGCTGGCCAGCCGCTTTGTAGTCGTCTTCTGCACATCTCTGAGCTTGGTTCATTCCGTCTCGGAGAGCACGAAGAGAGCCATCTCCATCTTCGGCTGCCGAGTAAGATGGATCAGTGGCGCTGTCGAATGTCACAACGGGACACTTATATGCTTCGGTGAGGCCCACGCCACTAATGATCCAGTCAATACTTCTCATATCGAGTGCAGGTGATGTTCCACTTACCGAGGATCAAATCCGATAATGTTGTATCCGATACCAATTACACTGTGATTTGTTAGGCGACCAAATTTTTACATCTGATCTTGTTACTCACGACTGCAAATCGCTGCCACCTTCCAAAGCAAGATCGATTCCGCTCTCTCCTGGTCCTCCAGGATTCACAATGACTGACTTGCCACCAGAAACTCTGTTGCCATCCGCGTCCACGGCTGGAATGCGGACGAGAGGAAGGTCGATCATTTTGGCATCACGCTTCAACGAGGATGCAGTATAGTCAAGGGGAACCCTCAAAGTAGCGCAGTCAATCATGGTCGATCGGTTTGGATCACAGACGGTCCAGTTGAGGCCAGTCGCGGGTGCAGATGGGGTTGCAGAAGCAGCATTGGTGCTAGTTGGTGAGGTCGCTGTCGATCCCACGGAAGTGAAAGACGACCTCAGAGAGGTTGCCGAGCTGACAGAAGTCGAAGACGAGCTGTCGCTTCTGGTATATCCGCTCGGACACGACTGCGCCAGGCCATGAGTAGCATTGAGCAGGAGTGCCACAGCGGCAGTATTCTTGGGCTGCATTTTGATTAGTGGTAACGACTGGAGACTGCAAGGAAGGGACCTGGCAAGTTGGATGGATGGTCCAGCTCGAGGAGAGGAAAGCCATACATATATGTCTCTGTTCATTCGTTCTAGTAGCCAGATGAGATATTTTGTCCAGCTGATGACTGTTTGAAATGTTATTGAACCTTCCACAAGACTATACTGACTGTTAGGTATGGCCAATTTGCACATCTCTCGTATTCATAGTCGTGCCACGTTCAGCTGAGACGATGACCACTGACTGAAATTCTGTTTCAAGCCACCACCGCCGCATCAATCTTTCGAGCATATATACCCAAGGCATAGTCAGATACACCTCGAGATGGCAGAACTCGCGTGGGAACAGGTAACTGGGTATGTGCTTCCTGTCGAAACATGGATACTGCAAAGGTAAGCACCCGGCTTCTCGAACCCTTGCGGAATCGCAGTCGTGTGTGGAGGCCCAGACTCGTATGGAGGAAGTTAAATCCCTGGGATGTGGATGTCAGCTCTCACTGTCAAAACTGTCAAAACCTAAATAGAAAGAAAACAGGGGAAGGGTACGAGGGCCGACTTTTCTGGGGAATCAGTCATTTGCACAAATGGCTTGACCTACAAAACGGGCAGCTGTATCGCCAGGATGGTTTTATGTTTGTAAATCACAAACTCCAGCATGGCTGTTGACTTGGATGCATGCGCATTCGTCCGGGGTATGCACGACAGATGCATGGCTGCATTGTTTGAGACGCAGCGAATCTCATCCATGCAACCCGACAAGTGATCCGACCGGCACACCGGGCTTAAGCACATAGTGATATGATGCTACTGATGGACCGGATTTGAGCAGACTGAGAGCAGACTCTGTGATTGAAAACGTGGTCTTCTCGGCATTCGCGATTTGGACGTTATTCAGGTGCCGTGGCACAAAACGGCGCGCCTTCACGGCTTCACAGCCAAACTTTAGCCGACTTTGTGAATCCTGATCGCGCTGGCTCTTTTCCAGAAAAAGCAGCAGAAGGAAACTTTGGCATTGACAAAATATCGTCCAGCTAAAATCATTTCGCGTACTTACTGACGAAGTCAGCGACTGCGCCATCAACTTCCTTGGGGTGACTGAAGGACAAAAAATGTTGCCCGTTCTCTACGACTTTGAGCTGCGCGTCAGGACTGCCGGTGAACATCTTTATCTCCCTTTCGGCATTCGCGACCGAATAAACAACATCAGCGGTACCATGGAGCCACAGAACAGGACATTTCACATCAGCCAACCTTCCATGTAAGCCATCGCGGTCACGAAGATTGATGGTAGCCATCCTCGCTCTCTTCCTGCCTTCCTCGCCAATATAATTGTCGGCAATTTCATTACGCCAGAACTCGCGAACAGACTTGTCGCAGTCTTTACCGAAACCAATGTCGATGAGAAAATCGGAAAAGTCGTTGCCGGGGCGGAAGTCCTCGCCGGCAGGTTCGCTCCACTTCTCGATGGTTGGTGTCAAGTCTTCGGGTGCGTTCCAACATTTAAGTTCGCGCGTCTTGGGAGACTCGAAGTCTAGACTTGTGCCAAGTGGGATGATGCCAGTGATCTGTACAGGATGTCAATTCGATGGAGGAATCCCCAGAAGAGCGCAGGATATTAACCGTGCCAGGCGCCAATAGAGCCATGCGAACAGTGATCCAACCACCTTGGCTGGTACCGAGCACGAAGACACCTTTGCTCTGGTCAATCTTGCCCTGCTTTCCCAATTCTTGCAAGACTTGAACGTTCATGTAAGCAGTGTCCCAGTATGTCCAGTTCTCGAGCTTGCAGCGAGTTTGTCCATGTCCAAGCAGCTCGATGGCTAAAAGGTTCATCTTGCCAGTCAAATCTTTGTCGGCATACTGAGTCTTGTAAAGTTCGGATGAAGTGGTGAACGAATTGACCAGCACGAGCGTGGGCTTTGCAGGGTCCAGACTAGGAGTTTGGTATGAAGCTTCAATGCCTCCAAGGTGCGCGACATGAATAGTCTGTGTGTTTGGCATGCTGTTGATCCGTCACGAGGAATATATATGTGGATGTGGGTATGGCTTGCAAGCGCAATGTCGAGATCCAGTGACGGCTACTTAACACTGACCATGTTCCCTTTGACCGCAGGATTAAGGCGAAGTAGTCTGTCGGTTTCGTCATCTTTGGAGGGGCCTGCGGATGTCGCATGGTTGGAAGTGCGGGGCTACGATGATAAATATTGACGTAGATGTGCTTGCAAGAGGTACATGGTACAACTCTTCGTACCCCACGGAGTTCTCCCGCGTGCCAGATGACAGGCTTCTCCACCTTTTCTCAGAACCGTCTCCTGAGACTTCACTGCTGAAGGTACTCCGGACTGTTGTCATAAAGAGACCATCAGAATAAGAGAACAATGAAAAGGTGTACATGCGAACAAATTTGATTAGCACCGTGATACAAGGATGTAGACGAGCTCGTTATCTCCCCAAAAGTCCCCTTCAAGAGTTGACCAAGGAATTGATGACACATGGAAAGAAGGTGAGCACCAGTGCCTTTACATACAATCATACCCGGGATCAGTCAACTCGGCGTACTTGCACCAAATTGGATCCTTGTCCAATTTCTTAAAGTGCTGCTTCTCCATGCCAATTGCTATTTCCATGCCCAATTCCTCTTGCGCTCCTCTTGTGATCTGAGGGTAGATCATACTTAAGCCATTGAACAAACCCGCTGTGGGATATCTGACGCGCTCGATTTTGCCAATAGCAGGACCAAAATCCAGATCCAGTATGTCGAGCTTGTACCATGTCGATGTCATACAATCAGTGGTGAGAAGAGAGGGGAATGATGTCCAAGCAAAATGGCCGTAACCAGGTATGGAATTGAGAAGAGTGATGAGGGATTTTGTGTATGCAGTTGTACGCTCGTCAACTTGGTCTCTGATAGCGCGAGCCAATGGGGCGAGAGTGGTCGAACTGCACAGGTCGCGTAGCTTCATGCCTGGCCTGGCGTAGTTCATCGGGCAGCCAGGATAATGCTTTGACAAGGGTGGCTCGGAGCGGAGACGCAAGTCAACGACTACAATGTGATGAGACATTGCGTCTTCAGGTAAGGTAGTGAAATCAGCTTGAGCGCAAACGACCGAGCGCCAGATCAATGCCGTTGCAGCATCATTGGTCGATATCCAAGAGTCACCGGCTTCGGTGCAATCGTTCTTCAGCTCAGCGAGAGCTTGAGGAGACAAGCGATAGACGCGTTGTCTGTGAGTATCTCTGAAAGCTGTTTCTGGCCATGATAGGTTCGAAGGTGCGACTATGAATTCAGGATGATGCTCAGGTCGGCCATTCTCTGTTGTCGGCTCGGGGCTGATAATGTGAGCACTTCGTTCGAATTGTTCAGCAGGAAGGGTGCTACATTGAGCCAAGCTTTCATTCTGTACGTGTCGACAATTCTGCGACCAGACTCTCAGAATCTCATTGATAGCTTGGGCGTCGTAAGTTGTGTGGTGAGTATGGAACGCAAGTATGAAGCCGCCAGTAATGATGTTCAGCTGAGGGACGAATGTAGGCTGCGTCTCGCCTGGCATAGGAAAGACGCCACGGGCGCAAAGTATGTCGGGGTCAAGACGGGATTGTGGGAACTTTTGCTTTCGCAGCTCCTCATAAGAGGCGAAAGTGCCTCGGATATCGTTAAGGATCAAAGAGCCAAAGTCGCCATGCTTGAGAGAAATTCTCCCAGTTTGCGATCCCTCGTCCTCTACTGGCACGATCTCACAAGCAAGAGATGGTAGGGCCCTGAGAGTAGGCTCAAGAGCTTTGCGCAATATCTCGACCACCTCCATCTGATCGACGGTGTGAGGTGTCGCAAAGAAGAACATTGGCCGCGTGTAGCCACGAGGGTTTGCTTGTTCCACGCAAGAGAGTTCCAAAGTATGCGCTGGCGGGGTATTCACATCGATGCTGTCCATAATCCCTGAGACTGTGGTGCTGACTGACCTCAACACGTCATTCGGAGAGGGGAAGACCACATTGGCCGGCGGTACAATAGTGTCCATGTTTTGTGCTTCTGGCGAATGCTGAAGAATCGTGTTGTGACGAGAACAAGAGCACAAGGAAGCTGCGGGCTGGAAACCCGCCGGCCAAAGCTATCTTTACATACTCCCGACAGCTTCAACCTGACCTCGAATAATAGACTACGAACTTCTCAACAAGAATGTCTTTCGCTATTTGAGTCTCGTAGCGGCTGCTGCTATAGTGCAATTTCATTAGAGGTGGACCCTTCAGGCAAGCTTTGGCCATCCCCGGAGTCGCTGTGCGGCCGAGTGAACAGGAACCCACAGAAAAATACCGGCGCAATGGTTGCTCTGGATCAGGAACCGACACATAATATGACTGTAGATCTAGTCTTTCAACAGAGTGGTTGGTCAGCAAGAAGGACCGCGCGAATGAATCTTGCACAGCAAAGGAACAAATTGCGCGCTGGCGTGGTCGTGAAAAATGATCATAATAGATTCTGGGGTATATACACATTGCAGCTGACCTTGCTCAAAAGGTTGCGCTGTTCTCTGGCTTAATCTCTTCCAAAGTATGGGATGGCGCGCGAGAGACATCGGTGCTGCTATTGCTCTGGTCATTTTCTGCCGGGACCTCTTCTTTGGGCTCGTCATTCTTTGGCGGCGTCGGAGCAAACTTGGACTTCTCTCGGATGGGGCCTCCGTACTTGTAGAAGATGAATGGAATGGGCGCAAGTAGACATGCCACGCCAGCGATGAGAGAGCCACCACCACCGACACCCAAAGCGTCAAACATGTACTGTGTGAATAGCGGGGCGGCTGCACCAGCGGCTGAACGTGCGACTGTGTTGGCTGCAAGTGCACTTGCTGCATACATAAGATATGTGTCGGTCAGGTAGTTGAGGTATGCAACGAAGATCAGCAGGATTGAGGTGGAGAGGAAGACTCCAGCAATTGTGGGCACAATCCAGTGCACGCTGTTGAAATTTCCAGTCCAGGCAAACCAGAACATGGTGATTGGGAACATGACACCGCCAATCATTGCGACGGGTAGACGATCCTCAGGAACAGCCTTGTGACCAGCGGCCAATCTCTTTCTGTCGCGTGCAGAGACGGCAAAGATGATGGATCCACCGATGACTGCACCGACAGCAGTACCAATCAGCGGCAGTTCACCGACTCCAGAGTTCCAGCCGCGCTTTTGTTGGAAGACGATAGGGTAAATTGTGAACAGCATGTACAGGAGTGCGTAAACTACTGCGAGATAGACGGCCACTGCGAATGAGATTGGATCGATGAGAATCCTCCAAGGACGAGTCAAGGCGACAGCGAACATAGAGCCAAGAGTTCGATCAGTGACTTCGACAGGAGCTTGGACGTTTTCGTACCCAGGGATCTTGAGCGCTCTGATCCTTCTTGCTTTGTTTTGAAGGACAATTGCCGGAAGTGTTTCTGGAATGGTGAACATCAAGATCTCGGTGAAACCTCCGAGCCAGAGCAGAACATAGAAGCACCATCTCCAGTCTTCCTTCAACTCCAGGAAACCAGAAATGACGGGTCCGAGAGCGGGTCCGACGAAGGTCATCATGGAGAAGGCGGCCATGGCATTGCCACGCTCGATGGGACCCCAAATGTCGGCGAGAACGCCAGGCGCATTAGAAAGAGATGAGCTTGCGAAAGTGCCGGTCAAGAATCGACCGACTAGAAGGCCAGCGAAGTTGGGTGTGAATGCACAGAGGAAGTTGAATGCAAGATAGAGAGTGAAGGTGATGTAGAAAATCCATCTGCGACCGTAAAACTCGGACAAGGGTGCGAAAACCAGTGGTCCAGCACAGTAACCCAGAAGAAAGAGAGTGACAACCAATCCGGCAGCTTCCCGTGAGACGTGTAGATCTGTGGCAATTCCAGTCAAAGTGCCAGATGGACTTGATGAGGCGAATGTTGCGTTAACGACTAGAATGACCGATGCCACTGTAATGTACCATCGGCGAGCAGTTGACCAGTTCTTGGGGTTCTCCCTGTCATCGGGAGAAAAGTCCAGTAGACCATCGGCGTTGAGCCATGGCTCTTCAGAAGCCTCGATATCCCTTGATCGATACGGTTTCGCCGTCGGTCGGGAAAGCAAGCGTTCAAGGCGCTCCATGTTGTTCAGTTGGAAATGCTATGGTTACAACAAAACAGAAAAGACAGAACAACAGGTAGGAGGATTTCTCTAGTATGAGACTCATGCAGGAGCTGAATAATCTATTCAAGCCCTCCGCAAGTAAAATTGCCGTCCCTTCCTCGCGCCGGTACTCGGCAAAGGTCCTTACAGAATTTTGGAGGTGAGGGAGCTGCAACCCCGCGAAAATGGTTCGAGATTTGAAGCGGCAAAGCGGGAATCGGCAAGCTAGCGCAGGAGATGACGATGAGCAGCCGCAGATATCGGTGTTAAGTCGAAGACCTGCGGAACCTGGCGCTCGGACGAGGGCGGAGGCGGCGAGTGACTCTTCTTACTGACATGGCGACACTCGTAGGACGTGCGACTGTGAGCTGTAGAAACAAGGACAGGAGATTTGCAATATCAGCTAGGAATGCTGGCGGTATGCGCGACTCTCGTGTTCTACCCATGGGCAAATCTTGCCATGGCTGTCGCCCCCAGACTCGTCGGTGACACGGACATAGCTATCCACGATGAAGGATATGACTATGCGTATCCGTAGTCTGTGACATCCGAATTGTTGTTTGAGAGTGGTCGGCAGAGCAGAAAGAAGCAGTACTTAGGGTCAAATTATGTGCGCGTTGTGTCACTTGTCGACGAATGCAGTCTGAAGCAAAAGCAAGAACTCACCGACACTATCTCTGGAAAATCGAAGTACTAGCACTTTGAGGGCTTGATGATGGTAATCGCCAGCAAGAAAACTTGTACACAGGTGATACGGTGGATTTAGATTCCGATCAAGCTTGCAGTTGTCACAATAGGTCGCTGTATTCATGCTGGACACACGGAAAACATAGAAAGTCGGGAGACCCTGACGCAAGAATTCGTGTCTCCATCATTGAGCGGAGCGGAGTGGAGGTGGCGGAGCAGACTCTTGGCCAAGCTGTATTCGGGAGATCGACCGGAAACTTGTCAGTGCGGTGAGCGCATCCCTTGAAGCGCGTGCAAGGTGGAGCAAAGAGAATGGGAAGCCCATCTCAAGTCTCGTCGCTTGTCATGCAACAGAGCCCCCGCAAACATCACGAAGTCGCTCAGCTGCTCTGTAAACTCGCGTAAGAGCGACAGGACGAATGGTTGAAAAAACCTGCTGGAGCATCGTCATGCACCTGGATTGAGTTCACTGCCACAATGACGTAGACAGGAGCTCTTTCCTCACCGATTCCCGTCAGCAACTTTGACGCGTCGAAAGGCAGACGCTTCATAGCCGCAAACAAGTCCTTCCAAACCACACCACATCCACCAAATCAGTCAAGCACAATGGACAAGCTCAAGAAGATCTTCAAGCACGACAAGAGCGACTCGTCGTCGTCGACCACCACCCCCTCGCACACGACGAGCGAGAGAAGCACTCCTGCCACGACCACCTCGTCCGCACCTGCTCCTCAGACCACCACCAGCAGCACCCCTGCAGCCGCCGCCACCGCCAATACCACTGCGCCTGTCTCCAAGGGCCCTCCCGCCGGTGTCCTGCTCGAGACCAACTACGGCAACATCACCATCGCCCTCTACAGCGACAAGACGCCCAAGGTGAGTCGTGCTATGCGTCCGAGACTTGACGCGACGCAAGGAGAGAGAGAGAGAGGCAGAGCGCGTGCCTCCAAACATCAAGACGGACAAGACTGACATGCGCCGTGATACAGACTTGCGAGAACTTTGCAGGCCTCGCCGACGCCGGCAAGTACAACGGCGTCATTTTCCACCGCATCATCCCTGGCTTCATGCTCCAGGGCGGTGACCCCACCGGCACCGGTCGTGGTGGTGAGTCCATCTGGGGCGGCAAGTTCGCCGACGAGTTCGACAGCTCGCTCAAGCACACTGGCGCCGGTGTCCTGTCCATGGCCAACAGCGGCCCTGGCACAAACGGCAGTCAGTTCTTCATCTGTCTTGCTCCCACTCCTCACCTGAACGGCAAGCACACCGTCTTCGGCCAGGTTGTCGACGGTCTCGATGTTGTTCAGAAGATTGGAGCCGTCAGAACTGGCGCTGGCGACAGACCCATCGAGGATGTTGTCATTGTCAAGGCTCAGTCCTTCTCTGCTTGATCTCGCAATCCACCTTCCGTAATTACCTAATGACACATTTCTTTCTAACCGAGAATCTCTATTCCGTGCTTGCATGCATTGATGTGTGTCTTTGTGATGCCGCGCCATGCTCATTCGCGATACTACTCAACACTTAAACTCACACAAGAGGCGTCGGCTTTCGATGTCCAATTGCGCTTGACTATCGCAACATTCTATCCTCCTGCCTCTCTGGGAAACAACTCGCTAGCATGGGGCAGACGATTGGCTTTTGGCTTTCGACTCTGATATGATCAAGCTTGCATGAATGTTGATTCTGAGGGTTGCAATGTCACATGCGTTTGTTGCGCACGCAAGGTCACCGGCGGCAGCGCGGTCTGGCCCGCAATGTGATAAGCTTTTGAATTACACGGGGTCATCTCGGTTATCTCAGCTCCTCCCTCACAAAGATCAACACGACTAGAGGGATAACCCGACTTTTGCCCTGCTGAGCAGCCCGAGCTTCCATCTGTCATGAACCTGGCAAATAACTTTCTTGCTGTAAATCTTTCGCTAGCTTAAACCTCCAACGTCTCGTGAGAGGGTGTGGCAAAGCAGGTGCGAGAGCCGTGTTGGCCACCACGCCCACCGGCGCCGCTATGCTTTGGGAGCCTTTCTCCGGCGCCCGCCACTCACCGCTGCTCATGCTGCACGCATGGCCACATCTTCCATGATTCGAGAAGGTGCGGAGATGGCGCAATTAGCATCATAGCGGCTCTCTGAGCGCAAGACGTCTCTTGCATATAGCGCAGTGTCATTCGCTGCTCGCTCGCGTTTACTCCACTCTGATTGGATCTCGTCGTTCTTGCAATCAATCTTGCTACATGACCTATCAAGCTTCGCATTGTGGTCGGTCTTCAGTTGCAAGTTGCCCGACAAATGGACCGAGGCCGAAGAAGATGAGGTGCTTGAGAGGGTGCACGCGCTGAAACATTTCGAGCTTCCAAATCCGGCTTGGTTTCTACTGATAGATCTACGGCCGGTGGAAGATCCCCACAGTCCATACGAACAATCACGCTCACGGACCTGCATCCCACGGTCGCTAGTCTGAGCTTATGCCTTCTTAGCTGGACCAAGCATATAGCTTCACGCCTCTTAGCACACCGGGCACATGCGAGTTAAGCGACTGCCTTTCATCACCCGAGTCTTGGTCTGTCGATCTGTCTATCACTGCTCTACTTGCCCTGCCCTTGGACAGTTGTGCTTCAAAGCTAATATGTAGCTTAGGACAGGAAAGGCAGCTGCGGGTGAATTCTACATGATTCTTTACCCTGTTCTTTCGTCCGTAACTCTTCAAACTCTACTTTCTACAACACCATTGGCCGTTCGAGGTATGCAGGTAATCTTGACACCACCGAGCAGGACTCGGGAGGCGACCGCTACTCGCTCTTGAGCCGAGCCTGTCGAGCAATGCTTGAGATGGTCAAGCTATATAACACGGCTCCCCTTCCCACCAAGGACAATTATCACCTTCACTCAATCACTTCGTCTTCAATCCTTCTACATCATTCATCATGCAGCAAACTCTCGCTGCCCTTGCTGCCATTGCAGCTGTCGCTGTCGCTTCTCCTGTTGAGCCCAGAGTCAGCGTGCCCAATGTTAAGTTCAGCGTCCCTCAAATTGCCAACGGCAACACCAAGGTTGCTGCTCCTGCCATCGCCGTCGCAAAGGCCATTTCCAAGTACGGCGGTACCCCTCCCACCAACGTCCAGAGAGCCGCCGCTGCTGCTCAGCAGAGTGGTTCAGTCACTGCCAACTCATACGGTGGCGACGTCGAGTACCTTTGCCCCGTCTCCGTTGGTGGCACAACCATGAACCTCGACTTCGATACTGGTTCATCCGATCTCTGGGTCTTCTCCACTCTCCAGGCCTCTTCCCAGAGACAAGGTCACGCTGTCTACAACACCGCCTCGGGCCGCAAGCTCAACGGCGAGTCCTGGAGCATCAGCTACGGCGATGGCTCAGGTGCATCCGGTCAGGTCTACGCCGACAAGGTTGTCGTCGGTGGTGTCACTGCCACTTCTCAGGCCGTCGAGGCTGCCACCTCCATCTCTGCTCAGTTCCAGCAGGACACTGATAACGATGGTCTCCTTGGACTTGCCTTCTCGTCCATCAACACCGTCAGCCCTGACCAGCAGACCACTTTCTTCGACTCTGTCAAGAGCACCCTTGCACGCAAGCTCTTCACCGTCGATCTCAAGAAGGGTGGCCCCGGATCCTACGACTTCGGTTACATTGACAGCTCCAAGTACACTGGTGCCATCACCTACGTTCCCGTCAACACCAGAAACGGCTTCTGGCAGTTCACCACCACTGGTTACTCTGTTGGCAGCGGTGCCACCGTCTCCAGCTCTTACTCCGCCATCGCTGACACTGGAACTACCCTTCTCCTTGTACCCGACAACGTTGTCAGCGCCTACTACGCTCAGGTCCCCAGCGCTACCTACTCCGATGCTCAGGGTGGTTACCTCGTCTCTTGCTCTGCTACTCTTCCCAGCTTCTCCGCTGTCATTGGTGGCCGCAAGTTCACTGTCCCCGGCAGCTACATCAAGTACTCCCAGGTTTCCAACACTCAGTGCTTCGGCGGTCTCCAGTCCAGCGCTGGATCCGGTATCTCCATCTTCGGTGACATTTTCCTCAAGGCTATGTTTGTTGTCTTCTCCATGGAGAACTCGACCCCTCAGCTTGGTTTCGCTACTCAGTAAATGCAAAACTACGACTTTTACGACTTTTGACGGCTGGCTCTGCGACAAAGCGAGCATTTTTACATGACGGTGGAAGGTGTCGCTTATTCAACAAAGCATAGAATAGCATGCGATGAGTAACGCATTGAAATGGGAAGAGATCAAAAAGTAGTGCATATGTCTGCTATCTCCAAGAATATAATTGTGTTTTATCCAAATGTTCTCTTCTCCATGTTTGATTTTATGTCTTGTATTGTATTCTGCGACCAGCCTTCCAGATGGGTACGACCTGGAAACAATACTTGACCTTACCCAAACAATGCGGGGGATCTCGGAGCGATGAAGCTGAGGAGGCACCTGTCCACGGCCGATTTGCCTTGTCTGTCAACCATCAACCTGCAATGCGACATTGCGAATTTGCAGAGAGCTGACATCCAATCTCGACCGGCGAGATCTCCGCGATCGCCGTCTTACCTGGAAAATGCAGGTCGCTCACGAGTCACAACGTATCGGAGAAATCAGACCCCCAGATCTGCTACCCATCAACCTTATCTCAAACTCAATTTGAAAAATACGAGCTCGGCCGTGAGGTGTCGATCAAAGGGCCTGGTTATGTCGCATCAGTGGCATGGCTCTATTGATCTTGTCTGTCACAAGCTTTCTCATCTTCAAGAGGAACAGCCGTGGTGGCGGGGGAGGCTTGGTGGTGTTTGCCGTCTGCGTGATCAGAGGACTGGTACTGTCGGTAAGCTTCACGGTTTTACAACCAGCTGAGTCCCTGCAGATGGAGCGATGTGTATGATGACGAGTGGGCGATTTCTTCATCACATTACTCTGTGACTTGCGGTGTCAATGCGACGTGTTAATTCAGACGAGCGACGCGACTTGTTGTTGGCCAGATGGCTGACAACTTGTCGGGCGCATATTGCGCTTTGCAAATAGTGAAGCCAGGGTGCTTTATCTTTGCATTACACAGTCGCCTTCATGATGGGCTCTCAAATTTGGGACCGCCTTCATAACCGTGATCTCAGCTCAAGCAAAGTAGGCCTCGCCTGCTCGCTTGAGCTTTGGATTAATCGTATAAGTCAAAAGAAGCCGAAAATTCCGCGCGAGGGATGGTTGTGAGCCAGACCAGGACTGCGAACCGGGATACGAATACAGACAAGCCAGATCGTATTCCGCTCATTCCGCTTATTCCGGGCCGTTTCGTCATTCCGACGCCTACCCCGAGGTGAACAAACACATGATTTGCAGCGATCAACACTTGATGTATGGGGCCAATGTATTTCGCTGTGATGCTACCAAGATTATACTTTGCGACGAGACCCACACAGTTGCGCGAACTTGCCTCGCATCAGCCGACTGAAAGTATTCGCCCAAGTCATTAGTCCTTGATCAATATCCGCAGCTACCAACATCACTCTCGCAGACTATTTCATCGCCATGTAATAGAACATTGCTTCTCTGTTTACCGAGTCTACCATTTGAGCGGCGTTGACCACACGGACGGTGATTGACTCCAGTTGCCTTGGCCGGGATCTTGTTGAAGGTGATGGTGGGGGCGCGTCTGGAATGGTCTGATAGTGCGAGGGCTGCAATGGTGTCAGCGTTTGAGCTCAGTGTCCAAGGTCGTTATGCTTACGCTGTTTCTGAGGGATGCGATGGCATGACGCAAATTGCTGTGCTTGTCTGAGGAAAGCATTGTGATTGTGAGAAAAGATGGACCAAGGTAGCGACTGTTGTACGAATTCAACCCCTGTGATTCTCCGGTGTTCAATAGATAGCGGCTTGTGCTTTTGATGGACGTTTCCTTCATCGTCATTGTCTCAGACAGAATTGAAGATGGCAAGACGATGGGTCGCAAAAGATCAAGGCACAGAGAACAAGAACACAAGAGTGAAATTCCGTGGAGACGAGGGTATAAGCTGAATTAGAAGAGTGTTGCTGTAGATGATTGTGTTTAACGAAGGCGATGTAGTCTGATTATATAGCAAGCGGTGTGCTGCAAACGTGATGCACCGGTATTCCGGAATAGATTTTCGGAATGAGACTCGGGATGCAATACAGAAAAAAACTGCATTCCAGCCTAGGTGGAGTATGATCATCATGTTTCATCGGCATCAATCCTTCGACTGGGTAGAGGTGCACAAACAGTGGACGATATAATGCCGGGATGGAGTCTCGGAATAGAATTGGAGTTGCTCTTTGGTGAGGGACAATGATGTACTTGCCGAACCCAAGCTGGGGATCGGATTCTGCACCTAGGACATGAATTTTGTACGCGCTATCTCACCAGTACCGTTTGAGCCGTAGATCGAATCAGATACCGCCACTTGCATTTGTCCAGTCAATGCCGTCCATCCAGTCATTCATATCCATCAAATCAGCTGCACTCCACTCAAACAAATTATCCAGTGCGCTGTCTGCATTTTCCATCGCCGCTAAATATTTGCTAGACGATCCCATCTGTGTTTCGTTCGGGAGATAAGTGGTCAAATCAGACCCTGTGATGTCTGGTTCGCTGGCTGCAAGTGATAGCAGGTACTCGAGCACTTCATCCAAAGCATCAGACATCAGTCCCGATGCCTTGATACAAAGTGCATGATTTGCGTTCTCTGGACGATAGACCCCTTCCAAGAAGGCTATGAATACCGAAAGGCGTCGAACTGACACCTGGCGAACAAGATCAGCAAATTGCGCCCGATTCATGCTTCTTCTTGCAGTTCTGAGCGCATTGATGAGGGTTATCGCACTTGGCAAACCGTAGCATAACACCTTTGTTCCGATTAGTCAAAACACAACCAACACACGATTTAGCCGGTTGAACTTACAATACTTGCCCTAAAGCCACTGTACAGATGATGATCAGCTTTATCATGTAAGCCGCCGATCTGAAGAGTTGTCTCAATGATACTCGAGCAAGCCTCCACCAGATGAGGCGAGTAGCTTCCATTGAACTTCTGTAGTAATCGATATATGTGAAATTGTGTCTGCAGGTAGGTGAGGTAGACCTCCGCCGATCTGAGACATGAGATGGGTGCCAGATCAGACTTCCAGCACGTAGGGTCGTAGCGTAGACGGGTAGGGAGTGAGTGCCAAGTCTCTTTACATTGTGTCGCTAGCTTCCTGCGAATGGTCGTCAGTCGACAGATTATTGATCCGATGAGACCGGAGCAAACAGGCTGTACTGACTCTAATTCAGGCCTCGTCTCATCATTGAGAGGTTTCAAGTGATGGACCAGCGCTTTGTCCCGAAGCTGTGAAAGAAGATATAGCGCTCGAATCCAAGTGGCACTACAGCAGGAATCCCCGCCAGACCATCCGTCAGCTTGTGCGAATGAGGCCGGGTCGCAACCGAGTCTTGTGAGGCAGAGCTGATCATCAGTGAGCTCACTCGGCGGTGCACAGTCGGCATAGTAGCCAGGTATGCGTGGCGGACGATCAAACAGCGCGGCAAGAAACTTGTCCCAATGGAATGCGGCTGCGAAGACCCTTCGGCGACATTCTGCAAGAAAAACCGGAGCTTTCGCGATGGCCGCCTCACGATGGAGCTCCAGGGCGAAGATGTCTGTGGACAGACCGCCAAGCCGTCGCCAAACATTCGAACCTACAAGTTTGCAGATACGACTCAGCGTACAACTCGACAGTAGAGGATGATCCCAAGAGGACGATGTACTTACCGGCATAGCCCTGGATGGTTGTAGACAGGCGCAGGTTCTCATACGACAACCATATTATCACGTCATTCATCTCTGATGCTAATTCTCGCGCAAGTCGCAAGCATTCTGCACTACACTGGAACATGGCTTGCACAAAATTGTGGTCAATCTCACCATGGTGAGCAAGTCCCAACCGAGCTACGCGAGCGGCAATGGTGAATATCAGACCGATGGATTCGAGTCGCAAATTTGGTCCGCTGTAGAAGCCCACGAATCCAGCTAAAGAGGTGGACGAGGTGAGAGCCATCTTTGAGGATGTAGTATTGAGAACACGTCGAGCTGTTGCCGATTCATCGACAGTGCTGACTGCATTGTCAGTTGTTGCCTGTTGATGCATGATGTCTTCTTGGAGATGTTCAAGGTCGGCTAGCACAGGCAACACCAGATGACTGGGCACGACGGCGATCTGATCCAGACAATAGTATTCTGTGACGAGGGTCCTGATGGTCTTGTAGTGTTGAAGGTGTCCCAGAATCCGAGTTATGGAGCGCAGATCTCCATCAAGCGTTTCGTTACCCCGATCATCGTAAATTGCAGTCAAAGGCACATGCTGCGGAATGGTGTTATCAAGCCTTCGAAGCGAAAGCAATGGAAGCAATGGAGTTGATCTTCTGCTTTGGTCAATCGTCGTAAACAAGACGTTGCCATGTCCACTATCTCCGGCACCAGCATGAACAGAAAGAGTTCCGAGAGGCGCGCTTGTGGTTACTGGGACTGTTTGTGCAGCCGGCGCCGCGTAGTCAGTTTCAGTCCGCTCCGGTGACGACGTTCGAGTGCGTTTTGACGGGCGTGTGAGAGGAGCGGGATGATACCAGCATTCGCTGCCCATATTCCGACGTCGGCAACGATCACAGATTGGCATGCGATGGTCGCAACGCACTTTGCCCCTCCTGCAAGGCTCACACGACGCTTGTTTGCCATTTTTGCGATTTGCGCCAGCTGACATTGTGCGTCAAGAGTTACAGCGCGGATTTGCGAGATGAAGCGAAATTCCGGTCGCTGATCTCGACAAGTCGCACTTTCGTACAAGCGTCACGTGCGTAGTAGACCGTTAGTAAGCCCCTACATAACTTAGATTATAGATGTACACACCCTAGTAAACCGTCCGCCTATAATTAATTGCGATACTTATATTATAAGAGTATAAAACCGCTATTCGGCTTAGTATTATTATATAAATTGCACTATCTGTCGCTTATCTATATTTCGTATTCGTGGGAAAGGGCGAATAATAGTAACCGGACATTTATTCCTTCGGACTTTCGTTATACCGAGACGGAGTAGAGGCCCGGAATACTATCCTCGAGATATTTTTAGTAATATTTACTTTTAAAACGTAGCTTTATAAACTTAGAAGTAGTACTAATAAGTTAGCTTAAGCTAAGAATTAATTACTACTACTCGACTAGTTATATATTTAAAGGTAAGCTTAAGAGCTTATATAATTCTAATAGCTTTCCTTCTTTTTAAATCACTAACTCTAGGTTTAATTTAGTTTAATTTTAATTTATTAAATAAGCTATAAATAGCTTTTACTATATAAGCTATCTTTTAAGTTAACTTATCCTATAAACTCTATTATACCTATATATTAATCTCGGTCCTTACTCTAAATTAGTAGTATACTAAAGGCGACGCTACTACTAATATTAGGTAATAAAGGTTTTAACTTAAAACCTTTTAAAACCCTATATAAAATTAGGGTCTAAAGTAATAGCTCTAATCTAAAACCTTTACTTTATAAGAGCTAAAACCTTTACTCTAATAAGCTTTAAATTAGTAGGCGATCTCTAAACCTAGAAAGCGAGATTAGTAAAGAAGGGTAAAGAAAGTCTCTTTTAACTTATTATAGATAAGTATCGACTAAAACTAGTATAGTTAGATAATCCTTATTATCTTATTTTATAAGTACTAACCTACTCGCTCGTATTATCTAACTACGAAGATACGAGTACGACCTACGAGTCTAGAGTTTAAAGGTTAGACGGATATAAAAACTAAGTATATACTAGACTAAAATGCCTTAATAATCTACTTTTTATAATAAAGCGTCGTTAAAGTATAGCTAAGGTATCCTATAGCTATAAGCTACGGCCTATTTATTTCCTTACTTAGTATTATTCGTAGTAGATACTTAACTTAATAGATTACTCGGCGATCGTAGGCTATATCTACTACGTCCTTAAAATATATCTTAAGAATAGTACGGGAGCCTAAAAGCGGATTATATCGTAACGAGCCTTAGTAAGATTACTAAAAACGGATACTATATATTATTAAGAGGATTCTACTTACTAATCTCCTAAGGCTATAATACTTACTAGATACGGCGCCCTCCCGAAGTTTATTAGTACTATTAGGATATAGCTAGATATAACCTATTCGTAGCTTAATAATAATATATAAGCTATAAGGCCTAATATCGATAAGGGCGCTAATTAGCTTAAAGCTTAATATATATCTATACGAGGTACCGAATCTTATATAAGGTCTAAGATTATTATAGGTAGGTTTACTTTATAGTCTATACCTTATAATACTCGCCGATTATTACTCTCGAGAGCTCTAATCTTATACCTTTCTCGGATTTATAACGATAAAAAGAATCCTTCTCCGTTATAATATAAGCTATAACTATCGAATTATCTTATTAAGTAATAATAAGAAACTATCGAAAAACTATAATAGGACTACTATATAAGTAAGAAGTAATAAGGTCTAATAATTGCAGTTTAATTTAAAGACTATCGTATACTAGAGTAAGAAGAGCGCGAGCGCGGAATAGCAGATAATGCTATAGAAGCGCGAAGCTAGGCCTTAGCGTTACCGGAGTAAGCCGAGGACTACGGTTCGAATCGGTACTAAACCGTGTTAGTGTCGAAGCGCACTAAGAGAGCGGAAGAAGGAGCTCTAGGTGCTTTTTTCTTAGCTATACTATATAATAAGGAGGACTAATCGTAGAGCAGAAACAGCCCTAATTCTAGAATCTAATGCTCTTTTAGAAGGTCCTAGTCTAAAAAAGTATTTAAAAAGTTTAGTCTAAAAAAGTATTCTAAAAAAGTATTCTAAAAAAGTATTTTAACTAACTTTAAGTAAGGTCTAAAAAAGTATTTAGTCTATTTTTACTAATAGCTTATAAATACTATATCTTAAAGTATATATATAAGAATAAGGCTATTAGAAATAGAGTCTAGTATCTAAATTAAAATAAAATATAGGTTAAAGTTTTT